ACAGCATGTACCTGCTTGGTATTTTAGTTCATACCAGCACTGCTGTCTCGAAGGAGCTCTCCCAGTTATCCCTGCTGACTATGCTCTGGTTCATTTTGCTGAGCCATCAGGGAGTGTGGAAATGGTTATTTTGAATTAAACTGAAATAAATGCTCCAATAAGGTACCATGACTGTCTGTGGACATTCAGGCTAGAACTAGTCCAACACAACCTTTCTTCCCTAAACATGTGGTGGATATGCTACATCCTGACCACCAGCTCTTTTGATCTGCTGATTTGTTCCTTTTGAGCTCCACTGCTTGCTGCTGTAGCCATAGCCTCAGATGACCTGAATGGTGAAAAGAAGGTCTAAAAATATATCATACACGAGGTAATTCCTTCTGGTGAAATGGAGATGGGAGGATGACAGACAGATTTGTGCTCATTAATTTCAAATAATTGTGGTTTTTTTGTTTGTTTGTTTGTTTTTGTTTTGTTTTGTTTTTTTGGTCGTTGTTTTTTGTTTGGTTGGTTGGTTTTTTAAGAAAAAAGCCACGCAATTGTAACTGATTCACTGGCAGTGATACACTGGTCCTCGTGACAGAAGAAAACCTCTTTACTGCTTGGTGACATTGATGAGCATGGACAGACAGGGTATATCTGCTCTGCTGCCATTTGCTTCCCCCATCTCCCTGCCGAGGGAGGAGACAGCACTTTTCTGTGAGCTGCTGTCTCCGGCTTTGGGAAGGGAGGCACGAAAGGCAACAGAAGAGAGAACATTAATTTTAAGTATGACTCTTCTCTATCTCTGTCAAAGGAAGGCTGAAAGTAAAACCATGGCTGGCGGCGCTCCTGCCCTCCCCTCCTCTTCCCCCTGGGAGAGTTCCCTACCGCTGTGGTCCCTGCCGTGTCCCCATGCTCCAGCCCTTAATGATTAGTCTGGTTTGTAGCACTTGTTGATAGCTCATTACTGGATAAAACAGTCATGTCCAGCAGTGTGTATTGATTTTTGACTAGCCTACGTGACACACTGCTTCTATGTGTTATTCCTCCCTGAAGAGTTGTTCTGAAGATAAGCTTTAAAATACAGGGTGAAATGTGATAGATTTTGGGTGTTTTCACATTAGCATGTTCTTATTTTGTTCTCTTACATCCACTTTTTGGCTCAGTGGGTTTTGGCCCAAAGTAAAGAAAATGATCAGTTTTTTCCTGATAGCTTCTTTATTCTAGGTCAGTGACATTTTGAAAACTAGGGCAAGAGAAAACCAAGGTCACTTAAGAGTCCTATAAAAAGGCCTAACAAAGAACCCATTCATCCTCATAAAAATAAAAATCCTTATTAATTAACCACGTGGTAGAGATAAGAATTCGAGAGCTTGATTAAATCATTAGCGCCTCTGAGCAGTAGAGTAGGGGGGGGAGCCAAGAGAGAAAACATATTTGGCCTGAAAATTGAAATATGACTGCCTACCACAGTGCCAGAAGCACATCTGTACTGAGCTGTGTGTTGTGTGGCCTGGATGGAAGCAGAGTGACTGCTGCACTACAGTCCAGGAACATATTGGCAGCCGTGGATTTTTGCTATTGATTCACAGTGAGATTATTATTTTTTTTTAATTATTATTATTTATTTGGGTAGGAAAATAAGCCGCATGACAGCTGAGGCTGCATCAGCTTGTAAGGCAGCCTGGTGGGTTGCACTAGGCAGCGGCTATAGCAGGGGGAGGGCGTAAGGTGTGTTTAGGTGTGCGCAGTGAAATAACTGCTTTGTCCTTTTGCCAGGTGAGACATTTGCCTGAGAGCTGATGTGAATCAACACTTGCAGTATCTGGCCCACATTGCATAATGCTTCTGCACATTAATATGGAGAGATTCAACCAAAACAAGGCCAAATGTCCTCATCTGTAACCAACCCCAAAATCAAGTTCTTGAAATCAGTAGCAGTAGTGTGTTTGGCAACAGCTACAGCTGAAGGAGTCACTGGCGTCAGGCAGAGCAGTTAATATTTGCTTTCTGTCCCTTTTCAAGTGCCAGAAATACCAGCCTTGCCTGCCTTATAAAATTGAGCACAGCTACTCAATAATTGCTCATTAGGTAACTGGAATGGCTCCCGCACGGGTATTCAACCAAAGGGTGTGGTTGGGTCCTGTGCTAACATGAAGGCAATATCTCCATGCTATTTATGTCCTTGTGAGCATTGCGGCATTGATTGGTCTGTGTGGCATGTTTGCACTTATTTTCTGTTTTCCAAACAAAGCAGAATTTTGAGATTGCATTTTTGTCTGTGTCTTTAAGACTGCCCTTATCTTACTGTTCATCATGATCTCTGTGGTATTTAAAAAGAAGCAGGAAACAATCCAGCAAGCAGGGGAAATTGACTGTTTCATGCTCCAACAGGATCATAGTATTGCACATTAGAGGAGGACTCTTGAAAGATGCGTTAGTTGCAGGGTGCAAACCAGCCCTTGACACAGGTAATGTGTGAATGTTTTTCTTGCTGCTCACCCGCCTGGTGAAGCAGAAGGAGGTCTGTGGGTCAGATGGTGGGGTAAGGAGCAGGAGGCCACATTATCCTTAAGCAGCTTGCTCCGCTTTGTGAGTTGTTGAAGCTCTGTGGCCAAGCCCTTCAGGCTGTCTTGGACGATGAAAAGCCACTGAGGACTGGGGTTTGTGTTTGCCAAATTCCCAGAGAATAATAAAGTGTGGGACATTTTCCTGAGTGGCATTTTCATGGGCAGAGCAGTCAGGATTTTTTTCTTTTTCCCCCAAGGGCTTGATATTTTTGGTATCTTTCATCCTGCCTAGCCTACAAAAACATACATATCCATTGCTGAGTAGTCTTGCGCTTGACTTATGATGTCAAACTTGCCTTCACATTAATCTTTTGTGCGAGAGCATGCGTTCAGAGGCAGAGATCATCTGCTCCCAGCCTGCCTCCCAGATTTGCTGTTTCTTGCCGGCTGGTGGCCTGCTCAGAGTCTCCTGCTGCCTCTCCCACACGGTGGGAGGATTTACCCCAGCTGGGAAGTGGGCAGCGAGTACCCCGGCAGCCACCTCGCCCACCACCTCCCTCCAGGCCTGGGCCATGCACAAGGCCATGCCTGCTGCTGCTCCCCAGGTTGCTGCGCTGGGGCCATGGCGCGGGATGTGCACTGTCCTCTCCTGCCCTCCCGGGAGGGTGGTGGGCCGGCATCCCACGGCCCGACTGCCTCCACGCACGCTGGAGCTCCGAGCCCCTGTGTCGCCATGACCCGAGGTCCCATCCCCTGCTCCGGGCTGTCTGCCGCAGCCCCGCCTGCCGCCCGGCACGGCGGGGAGAGGAGCTTGCTCTTTCTCTTGGCTTTGCACCTCTCCTGCCTCTCAGGCCTTGCTTCTCTGCTGCCCGCGATGGGCGGCAGGAGCGTTGGCAGGCCGACCCCGGGGGCAGCTGCCCACAGCCGTGCGTGGAGGGGCTGGCGTCTGCCTCAGCCCTCGGGGGAAGGCTTGGGAGAGCCAAGCAGCTGGTACAGGCCGAAGACGGTGGTTTGGGCAACCAAGTCGACTCTGCTAGCTGTATAGTCTTGCCTTCCCTCACGTAATTGTCTGTTTGGCCTGTTTTGTAATATCTGGGCTATTAAAAAACAGTGCAGCCTTTTGGGGTTTTATTCAAATAAGGAAGGAGGAAGGGATGACCGCCCTTCCACAGCTCCAGGCAGGCCCCTTGCACGGGTGGTACTCTCTTTTTGTCCTGGTTTTGGGGAAGCTAACTCCAACGGTTGCAGACAATGCTGGTGCGAAAATGGAGAGAGAAAGGAGTTTGTGTTGTCACCTGCTCCCGCGAGCCGTTGGGATGGCTGCTGGTGGCAGTGCCTGCACAGTGGTGAGGCCTGAAAGTCTGTAAGCTCAGGGGCGAACACCTCTGGCTGTTACCTCAGACCTGTGTATGGACATCCAGCAGGGACATATGGTTTTGGTGGTGAAGTGTCTTGGGAATGGGGTGGATTTTTGGGAGGGAATGTGGGCTGGGGAGTCGTGTGATCTACCAGCCATGACCAGGGACAGGGCTGGGGAGCTGGTCTAGTCTGCCTGTGCTGCTCACACTCTGCTTCACCTTTGGGGGGAACTAGGCTTTTCTTCATCTCTGCTACCCACAAGCCATGGAGAAGGGCTTTCCCTTCTCTTGATCTCTACTCTGGTGTGAGAAACAGTTTAAATATTCTGATTTTTGAAACATGGACTAAACCAACTTCCCATCTCCCTTCACAACTGCTGGTAGTTTTTCACTGTGTACCAGTGTGAAGGACCTGGGTGAAGAGCTGGATCTTTGCATGACCGGGTCACGCTTTGAGTCCCATTTTACTGTTTTTTGATGGGGCACAAATTCAAGCACTTCCTTCTTCCTCCCTCCTACTCTAAGACCCCGTGTGCCCCTTTTTGGCTGGACTAATGGTCTGCATACCGCAGGGAGGTCCCAGTACTGAAAAGGATGCTGTTCCCTGATGACAGCCCAATAACTCTCCCCAGCCCTTCAGTTGGCCAAGACATCCTGTTGTGTGGCTTCACCTACAGATTCTCATTTATCACAAAATCCCAGTCTCCATCCTGGTCTCATCACCCAACTCCATACATGGCTTTTCCTGAATTTCAAGATGGATCTGGTACCGATGATGGCCCCGAGTCTTTCAAGGAACGTTTAGGAATGGATGAAGTAATTCTAGACTTACTGCTTTGTAGAATGATGTGTTCATACTGCTGTTAGCATTTCTGAGCTTTTGAGAAGATCTTCATTAGTTGCTCTTTGCTGCATCCAGTTGTAGAGGTCCTTGCAGTACCATCTCTGCAAGCAAGAAAATATCACCTCTAAAATGAGAGTTAAGAAAAACTAATATTAAATAGTAACTTAATGTCTGGAAGAATAGACCTTAGATTTTGGATGGATGCCATGTATCTTTCTGAGAGAGTAATAAAACCAGATCGTTTTTTTCATTAACCCTTTTTTTTTTTGTTTTGTTTTGTTTTTTTTTTTTTGTTTTTTTCCCCAGTGCAGCGAGAGTTTACACAGAAGAAAACCTTCACTAGCTGGATAAATTCAATACTGGCAAAGGTAAGAAGGGGACTCTTTAGGAAAGACATGCCCTTTGCCTTTTTGATTTGGTTGTGCGGTACAGAGATTAAAATTTTTAGGAATAAACAAAATTAATATAAGGTTTTTAGGCACTGACCAGAAAAAGTAGCCACTGGAAAGCATTTGTTTAATAGATGCAACAGCATTGTGTTTGTGGTTGTCCAAGGACATTTGTAAGAGATGGTTTGCAGGGAGATGACAGTACCTTTGTTACTAATGTGGTAAAACACACTTGTGCTGGATTGTGGCACACGTCTCAGGGTTTTATGAGATTCTGTATTTATGATTAGCTGTAACTGAGTTTAGATAAGCATTATTCTATTATGCAATCCAAGAACATGAGTTTAATGGGATGACCTGGGTGACTGGTAAATATTAAGACAAACCACACAGAAGTGTAGGTGCTCTTCAACTTTCACAAAGTATCTCATGCAGTGTGTGCTGGGGCTCGGACTTGCTCAGGTGAAAGAATGCTATTTTGTTCCCTCTTTGAGCAGGAGCTGCTGAGCTTGTGGTAAGTTTGTGCTGTCCACAAGTGAGTGAGAAGAGTGAGACTTTAGTTATTCAGCTGTATTTGTACTTGGGGCACATCGATCAAGAAGTCAAAATATGAATTAACTGCTTTTCTTAACTTTTCCTTTTTAAAAGTTTTGGAGTCTTTTGCCACATATCTCCTTGTAAGGTATAAATACTTGAAAATGAGGCATAAAATAACTCTTATAAAACACAGAGGCAGAGCTAGGGCAAATCAGAGGCTAACATCTTAATGGGTTAGAAGAAGCAGGGTACGGCTGATTAGACGCAGGATTTATATTTTAGCTTATTGAAAAAATAAAGGATGCTAACATTTTTTTAACAACAGAGTAATCTCTGTTGTTCTGTACTGTGTTGAAATCAAAAATACAAAAGATGGTGTGACAAGCATTTAAATCTATTTTGCAGCATATACCTCCTTCTGTTGTCTCAGACCTGTATACAGACATACAGCAAGGACATTTGCTTTTGGATCTGTTGGAAGTGCTTTCAGGTCAACATCTGGTAAGACAGAGTAATAAAAATATTACCTCAATTCTTCATCAAGTCCAGCAAAGATTTCTGGATATGCTTAATTGTAACCATGTGAATGATCTCTCTGGGGTTATAGAGCTATTTGCAAGTAACTTATTCTTACACCACTGACACTGAAACACACTGAAATAAGTTGGTCGAAAGTGGTTTGTGAATTTTTGTAGGAATTCCCTTATTAAAATATAAAATAAAATTAAAATTTACAACTGAGGGTGTAATCTGTTCTTTTTGCTTCACAGCCACGGGAAAAAGGATTTAATACCTTCCAGTGCAGAAGTAACATAGAAAATGCTCTGACATTTTTAAAGAGCAGATCAGTGAGTATTAACATCAAAATTCACAACTAAAGCCAGTTGAGCTGGTGGAACATTTTCTTTGTTAACAATGATCCTTTTTTTTTTTTCCCCTAGCTCAAGCTCATAAATATTCATGTTGCTGACATTATTGAAGGAAAACCTTCCATTGTGCTTGGCCTAATTTGGACAATTATATTTCATTTTCATGTAAGTATTTCAGTGATGTAACGGAGTTTTAGTAAAGAAAAAGAGCACAAAAATGTGTTGATTACGTGGTTGCCAAATGAGATGAATTGCTACAAAGTAGAAGGTTATTTTCTGATGTCTGGAAGTGACGGCTCAGGGAGGAGACGCACCAGCGCGTCTTTCCTGTGTCTCTGAACTGCTTCACCAATGCAATATTGGCATTACAGCCTGATGAACAGTATCTAGCTGCAGTAGGAAGGGAAGATACTGAGATTTTTTTAAAGTAACCAGTTAAAAAATAGGCCAAACTTTGCCTATCTACCTAAGGCCTGTAATGATTAAGCTCCAAATAGAGCAAATAGTGAAAAGTGACTGACATCCGTCTCCCTCAGAGGCATCCCCCCTCTTCAGTGTTGGCTGTGCTCACAGTGTGTAATTCTTGCTATAATTTTTTTCAGTACCAGGTGCCTGAAATAACATGAAGGCTGTCATAGTGATGTTTCTTATACAAGATACTGAGCATGCATCTTGCGTGGCGTGAGGTTAGGGGGAAGTTTGAAAGCACAGGGCCTTGCTTTAATCATATTGTAGGACTGTAGAAGATGATGGAGCCAAATTGCCTTCTAGCAAGAGCCCAGTGGTGAATTAACATAGGTGCACGGGGAGTGAACTTGTGACTGGGGCTCAGGAGAGCACTAAGAAGCAAACCTACTTAGCAGTATTGTAGCCCACATTTTTCTTGGTCAAGGTACTTTGGTGCTGAAATGTAGATCTCTGAGGTCTATTGAGTAAGTTTTCCTGCACCCTGACTGAGCAGGCAAACTCCGAACACGCCTAATGCATGACACTGTTGACAGCAGAAAATACATCGGCCCTGGGCTGCTTTCACTGGTAGGAATAGAAAAGCACACTGAGTGAAAAGGTCCCTTGATGCCATTGCTGGTACCCACAGTATAACATGGAAATCTTTGGGTGAATGTTTCCTGCCAAAAAATCACCTAAAGTTGGGAATTCAGCATGAAAAAGTTCAGGTTGAACAGATAAAAAAACCTGATCTTATCTCTGGGGGCAGGGAACTACTATTACAGCTCTGACTGAGTCCTTTCTAATTCTCTATGGGTTTCTGCCATTGATGTCTTGATAATTTTTCACTAAAGCCTGATTAACTCTCCCATCATCTCTGATAGATTGAAGAACTTGTCAGGATACTTGCTTGTACTTACAATCAGCCCTTACCTGATTCTTCAAGTGCTTTTGACTCCTCTCCAAAGGCAAGTCGATCAGCTAAAAAAAGTGCTAAAATTAAGGAGCGATGGAAGATGTCTGCTACAAAGGCTCTTTTGTTATGGGCAAAAGAACAGTGTTCACTGTAAGTTCCATCCAAGACTTATAAACAGTATCTTACAAGTTGTATTTACTGCTTTCCTCTAAATGTGGTGATATTTTCCCCTGGGTTTTTTTTAGCATTATTTAGTGACAGCTTAGAAGAAAACCCTTTAGATTTCAGATATTGTTACAGTACTTTTAGCATCAATCAAGCTCTAAATGTTTTGACGTGAACCCTTTAAATATAATAATGTGAAGCTAACTCTACTAATAAACTACCATAATGTAAATTGAGTTGTTTGGCTTTTCTCCCTTAGGGGCTTCTGTGTGCTAGTGGAATATTTACATGATTTGCTAGTTTTAGTTCTTACTATTGGCACTGGTTACCAAAGTTTCAATAATTTTTTTTCAAATGGAAAATGTAGGATTTCTAGGATTCCTACACCTTGTGTTTTTCTGTCAAAAGACTGCATGATCCCAAAGAAGGACCCTAGTTCTAGAGGTCCTAGTCCCCAGTTCTAACAAGGTGTTTCCTTATGCTTGGTGCTGATTTCAGTGGGAGCATTCACAGTGCTCAATCTGGAGCAGATACAGATATTTCTTGCAAGGGGCAGTCTTTACACTAGTGCGTCACTCCAGGACATTTCAAACATGCTTTACGATAATGTCAGCCCTTTCTCTCCAGAACTTTGGTTGCTTTGTGTTCTAATAACATCCTACTAATATTCCATGTTCTTAGTGGGAGATAAATGCCTTCATCAGCACATAGGACAGTTTCTGCTGGGAAAATGTTTTCAGGCATTGAAGTTTCCATTTTAGCTTTGTTTTAACAGGACGAGATTGATTGGCATGTAAAAATCACCTCTGTGTTCATTTAATCTTCCTCTTTCTTTTGCTTGTTTTTCATTAATATTGCTGTCTGTTTTGTGGCATCCTTTCTGAAATGTAATTACATTGATTGATTTTGCTTTCAGTGAATCCTATAGTTATTGGTAAAAGAACAAATCTTGTAAGTCCTGGCCTGCTGTTTCATAACTACATTTAATCACTTGAAACTCCACATCTTTTCCATGCCATAACATACTCCTAATATACAGGCTGCTTCTGGAAAGTTGTCCCAGAATTCACTGTGACTTGCAGAGCTGGGCACCTCACAGCACTGTCCAGGCACTGCTTAATAGAAGACATTTTAAAGACCCTAAACTAAACAAGAGAAAAAGAAATATTTTCCCGGCAGTAATAGATCACTTTTATGGTCTGGATTTTCTAAAATGCCAGAGGTGATTCAAATACTCAGTGTCCTTACAGATAAATACCTACATGTTCTTCAGTGCTTTGCTTGTTGTTTTTCCATCCCACAGAATGCGTAGATATTGAGCACAAAGGTGATGTTCAGAAAGGATATTGAATCAGCAAGGCTTTATCTCCAGAATGCAACATAAGATAAAAACATTGAGTCATTTTGCAAAAACAGGACAAAAATATATAATTGTAGCAGCTGATAGTACTGGCTGTATTGTTGTCTGACCCAGCTTTTGTAGAAGTTCAGTGGCAAGGTTCTCTATAACTCTTTGGATTTGGTTCATACTCCATTTTACTGAATTTATATTCTATTTTTACATTCATACTTAGGACACCTGAGGAAACAGGCTATAATGTTTTGTTTCTAACCATTTTTGGGATAGGCACGGCTTTATCAATGTGACTGATTTCAAGTCAAGCTGGCGAAGTGGACTGCCTTTTTTAGCCATCATCCAAACATTACGACCAGGTCTAGTTGATTTGGAGAAGGCAAAAGCCAGAAGCAATAAAGAAAACCTGAGAGAGGCTTTCAGCATTGCAGAAGTGGAGCTGAATATTCCACGGCTTCTTGAACCTGAGGGTATATGATCTGCTTTTTTTTAATCTTTGTTATCAGGGGTGAGATTAATATAATCCTATATGTGTTGACTTGTAATACAGGAAAAACTAAGACTGTGCTTAAGTTTGAAATGGAACATTGGTCTTTACTGTAATGCTCAGACCTGAGGTTCTTTATTTTATAACATTGACTGTACTTAGGATTTGTAGGATTTTTGAATTGGCAGCAAATGTAGGAACAATATGCAGAAGAAAGGGTATGAAACTCTCCCATTCATGGGAGAAACTTTTTCATTAGTTAGTCATGTTATATCAAAATATTCCCAAGGAAAAAAAATGTTCATTACATATTAATTTCTGTCAATGGTTTGTTAACTGAGCTGCTGCAAAATAAATGTGTTTATGGTAATGTGTTTTAATAACTGCAATATAGTGTGTAATTATGTGATCAGGCCTAGAAGGCTGCATAATTATGTAAATGGTGTATTGGCTCTTGTAGATGTTGACATTATGAATCCAGATGAAAAATCAATCATGACTTATGTGGCTCAGTTTTTGCAATACTCCAGGAATCTGAGTGAGTCTGAAGAGGATGTGCAGGTATGTCATGTGGTTTATCACTGAGGCATTTTTAAATGAATGTGCATCATGGATGCCAAGAATGTCAGTACTTTCTTAACCCAGTTTATAACCTGTCTCAGTAACAGTTAGATAGTAGATCCTCTGATTCAGTTACTGACAGGACTGAATTGGCTTGAACCTTCTGATGCTCCTGTGTGGTAGTCAGGAGTCAATGTGATAGATTTTTGATGATACAGGTGGAATTTCTGTGTAGGTTGTCTTGTCTTTTCATTTAACTATCACAGAGGACATTTTCAAGCCTAGTTGTCTTCATGTGTGCTCTGAAGTCTGTATGTAAATACTGGGGTAGATGCAGACAGATTTGCAAATGTGCAGAACAACCAGCTTTAAATTTAATAGCTCACATGTAAAGTGGACAGAAGTTGTCACTCACAGATCACACTGGTTGGAAAACCAAGTTTTCTATTCTCTATATTCTCCCATGAGAGTTCATGTATTAATTGGTTACTCACATACTCCATAGTGATAATCTCATTTCGATAGGACTGCAATCAGACTCTTTTTTTAAGATGCCTTCATATATCCAGGTGCCACGTTTGAACTTTGGCCTTATTCTATAATAGTGCCTGACACAAAATTCATTAGAGTCCCCAGGAATTATTTTTATTTCAATAGCTTTGAACGGGGTTTATCATATGGTCAATGTGTGTTGTTTTATGGCACAATGTAAATTAAAAACAAGGCTTACAAAATGGAAAAATGAAATTTTCTGCTCTAATTACCAGGAAAAAGTAAGAGAGGCTATGAGCTGGTTGGCTGAACAGGAGAAGAAGTTAGCAAAGTTGCTGATTGACACAGAGAATGAAACATATTACCAGAAGTACAAAGTAAGTTACCTTCCGTATTAAATGCTTCTGTGAAAAGAAGCTATATTTATGAGAATATTTTTATTTTTTTTCATCTTCATTGCCTAAACTGAAGCAGTAAATAAAGTTTTAAATCAGAGTTGGAAATCTGTCAATGAATTTGGTAAATGTCCTCATATGATTGAGGGAAGGGTAGGATAAAATTCCTTCTGTTGGGAAAAAGATGTATGCTGCTTGGTTCCTGAGCAGAGCAAGGCTTTTTTGGAGAGAGTAAAGTAGTGTCTTTTAATTAATTGATGTAGTTGAAGACTTGGACAAGATTCAAACACATAGGCCCTTTTCAGTGTTACCTTTGCCGTTTCTGTGATAATAGTATCAGTAGGTTTTACCCAACTAATGTTGTAGAGGAGTAGTTGTAGTGTTGGCTATATGTTGTTCTGAAGTAAAACTTCATTTGGTTTATATTGTAACCAGAGTTTATAATAAAGTGGCTCATGGATGACTGTGAGGGGAGAAATTTTCCCTTTCTCTTGGCGGGAGGGAAGAACCATGTCAGGGCTGCACTGACACTATATTAAATACAGATTTTGCTAGTGAATGGCACCTATAGTTTCAGACCCAAATACTGACTGGAGACAAATATGCCTCTTTCCTGCTATCTTGCCTTTCCGTGCACCACACCATTTGAAGTTAATGCAAGTCATACCAATGTATTCAAAAGCAGTACTTGACTTCATGAGCTTCCATCTGAAGTCATCTTCTATGAATTATTTTTCCTTTTTATCCCTAGGAAATGATGTCATTTATGGAAGCATTTAACCAAGGAAAAAAACCCTTTTTGCCTGTGTTGTCATCAAAAAGAAGTGAAGCTGAGCTGAGCGAAGGCCAGCAGCAGATGAGGGAAGAGTGGGATAAACTGATCTCTCAGGTCAGAGTCATTTCTAGCTCACCTCATTACAAGTGTGAGCATGTTTGATGAAGGAGCTTAAGTCTAGCCCAAGAACTCACACAGGGAAAAATGTAGAGGTGATACTTTATTTGAATTGATAAATGAGGTATTGACCCTGAACCTGAAGTCCAGGCAAACTGAGGTGTACAATGCCCAAGAGGAGGCAGAAGGTGACTGTGTAATCCCCTTCTGCCTCCTGAGCCTCAGGACTGTGAGACGTCCACAAAAATGGCCTGCATCTGATTATCTTTGAGCACTCTTCTGATCAAAGTTTTTGGCATATTTATGCTTGAAAGGTTCTTTTGGGACATAATTATGGCTCAGATAATGATGTAGCTGGGAAAAGTGTGTTAATTTATTCTTTCCCATGGCACAGATAGTGATATAGTGAGATTTGGCTGGTCAGTGCTTTGCAATGAGCTTGGCTGTCATCTCCCTCTGCTGCAAGCAGGGGGCACGTATTGGCCCTTGCTGGTAGTTGCTCTTTGTGGAAGAGATGTTTCCCCTGTTAGCTCCATGATGGAAAGCTGTCCAAAGTATCTCTGTTTCCCCTCTTTTGAAACTAATTCACTATAAATTTCCCTGTTTCTGAGCTTTGAGATGGTCACCAGCCAAGGATAGTAACTGACAAATTCTCTGTAGTGTTACAGAGATTACAGACTGAGGAGCAAACCTCAGTCTCAGGTAAACATAGCTGATTTGCAGCTGACTTCCCTGGAAGCTCCTTTTCTGAATGGTGACAGGTGTTTGTTTTTTTCCTGGGACGTCTAGAGCATCATCTTATGGAGTTTATATCAATATCTTGGGGATGGGGAAGAAAATAACAGTAAGAAATTTAATCACTTGTTTTCCTTTTTAAGATTAATGAATGGAAAGTGAAGCTGGAAAAGATGTTGCCCTCCCCTCTGGATAGCATTGAGGCTTGGCTTCAGGAGGTAGAACATCTGCAGGCAGAAGATTTGCCTGATTTGCAGGACCCATTTAAAGCGATGTTTGTCTTCAGAGAAATAATTGTAATATTTAAGGTATGCCGATCACAAAGAAACATTCTGCTTCAGTCTGACCTAGCAAAGCACTTGTTATGGAATTGCTGTTTGACATTTTAGGAAGTGATGTGGATATGTTTATCTTCTGAAGATGAAAAGCTCTTTTGAACATACCTTTGAACGATGATGGGTTTAATTAAATAACTGCATAGGTCTATAAGGAAGATTTCTGACATCACTGGACTGAGACCAAATTGGAGTGCTATCTGAATGAGTAAATTATGGTATTCTTTTTTATGTGGTTCCTGCAACTTGTTTGTTTGTTACTTAATAACACAGGGTAATTGCATCCTTATCTTTAAATCTATGCTTAATGCATACTTATTCAGAAAAGCACTTGTGCTCAGGGCTACATTCCAGTGAATTCATGAAGTTTGTGTGTTTAAAGTTAAGTATTTGCTGAATCACTCTGTAATTCCATTCAAAACAATGGGAGATGTTTTGATACCTTCATACCATGCAAGTTATTTATTCTGATATTAAAATCTTTATACTGATAACAGTTTAAATGTCCTTTTGAGTTTGAAAACTTTGAAAAGAGTAGATGTGTTGATGCCTGGCTGATCATCATAATGCTGTACTTGTTTTTTTTTACAAACAAGGGGGAAGTTGGATGTTTTTGGTCTATGATTTTTGTTGTTCAGTCTAAGTAGTTAAAGCATTTCTAAAAATGAGACAAAGAGAGAGATGTTATTGATTTAGGGGTTTCTTTTTTCCTACTGAACGTGTAGATAAAAATCATTAAGTTCCTTTAGAAGAAGAAACCAAAGATGCTTAAGTACTGTCAGATCTACTTTTCCTAATGGGAAGACATTCTGCTGAGAATTTTTTGCCCCCTCCTTCCCCTAGTCAGTCCTTTTAGTACATCTCGTGTAGGGATCTTGGTGCCAAGGTGGTACCTCATAATGGAAATTTTACTTTCTCTTAAGATCTAGGAAATTACTCACCAATGCTCATAACTGTCTGATCAGAATAGTATTAAGCTTACAAAATAAAATGTTTAGAATCTATACACTCTTTTGGCGTTTGAGGACTGCCCCAGGATTTAGCCATTTCCATTAACATGGTTCCTGGGAGTTCTTATTACATAGAAATGAACTTCTGGCATATTTCTTTATATGCCATTTATGAATATGCTTATATTCTGTGCAATGCATTTTATGTTTTATTTTTACATAGGGAATTTGCTGCTGGGACAGATGCCTGTATAATATTCCACAATCATGTAATACTGGCCATCAGTGGGTTGATGTGATATGCTATCAGCAGGGTGTTAGATGGAAATTTATTGAGCAGTCAAATGAAGTATTAAGCAAGTGTGACATAATAGGTTTATTCAACAGATTTTGTTGTTAGTCTTTCTAACACATAGGAAAGAACAACTTCATGTCCTGAAACTGTTACAATGACACTTTTTTTGTCCTAAAGATGATAGTGGAAGTGCAGAAAACACCTGATAACATGTGTAGTGTAGATTTGTGTTCCTTATGTTTAACTAGATTCACAGTGATAAGAGAAAATGGATAGTACTGCACTAAACATGCACTTTAGAAGGTGATGAGTTAAATACTTTCATTGCACCTTAATGAGTAAAAACACTGGGAGATTGTCTTGTGCTGACTAGTTCTTAATAGCTCTCACCCTAATGGCAGGTGACTTGCAGATTCCCAGATGAAATACTCCAGAATTAAAATGAATTACGTACTATGTCTTTTTCTCTCCAGGGCTTGATGGATTGTTTTGATTCTCACTTGGACACCCTTCAATCATTTAAGAATGAAGATGAGAAGAATATGCCACTAGTCTTGCCTGAAAAGTTAGAGGAAATGAAAACAAGGTTGTAATCCTCAAAATCCCTCTATTTGACTATGTTGTATTCTAGCTCTGTGATTGGCTTGCTCTGCTGTTCTGAACAAAACACATAATTTATCCATGCCTTGCAGAAAAGGAGCGTTTTCCACCTAAGCACACATTGACTGTCATGCGGAGCAGGCAGGTTCACTCGTTGGTCCAATGAATGTCTAATTATTTGTAGAAAGTGGAGCTCATTAACAGGAACTTTTCAGATGCCCTTTCCTGGTGTGAGTAGGAAACACCCACCAGGGGTCGGAAACATGAATATTTTGACTGTGTGTGGATTCTCTAATTTTTAATTTCCACCTTTTAACATCACTGAGATCTACAGGTTGTGCAATCCTATATATCTGTTGGAGGATATTTTAAAAAATGACTAGTGAACTGTGTCTGTAACCTGAGCCCCTTTGACATACAGATGGCAGATGCCCCTTTTCTGGGCATTTAAGTTTTATCATAAATTGAAGAGTCAATATTGACTCTACAGTGTGGCTTCTAAAAAATGAACTGTTGTTACCTTAAAATTTTACTCCTGTCCTAATAAAACAATGTTTACATACATAGAATTATGAGTTTGTAGGCTAAAAATCTTATACAATAATGCCTTCTATATCCAGTGATTTTGAGAAAACTTTTGGAACATTTTACTGTTTGCAGATTCAGCAATATTCGTTTCACAAACTCCAACACCTTTCTTGAATACCACTATGGTCTGTGCTCAGCTATTGCCAATGAGGTAATGTTAAAGCTAAATATCTGGGACGTGAAATATGGGACAAAAGAGTCCGTGGAATCACTGCTGGAAAATTGGAATGTAAGTTTAAAATATATGTATCACACCCCAACAATAATTTTTCTTCCCCACCTCTCTTTGATTCAAGCTTGTTTCTGTCCTCATCTGAAGATACTATGATATTATGTCATTTCTCAATATTGCCCTAGGGCCCTAACTTTTTGAAATAAACAGTCCTGAGTCATGCAGACTGTGACTCAGGCAATGGCATTCAGGAGTTAATATTCCCCTTGAAGTTATTGTCTGCATGAGCAGAAAAAAGAACAGATCTGTTTCACACTAAAGGATGCAAGTGAGTTGCTGGATGGGCTTTGCTCCGTTTACATTTAACCTGCAGGTTATAGTCTCATATTGAAAAAAATTTATCCCGAGCTGCATTTCCTACCTAGTTTTATGTGGGTTAGTGATACCCATGCCAATTACTTTTCACTTTGGACAGAATTTCATTGAAGAAAAGAGACTTGAAACACAACTAGAAATTGCTACTCACATCTGTGAAGATTTGAAAAACAAAAACATAAGCAGTCCTGAATTAGGTAAGTTCTTGGACATAAACTGATATGAAGACCTCTATTTTGAACTGATGTGCTGTCACCAGTTTTAATTCCCACTTATGTTTTGTGTAAAATACTGTATCTATGTAATTAACCTCTCTGTTTCCAAATGTATAATGATAGTCCCTATTTGATGTCCTAGCTGGTGATCCTCAAGAAATTAGCAAACTTTTCAAGACAGTGGAGTCAAAGATTTCTGTGTGCAGAGACTATATTTCCCATGTAAATACCACCCTACAGAAAGTCCTGTCTTCCTGGAGTAATTATACAGAAAACATCCACTTACTAAAGATGTGGCTGGAAGAAAAACGAAATGAGCATCCAAGAGAGGTACGTGGTTGGATTTCTCTTTCTAATCACAGATGGAGATACCTGCAAGCCTCCTGGAAGGAAAACATCATATGTGACAGTGGTGATTGTTGCTGCTTTTCTGTTCCTTATTTTGGAAGTAAACTTTTGGCAGGGTTCTGCTTTAAATTATTTCAATGCCTCTGTCTAGATCCCTGCTGAGATCCTGGCAAAGTGGAATTCAGTTCATGGTTCCTTAAATGAAGCTGGAAACTATCTTATTGAAGTCAGCAAAGAGCAAGTTGGATCAAATATTGCCAAAGAGCTGAAGAAACTGAACAGGAGATGGGCTAAGTTCATGAAGAGGACACACTTTGTAAGTTACCAGTTTCATATGCTTTTTTTATCAGGCAGCCTTCAAAGTCATATTTTCTAGACTTATCAGCTTGCTAATCAGAGGCTAATAAATCTTCCAGTCAATTCATATTGCCAGTTTTAAAACAGGAGGAACAGAGGCATCCCATCCTTCAGTTTTTGTGACTCAGTTAAATGCTCTTTATGTCACAATGGAAAACGTTGCATTTTTTAGATGGAAATTTTAAAACCACTTATAAAAGGAAATCTTATTACTGAATAAAGCTCTTTATTCAGTTCTAGAGATGGAAGTAAGCAATTTATTGAGAGCTCATGAGCCTTTGCTAAATGGTATAACCTTTGACTCAGCTAGTAGAAAGTAATTATTGCTGCATATATATTTCTAGGGTTGTGTAACTTTACACTAGCTCAATTGACAGGTGTTTAGGCTGCTATAAATCCCTATTCAACCTACTTAATGTTACAGATTTTACATTTCCTAGAATGCTTTCACAAGAACGACATTTTCACTCTGCCTGGAAACATTAGAGCATTTTCTAACTTGATCCTTTTTTTGACATTTATTAAAGGTACTGTTATGACAATGAACAATGGCAAACAGTTAGAACAATTTTGTAGGAGATTAGCTTAGTGAGAATGCAAGAAAATCAAAGGAAACATGTTTCCAAGGGTAAGGGAAATCCAGAGTTTCCTAGAAAAACCCTTAGTAAGAGATGCTTTTAGGAAGTACATTCAGAAAGCAGAGATAAAGAGGCTTCTTGCACACTTACAAGGGCTTAAGGACTTCAGGAGTTATTTTTTTTGGCATTGTGTTGACCATTATGGCTATAATATATATTCTATTTATTTTTATATATCAAAAGGCAAGGGCAAATGCTTGAGCTCTGGCCTGTGACTGTCTACCATTAAACTGTTAGCACTCTTCCTGGTCTGGATTTGACCAACACCAGCTATTGTTCTCTTGGACAATTCCCTGGCATAACCTGGGGGATGCTGCAGCCCAGAAGTTACTCTCTATAGCAGAGTGGCTGTGGCTGCATGCTTATAGGGGAGGGGGCTGAGCCGTATGGATGCAGGTTGTGCTGTCCGACTTGCTCCCAGAGACGAAGAACTAAGCCTCACGTGGCTTATTTACCAGTATGTTTGACATTTATTTCTCCTTCAATCCTTGTTGGGTCCAAAAGCTGGAAAGTAACCTAAGTGGTGACCATGTGTTTCAGGAGGGTAGCAGAGAGACCTGTGAACCGATGACAGGAATGAACATCTTACCCTGCTCTTTGTTTATAGCTTGGTGAAGAGAGCACGGATGCTGCTGAAAAGACCAGGGAGCTTCTGGGGGGCCTGGAGAAAATTGAAGAGCTCCTTGGAGGGGTGGACACTTGGGCAGCAGAGACTGGACGCCTGCTTAGCGAAATCGGTCATGAGAGGCCTGTGGAACCTGAGATGGAGGCACATTTGAAGGTGAAAATGGAAATACACTGCTTAAAATACTTATTCATCAGATTCCTGTCTTTCAGCACCGATTCATGGCTGGGGTAAAATGAGCCATCATCAGTGAAGCAGAAATTAATGTGGATTTTGTGCTGTAACACTGGTAAAAAGTGAAGGCAATGCTAGTGTTTTGATGTTATTTCCCTGGATCACTCCCAGATGAGCTATAAATGAATCGTCCAACATCAGTGTGACAGATGACAAGCAGGTGCCAATGATCAGCAGCTTGCTCTTGAGTGATATTAATTACTCCCTGTCCAGCACAGCATTTGCAGCAGACTGAAACTTTGCAAAGTGCCAAGTTGAGAATTTTCCCTGGTCATACAGTGCTTTCTATCATCTACCCCCCAGTGCAGGGAGGAGGTTTGGGACAACTTGGCTGTACTCAAGGCTTGCCTGTCAAAAACTGAAATATTTTAAGTATTTTCAGCAGCATGCTGGGTAATTTGCGCATCTCAGTTTATAGGCAGTCGCTCTAAACGTCCACAGTGATGACTGATGAATTTCTGGTTACTTCCACTAGTCTCTATTGTTTCCCATGTCTCTCTGCGAGGGATTACTGTTTCCCCTCCAGCAAATGGCAGGTGGAAATATGTATATATAACTCAGCAGCTTCAGTAAAAGTCCAATTTATTTTCTTCACCTGCCAGTGAAGGTGAGACTGAACAAAGATGCCACGCTTTGCACTGGAGAAGCTGAAGCACTGTCTTATGTTGCCTTTTGCTATTTCTGCAACAGGGCCAGCATAATCTAATGGTAGGAAGGTGACCACCAGAGGGAAATTTCACTGGAGCTTCACTGTCTAAGTGCTAAAATTAAACAGATCTTTTGGTACATTAAATCCACCTACAATAACTGTGAACCAGAATTAGTGTTAGTTTACTTTTCGTTTGTGCCTTCTCGCACCATGTTTAGTTGGCAGAATTAGGAGTGTGAGCCTATGAAAAGAATCTGTTCATCTTTTTGTACTTGTGGGCATATGTTTATAAAATTAGCTTTATTTTGCAGTGTGACGCTAGTTTGCTAAAAACAAAAAGTAATAAAAGGCACCCTGAAATACAGCCTCCAAAAATGTGACTGGTATTGTATCTTCATGTCTGTGAGCAGAAGAGATCAGGTCGTTTATTACCCATGAAACAATAGGTCGGGATCCAGAAAGCACTGATTATCATTAGAAGAATGCTAATTGACAACTTCAAACAGGAAAATGTGTTGAATATTCATAGATCAAAACAGCTCTAATAATGACATTTCATGATAAATATTCAAATATGGCACACCACTTTTGCATGCAAAATACCCAGCTGCTTCCTGCCTTTTGGTACTGAATACTGCAAGAAAATCTGAGCCTTGATATGTGCTTACTTTTGGATGACTTCATGATCAGATGATGCATATCCAAATGTGTGGTTTCTACATTCATTTGGAAAGCTGTTTGGATGGAAGAGCATGTTTAAAAAATAATTCTAATTGGATCTGAGGCAAAGACATTGGAGGTATCACATTGACAGAAAGACTGTTTCAGCAAACAGAATCCCCTGTGGATGGCAGCAGACTTCTTTCTGTCTACACAGAGATTTTGCAGTGCAATACACTGCCCATAATTGGAAGATTTTGCTTGACCAAATACTGACTATCCATGATCAAGGCTGGCTTTTTCATTCAGTTCCTTTAAACAAAAAGACATAAATACTGTACAGGCTTCTAATGCTTTTTATTCAACTAGAGTTTGGCTGCAAGGGGAACCTCATGCCAAGAACAAGTTGTGGCAGCAGAAGAGAGATTACAGTCCCTGATGCAAAATGTTTCAAGCCAGGTGTTCCAACATTCTCACACCACTGGGCTGCAGACACGAATTAAAGAAGCCAGAGATAAAATAGAGGTACTCCTTTTTTACTGTTTTTACGCTTTATACACACAGCCATCTCTAATTTTGACATTATGTGATTAAGATGACTTCTTTTAATTCATGTAAAATAAAAAAGCATATATACTATTGGAATCAGTCTCCCAGACTCATGCCAGGCCAAAAAATGGAACATTTCGAAGATCAATATCCCAACTCAAAAACCTTGAGTGATGTTTTGAAGCAACAGTTTTATGTAATTACTGACACTCAGGCATGTTTTGAAAAGAGTCTTTTTCTTCCGAGGCTGTCATGGGTGACATGAACAACATCTTGTCCAAATCTGAGAAGAGACCTGCAGAGAAGGAGACTTGGCTCAGTTTTGAAGAATCCCAGAAAGAACTTGAGGCCTCCATTTCAAAGGCTGTGCAACTTGTCAGTCAAAGATTAAGTCCTAAAGAATGTATTTCGAGATATGAGGTGGGTTTGTTTTCTGAGCCAGCTGAATTTGAGTATTTTGTAGTACTAATTAGTATCCAAAAGGCTAAAGTACCACAGTGAGAAAAGTATCAGAAGGGGTTTTTTTTGGTAGCTATTAATCCTTTTCTCAGCTTTTTGATTTAGCACTGTTAGCATATATTAACTCAGCAGACAGCTTGAATGAAGAAATGTGAATCTGTATGGCAGTTTATTCAGTGCCCTGTCTTAACTTAAATTACTCCATCATCCCATCAGAGCTCATTATGTTCTGAACTACAGCCATTTTTTTTTGCGTGATTAATAATTAAGATTCCCATCAAGAATTACACGCCTGAATTTTTGGACAGGTTTTTAAAGTGTGATTATAAGTACTAAATCACCTCTTTTTCCTAGTGGCTAACTGATTGTCCTGGTTTCAGTTAGGACAGAGATAATTTTCTGGGACAGTGCTGTGTTTTGGATTTAGTGTGAGAATAATGTTGATATCACATGGATGTTTTATTTGTTGCTAAGTAGTGCTTATCCTAAATTAAGGATTTTCAGTTGCCCATGCTCTGCCAGCGAGCAGGTACACAAAAAGCTGAGAAGGAGCATGGCCAGGGCAGCTGACCTGAACTAGCCAAAGGGATATTCTGTATCACAGAACATCATGCTCAGTATATAAACTGAGGGGAGTGGGCCAGGATGGGTGTATCGCTGCTTGGGCATTGGTCAGCAGATGGTGAGTAATTGCATTGTGCATCACTTGTATTTTCTTGGGTTTTAATTCTCAATTTTTTATTATATTAATTTTCACTATTATTATTATTATATTTTATTATTGTTTTTATTTTATTTATTCAATCATTCTTATCTCAACCCAGAAATTTTACTTTTTTTCAAATTCTCCTCCCTATCCCTCTGGGAGGTGAGAGGAGTGAATGAGTGGCTTAGTTGCTGACTGGGGCTAAACCACAGCACTGGTAAAGAAAGTGCACAATCTCAAAATCTGGACATCTTAAAGAGGTCCTTAGTGAAATATCAAAACTGGAAGTGCCCAGAAATCTGTGTTGCTTTACCTTGCACAGCAGCTCCTGGGTGGCTGTGGGCTGGGAGCAGTGCAGAGCCTCACTCCAGGCCATCTCATAGGGTCCCACCGTACCAAAGCAGACTTTTCACCCCCTCTGACAGGCACGGGACATGGCCACATATATTCCCTAGAAATGATGTAAAGTTCAGGGACCCTTGATCTTTCTTCTTTGGTATCAAATCTGTCCCTAAAAGAGGATTTACAAGAACAACATCTGCTTTTCTCCAAAAAGCATACACTGATATTGTCTGCAACCTTTTTGCAGGTATGCAAGGGTAGAGAATGCCCTCATACCCATACAAGGGCCATCGCAGCCCATACATACAATGTATACATGTTTTATGCAAGGTTTTTGTAAGCTATTGATGTAATTTTATTAGGTAAATAAGCTACATTCAGCTCTGTTTATTTTTCGTTATGATGCTTTTCTTTCAGGAGGCTTTTAATGCTCTAGACAATAAAGTTCTTGACAAATATTTGAAAGCAGCTGAGCAACTGAAAAAGATTTCATCTGATCGTGAGAAGCTGGTAGTGGAAGAAAGGAGTGAAGATGTTCGTAAAAGATGGGAGGTGAGGTAACAGGAAAGAGAAACCACTGTCTGTTCTCATTACTCCTGGCGTCTTTGAAAAATAATTATTTTGCCACAATATGTTCTGAGGTTTTTATTTGCATTGTAATACTATCTCACCATCTCACAGGGATAATGTATTTTGAATTTTGCAGGAAGTTCATCATGAAATTATAGCTTTTGTCCAGATCATGGTAGAAAGGGAAAAAAAGAAATTTAACACAACTTTAAAAAAAATCAATAAGCAATTAGGCAAAGAGAAGAAACTTCTAACTACGGATAAAACCAAAGGGCTCATCAAGGAACATGAGGTACCTGCCATACTCCTTTTCTGTTCACCTACCTCTCTTTGTGAATGCATTGTCTGTCCTTGCTCCTTTTTAGGTACATTATTGCAGCCTGTGTTTGTGGAACAGGGCCTTTGTGTTCAATGTTATATAAACACAGAACAAAGAGGCCACCCATATTATTTCTTTACTTTTTTTGACTGCAGCTATTAGCCTTCTTGCAGACTTTTAGAATTATCTCTGTGTTATGTGGATGGTATGTTTTTTTCCTTTTTTTTTTTTTTTTTTTTTTTAAGACAGCCTTAAAGCATTAAAACATTTAACTGCGCAAAGTATAAAAATAAGAGATGGTTATGTGTTCTGTGACTCCCTTGATTTGTTACAGTTCCATAGATGGTGTTAGGTGCCTTCATCTGAGAGTATCTTCTTGCAGTGAAATAGCCACACTTTACCTCTGTGTTTGTGCTGTACATGAATTAATCACAGAGTTAGACATAAGATGCTCATGTTTCACTTGCCAGGGTGAGTCATGGTGAATCTTACATATTCCATAAGCAATGGGGTTTACACTTCATAGCTTCTGGTGTTTTGCTTCATCCTTCTCTTTGAAATGCATTGATATTGCCAGCTTACCACTTGTAAGGGTAAGAAATTGCTCTCCTCGTGGAATTCTGGTCTTCACTGAATTCAGTGGAGTTTTAGTCTTTGCTTTTTATAGGTTCCTGTTCAGCATAGGCAAGAATAAAGAGAAGTAAGAGTTCTCAGGTGTATTGTTAGATTTTTAGTATATCTTGATTTCACACTAGAAAGTATAATTATTGATGAGGAATATTTTAAATATATTTTCTAATTCTACTTTCTCTGTAGTCAATGGGACATGTATATCTGATGTCAGTGTGAAGAGGACTTGGGGCCAAAGTAACTAAAAGTGTAGTAACATAACAAATTTCAAAATCAAGCAAGAGTCAGTACAGTCTCGTGAATTCAGCTGGGGAACATGTTGCCAGAAAGACATATTTCTTCCCTGGCTCTGTTTGAAAAAGAATCAAGGGAAAATAAATGTTTCTTTCCTGGTTTGACAGCTTATGCTTTAAGTGCACTCATCCGAGAAGACAATGGAAATAGAAAACAAAGTATGAGAATAATTGCATATCCTTATGACTTAAGATGAGTTTGTTATATTGTTTGGGCTTTTTTTTGTTTAGGCCTTTTTTTCACATGAAGGCAGCCTGAGGGAACTTAGCAAGTCATTAGAAGACCTTAAAATATTGGGAAGGCTATCAGAAGAAACTGTCCCAGACATACAGAAACTGACTGCAGACTGTGAACAAAAGCTAGAAAACCTTCAACAAACCGTGGCAGATACTTACGCGGCCCTGCTGTCTCGTGCTGGAGAAGGACAGTCCTCTAAGAAAGAGTGGGTGACTGAGTGCATGATGTGTTGTAGCTTCACAGAAATCAGATATATGGATAAATTTTGTGGTATTGTAAATGTACTACCAAGTACATTACTATGGGCAATGGTACATTTAAACATTTAGTATTAAGTTTCATAAACTAGCAAGTACAATGTTTGCTTACCCTTCATCACAGCTGTGCTGCTTTTAATCGTTAGCCAGGATTTCTTTTTTTTCCCCTTTGTATTTCATATATTGTTCTTAAGCTGAAGTTTCTTTTAAACTGTAGGAACTCCGTTGTTGCTTCTGAGAATGGAGAAAAGCCTGGTTCTTCTTCTCAACAAATCAATATCCTTTCAGTACAGGAGGTAAGAAGTCCATATTTACCGTTAGAAAACAGCGCGCTGTACAGGAAACGTCATTGGCAAAAGGAAAACCTGATTATTTCTGTTACTGTTCTTACTGTGGTAGAACTTCAGGCCTCTGGTCAGACACCAAAAACCCATTGCACTTGGGAATGTAGACTAGGTAAACATTAAAAAGTAACATGCGAGGAACAGCACTAGGCATCCTGAGGAGATGTGAGTCTCCAACCTTGCATTATATTTTGCTAAAGGGTGGCTTTCAGCTGGAAGGGTCATGTGTGAAGCTGTGTTCAAGTGCAAATCCCCCATAGTGTCCTATTCATTTGAACAAGTTTCAGAGTGCACGGGGGCAAAATAATGAAGAGTTGGAGGCATTTGCTTTAGAAAAATACAGGGAAAACCAGAACACATATAACTTCTTAGAAATGATTTCAGAGAGACAAGATACTGCAGTTCATCATTTGGATGCTGCAGATGTATTGTTTAGGATAAACATCCATGCAATTAAGGCTGCAGACTGGTGATTTATAGGAAGGGACCCATTTCACTTACATAAAGTTTGAAGAGACGTAGGAATTGGCGGTTATCAAGGGAGATCTCTTGTAAGACTACTAATATTGTCTCTGATACAATTATGAAATCTGTTCTTTCATGGATAATCAAAGTACAAATAATATAAATAACATCAGCCAGCCTCAAACTGAGGAGTGAAGTGTATCCTGGAATCAAGGGTGAGACACATGTGAAGGCATCTGGTATAAACAGCCTGACAAAAGCTGCAGAAGACAGTGCCTTGTGGTTGTCCAAGGATGTCCATGGAGCAGCAGCAAAAATTTGCACAAGTGGATTGTGCTTGCCAAAGACCCAGTATCTGTGGGAGAAATGAATAACCTGGCTGCGAGTGTTCAAAAATTTGCTCTTTTAGTTCATGATTGAGTTTAAGCACACCTTGTATTCATGAATGGTATCTCTCATTTCCTTCAGGACACATGAAGCACTTGCTTCTTTTAGGAGTTCACAGATGTCTGTTGTCTTCACTATGTATTGACACAGCATGATGCAGAGGTCACTGTTACCTTTTTTATTTTCACTCAGGCCTCAAGACCTGCTGCAGATATAGTTTTGGAACCAGATGTGAAACATCACAACGGAGAAAGCTGTGCAAAGAAATTTGAGGAAGACAATGATTTGCCCTTACCAGCTTTATTAGAGAGGTATTTTTTAAAAGGATAAAATGCATGTATATTAAGAGATGATACTATGATAGACATTTATAAATTAATTGAATGTATCAAACATAGGGTGCACTTTTGCTATTCAGAACTCTGTTCCTGTTCTACTCAAGTTTACGTAATACCACTCTGTAATTGATAAGGAAGCACTATAGTAGCTAAATGCTTCAAACATTAGGATATTGTAGCAAGAACACTTAGAGCTATAAAACTTTTTCTTCTACTCTTTTCTTGGGTCAGAAAAATCTCTGTCTGCCTTATTAGTAACTTTAAATATTGCAAAATAAAAAAAAAATGTGTAAAGTTTTTAAAGAACTGTCATTTTTACATGCATAAAACTGAATTTAGAGAATGCAGACAGGCATTCACACTTGAAAATGAGCCAGGTGAGCAATTTGTCGGCTCTTTTATATGTTGCTCACTTATGCCCATTCATTTGGGACTTTGGTAAAAATATGCATGTGTAATACTGTGCTTATTTTGTACAGTAATCTGTTGGTCAGCAAGTCCCATACCCTGTCATGTTCCATTAAATTAGAAGTAATACTCTCTCTGAAAGTGATTTCATCTTTTTTCAGCTATAACACACAAAGAAGTAACCTGGAGGAACTTCTACAAATCAGCAGAGATAAAGTAGCATCTGGCTTTACTGAGGAAATAAAAGGCACATCATGCCTTCAGAATAAGCTGCTTGAACTGCAGGTAAGTATTAATCTTTCAAAAACATATTTGGTGCCTAAATTGTTATTTTCTCATGTAGACCCCTCACCTCTCTGTGTTATGTGTATTGTCAAGGGAAAAGGAACACCCTTACAACCAGTTTTCTTAGAAGTAGAGGGGAAATCAAGGGTTTAGCATTCAGCAGATCTGCATTCCTGCTTAGCAGTGGAGTTTCACAAGTGTTGCAGAAAGAAGAAATTGGTGGCTCTTGGTTTGTGGTCTGCAGGTTGAAATAGGTCTAATGGAAAAAGTAACTATGGAAAGCAGCTTTTTTATCAGCAGGAGTGGTGAGTGATGGATCGTGGTCAGGGCTGGAGGAGTCATCAGAGTTAAACCATCAAATGGAAGTGGTGTATGTGCAGAATGAAATTGTTCCAGGACTTGATTAGGTTTGTGAGAACCTTGCGGGGATGACAAAAGGCACGTAATTGATGTTGGAGAATTTATTATTGCAATTTTTCAAGTCCTTGTTTGAAAGGATTACAAAGCTTATCTAGCATCTCAGAACTTGGTTCAGTTCTATGTTTGTTTTTTGTTCTTTTGAACATAGCTAAGCTGAGGTATTTTCCATTAATTCTTGTAGTAAAAGTTGCTGAACCATATTTATTGAACCTTTTATAAAATGTAGGCAAAGTATGTATCTGACATGGAAATTTTAATAATAAAAAGTTGGTAGAGATTTGCATACAGCTAAAAATGGAGTCTTAATGAAAAAGAAAGCAATAGATACTGTCAGGTGATGTTTTCATTTTTTCTGTAGAGACTCTTGTGACTATTTTTAAGAACTGTCCAGTCCATTGAGAAATACAGATTCATATCAATGCAATTAACGCTGCATATCTTTTAGGTGATAGAGAGTGAAACCAGTTCTGGTTGGACACAGTTGGAAAACATCTCATCTACCTTAGAAAATTTTGTCGATGAAGTACAGCAGGCTGCTATCTCTGAGAGAAGCAGCAAACTAAAAGGAGAATGGAAAGAGCTTCAGGATATTATAAGTACCAGGTATAAACTAACACTTCGTGATATTATCTGAGGAATAGTTCATTGTAACTAATGTGAAAAGTGTGCATTACAGAAAATACCTGCACATTTTTAACCTTTTTTTTTAAATGGCATAAAATTAAGCTTTTCTTAATTATACTTGGTTCATAACACTGCAGATAGTGTGAATCTCTCCAAGAAAAACAGAGCCAGATCTTTGTAACATCACCATGCAGTATTCTCAAGTTTATTGCTATTTCCTTCAACCTTCTGGTTAAATTCACTAGCATTCACACTGCTTTTCTTATTAATCAATAGAAAAACTCCTTTGACCTCAGGAGAAGGAGTAGATCTGTCAGTCAATTACGTTATCTCTGTGGCTTTTTGTGCTGTAAAATGTTGAGTGTCTTTTCTTGCTTGCTTTTCCAGTTCATCTTTTGTTACCTTTCTTGTAGAACAAACTCTTTAAGGACTGCTTTGGAAATTGTTTTGCCAATAGAAAATGAATCCATTCTTCTATGTGAATTAGATCAGCGGCTGAAGAAAAAGGACATCCAGCAGTTTAATCTGATGAATAGTGATCTCGCTTATAGGGAACTAAAGGTAAGGGAAAATGCAGGGACCACACCCTAGTCGGAATAGTTTTTATTATGTCTGGGAACTAGAGAACTTAATGGGATTTTCAGTCAGGAGTTTGGGACCACTCACAAGACTTCCCAAACCTTCTGAAGTCTATTGCCTATTTTACTCCCTTTGCTTTAAATGTCATTGTACCTGAAGGGCCAGACAGGGACCCTCAGTAGGCTCTGCTGTAAAAAGCACAGTCATGAACATTTCATCTTATGTTAGGACTTTCCTTCGATACAGATTTACAGTGTTCCCACCCATCATTATATCACTTCGTGGAGTCATATGCATAATGTGGTGTTAATTTGTGAGCTAAGCTAAGTTGCCTGTGTCAGACCGGCTGAGGTATCTAACTAAGCACACCTCAGGATGGTTTTAGAAGCTCTGCATGCATGCAGCAGCTTGTTCACCTGCTATCAGTATCTTATGCCTAGGCTCTGATCTGTCTGTTAGGCAGGGTGAATATTGTTTTGTTCTTGACATGCACTCTGAGCTGAACACACTGACAGCTACGCAGAAGTGAAAGTTTGCATTTGTCTGCCCTTGGCTCTCGAGTGAAGTGGGGTTTAGGTCTCTCAAGCTGTAGGGCACTCTGTCTGAGATGACTCTTTTTGGCTGGAAGGACCCTGAATTTTTCCCCAGTTCTCTGCACATTTGGAGTTTCACAATGCTGCCACACTGCTATTTGTCTGAGGACTGTGACCAGACTTCACCAAGGGATTTTTAAATGTCTGTAAATATCCTCCAAAAGTATGGCGTAAAGGACTTAAAAGATGGCAGTGACAAACAACTGTGTGCCCATCTGTGCTGTGAGTGATCTCCCACTGCAGGAGCCTGTTGGTTTCAGTCCCGGGACTCTCGTCATCTTTCCATCCTGTTTGGCTGATTGCTTGAAAGAGGCTTGGGCTTTCTACAGTGCTGACCAAGTGCCTTGTGTGTGGATTACCATTTTATTTGATTTTTCTTCTTTTTCCTTCCCTCTACCAAAGTTCAGAGTAGAAAAAAAGAGGTCTTCTTTCTTAACCACTCTGTTTAGCATACTTATTTTGTTGCTAGTATAATTTGGTTTTCAGTCATAGGTTCAGCTTGAATGCAGGATAGAGGTTTTCTTTCACTTGCTAACGCTGTTGGTCGTTCTCTCAATTTCAGGAGCTACAAAGATCCATATTAAATCAGATTGAAGTATGCAAACAATTGGAACATCTAGATAGTTCAGCAAGAGATGAATTTAATCCGATAGATTTGCAAGCTGCAAGTAAAATTATGATTTACTATCAAAACCAGCTTGAAGAAATGAGCCATACAATGCAGATTCGTGAGACAGTCCTTAGAGATCTGGAAGCTTTTATGGCCTCTTTGAGGAAGATACAGTCTTCCATCAAATGTCTCACAGATCCCCCAGGTCAACCTGAAATACAGGGAAAAGCATTGAGAGAGGCTGCACAAGAACTTTCTCACATGGCAGAAGAGGCTAAATGTTTGGATGAACGCTTGAAAACAGTTGATATCTGTTTGGAAGATGCTGAATGTGGGAGAAAGACTTGCTGTGAAAACCTTGTTTTGACTTTATCTGAAGAGCTAAATGGAACTTATGGTCCCTCAAGTGAACAGATGCTTTCAGAGGAAAAAGGCTTATACAAGATTTTTTCCACAAAAAGCAGTGAACTCCTTAAAAACATTCAGGATCTACGTGACAGAATTAACAAAATAGGCTTGAAGGATCCAACAATCCCAGCTATTCAACAAAGGTGAATTATTTTTTAAATTCTTTTAATTTCATAATTTCAGTGAACTCAGAGGACCTGTGTCCCCTTCACAGTAGAGCACTGAAACCTGAATGTGTCTTGAAGTATCTGTGGAGCCTTGAAAGAAGCTGTGAACTTACATTTTATTTGTTCTGTCATAGCCTAAATAAGGAAGCCATCTCCATTTTTTCTTTTCTTTTAAACTCCTGTGTATGTGTGTGTTTGAAGCAGCATCGATGAAGAAAAAAATAGAAGGAGGTTGATTGTTATGATCTTAGTTTTTGGTAAGAAAACTGTTGAACAGGGAGATGGGTCTTCTTGCTGAGCACTGATGCATGTGATCTGAAACTTTGCAGTGTAGAAGCCTTGTGTTATATACCACACCCTGAGCAAGCCACTAACATGAGGTCTATGTCTCTGATACTGTTTCAGAGGAGCTGTCTGCAGCCTTGCAAAGGATGAATAAACAATTCACTGCTGTTTATGTGGAGGGAAAAAGGGAGAGGAGAGTATTTTATAAACTGTGGCCATTTTTTAAGTTATGAAGTCCCATGCTATGGTATAGCTTCCTTTCTTAGACCATGTTTTAACATAGCCAGAATGCACTTATCTTTTAATACAAAATAATTCACTCTGTTCATATAAACCCTATTGGCCTTTAGGATTTTGGACTACTTTTTCAAAGGTCTTGGGTCAGCATAACTCATCTGAAGGACTGTGTCAAATAACACAAACTGAAGGTCCAGTTCAACTTTTTATAATGTCATTTAATATAGTCAGTATGTGCAGCTCAGAATTAATTTCTAGGGACTTGCTAATTGCATTAGGGAAAAAAAATCAAAGACTTACTTTAATATAAGTCTGTATTTCATTTTTTTTCCAATAAAGGGTAAAATCATTAACAGAATTGGAAAAGGAATTGGATTGTGCTGCTGCTGAAATGAAACCTATGCGAGAAATTGCTAATAAGCTCCCACAGATCGAAGAGGAAAAAACAGAGGAAGCAAATGAACAGTGCAGAGTTACAGAGAGGTTATGGGAGGATACAAAACTCTTGCTTGCTGAATGGTAAGGAGAAAAGCTACATTTTAAAGTAGCATTGTACCAAGTAAGAACTTTGTAAAATGAAATGGCAAAAAAAGCCTTAGACCATACTTTGAAGTAGATGAAATACTGGCGCAGTAGCAAATGTTGCTGTTATGATGCTGTAAGCTACTATAAAGCCAAGAATTGCACGTAGAAGTTTGCAGCCAAAGCTCATTAATTTTTTGTATTTTTAAGACATCACAGTCCCATAATTTAGCAGCTATGCAGTGATATGTTGGACTTAATTGGTATCCAAAAGAAAGACCTGGCTGCTGCTGGGAACGGTGTGTCTTCTGTATTTGCTGTGAATTTCATGCCAGCACATTCAAAAAGAAAAGTCAAACTGAAACAAATGGAAGAGGACAGCTGAGAAAGCAGTCTCTTATGCAGGAAAAGACTAAAGGAGCTTGGTTTGAGAGTAAGGACTGTGAAAGCCTATGATTGATCACCCAGGGCATCTGTTCTTCTCTTACGGTTTGTAAAGATGACTAGAGGCTTTGCATGGACTGGCACAGTTCTGGTTAATCCTCATGGCTGACACCCCGCAGGTGTCAGTGGGAGTAACCTGTTTTCATATCCCACTGAAGGCTGGGCTGAGGTGGTATTTCCCACTGTCTACCACCCAAGCTGTTGTGATATCTGCTGTACATTGTATTTCAATTTACTGTTGACTGAGCTCACCTTTCAAGTGGAGAGTATCATATAAACAGAATTCTCAGGTCACATCACAGTTAGATGTGAATCGGAGGCGTATGATGGTGAAGGGCATTTCTGTTTCTAAATACTACACCAGGTATCACACAGTATTGCAGGGTTTATGACTGGTACAGTTTATCCTGCCTTTTCTCTCTTCCAAACATAGTAGTCAAGCTCCCCACATGTTTGAATATAGCAGAAGGAAGCAGACAAGAGGTTGAGGCTGCTGCTTTATGCTTAGGCCATAAATAATACATCTCTCTTTAATAGTCAGGAGCAGTGTGCAAGGGCTCTGGAGCTCCTGAAGCAATATCAAAGCTGCAAAACTAATCTGACCAGCATCATCCAGAAACAGGAGATTGTGCTTTCACAGCAAACTTCTTACATGGGGAAGGAGAATTTGAACAGACTAATAGCAAAGGTGAGTAACAGCTTACTGAAAAGGAAAGAAAAGCCTTTCCTGAGTGCATTCAGGTGTAGGGTTGCCCTGGTACAATCAGCCTTCAGGACAAATGTTAAGACCTTGCTTTTATTTTGGCTTTCAGAATACATTTAGGGACCGTACCCTGGATTTGTTTTAAGTTGATGTCTAGTTTTGCTTAATGAATTAAGGTCTTATTAAAGGGGTTGGATTAAAAAACCCCAAACCATAGAAAAACTATGATCTTATGTGAAAGTAAAATGAAATCCTGTCCTACCAAAAGCACATGTTGAAATCAGCCATATTCAGCCATACCCTTTAGAATATTTCTATATTTTCTACCAAGTTAAAAGTGGACAGTTGGTAAATATACAAAAATAGCAAATTCATTTGTTGCTATAGAAGATACATTAAAATGTTGTACCACTTAAAGCAAAAATAATAGGTAATACAGCTCCTCGGGGCTGCTTGTTTCTCTGCTGTTGCTGTAGTTTATAACCAAGGATTTAGATCCGTATCCTCTCCTTGCTCATGTCGCTGGGTTCCAGGCAGGGCTGTGGGCTTTGTCTGCACCAGGCAGTGCTGTGCACGGGCCTTCAGCGAGCCCTGCGTAAGTAGGATCAGGAACAGGAGCCCAAAGGCTGTGGCAGCATGGCACATTTGCTCCGAGATTGGGCCATGACAGACCTGTCCTGCTTCTCAGTCTGGAGCTTGTGTACCTGGCTGTATGTCATTGCCACTCACTCAGAGACAGTTTAGGGATTGCCAGCCTGGTGCTGCCTTGGGCTGTGGACTTCTGGAGGCCAAAATGGTTTTGACTGGGCTGATGATACAGTATTCCCTTGAGCTGGTTACATTTGCTGCAAGAGTCTCTGCCCTTACACTGACTTTGCAGACCACACTGTTGCAGGTAGTAGCTGTGACAACATAGTTCAGTATTTCTTCTCTCACTTCTATGTTACAAACCTACTTTGAAGACAGGGCTTCTGTGTAAGAGCCTTGGCATCTGTAACCAACATTAGTTCTGTACTGTCTTTGATAGTGGTTAAACATTTGCAATAGCTTTTACACTAGCTGGTGAGACTGAATGAGCAGGTATTGCTGGACACTCCTTCATTTGGTTTAAAGTTTATCACTTTTTTAGATGACTTTTGACAGCCAGCTACATCCTTTGCTAAATGAATACAACCACCTGACATAGCTGTCCATATCATTCATGAACATTTGCTCTGAGGTAGTACCTGGGATGGTTAAATTTAAGAAGGAATGTGAGTGGTTTCTTCCCTCAGGCAGTGGGATGGTGTCTGTGTGTGCCACCCCTGCTTTAGCTGAGGCAGGGTCTTTTCTTGGTTTCACCAGTGAGACCTCTGACACGTCATATCACTCAGGCTCCTGCTGCAGGGGAGATCACCCCCATACCCTGGCCCCTGCCTGTATGGAGACCCCTCTCGCTGGTAACAACCCTTCCTCCTCACCCTAAGTTTTGCAATTGCCACTCTCAGAACTGTGGTCTGCAACAGCTGTGGCACAGTACAGGCATGCCTTTGAGTGCTGGTGATTTGTTATTTATAGTTATATAAAATAGTGGCAGAGAAAGTCCTCTGCCTTGTTCTGGTTTGTGAGCGCTGCTCTGCTGTCCCTTGCCTTACCTCAGTGGCTGACATTATCCTTATGAGAAGATACAATGCTTGTCTTGGTGAAACGAGGAGATCTTTTAATATTGAGTTGCCTAACACTAGAGGTCAGTGTTTCTTTTCCAGCAAGCTTCCATGTTTGTAAACACTGACATCACAATTAACCACAAAGCAGTCTAGTGTTTAAATAGAAAGCAGCAAAAAGGGACATTTCTGTTTCTGGCAATGGCATATTTGACAATGGCTGTGTTTAAATTGGATTTAAGCTTTTTTTCAAAAAAGTAGTTGAAAACCTACATATCAGAATGCCAGGTTATATTTTTCAGAATTGTAATAGTATTTCAGATGATTGTTACATTGTGCATTGTTTATTTCTGTAACTGAGGTTCTGTGTATGGATGTACAGTCCCCTTGGATCTTGCAATTGCAACTGTCAAAGCAAACCATGGTTTTGGCTCTCTTAGAAGTATATTATCCATAGTTCCTACTCAGCTGTTTTACAGTCAATAATGGAATTATATGGATTTTTAACAAGGAAATGTTTTTGTCAGCATGACAGGGATATAACAACACAGGATACGTTCCTATTCTCATCATATTGTGTAAAATAGATTATTTTGTCTAATGCTGTTGTTTCTCTAAACTAAAAAGAACAGCACATCAGTAAAAAATGTTTTTCCTGAATAAACAGTCATAAGTAAGCATGCTTGTAAATATTCATTTGGTCTTTTTCACAGATTGAAGAGGCAAAAGAGGAATTTAATGATCACTCAGAAGATGTAGACAAAATAAATCAGATCTGCAAAAACCTTCAATTCCAGCTCAATAAAATGAGAAGCTTTGAGGAGCCTCCATTTGAGAATGAGGCTAACATTATTGTGGACAGATGGCTGGATGTATGTAAAAAGTAAATTATCAGGGTGGTTTTATCTGTTATGTATTATAATAATTGATTCTGACGCATGTGTAATATTTGGAATAAATTAAGTACAATATGGCAAAGATTCTTAAGAGATAAATCCAAGTGTTTACCAGAGCAAAGCTTGCAGAGTGTCTATTGGTGTAATGTTTCTGATCTTTCAGGTAGTTTATATCATGGACACTCCTTGACAGTAAATAATTCTAGGAAATGCAGAAAGGCAATACTTCTGCTTTCTGGATGAATCTGTAAGCTTCCATAACAACTTCTGTGAATTTAGACTTTGGAGACAATCTGGAGAATTACAGTGCTGACGTTTTTGGTGAGAAATGCTTGCCACTGTCGATCTAAGCAGTGCATCAATACTGAGATTAGATGGTATTTACTGAGAGTAGATAAACATTAATGAGTAAGGCTCCTTCCTAAACCTGCCTTAAAACTGGCAAGCTGCCGTTGTGATTGGTATGTTTGGCAACATGTGTGGCAGGGATTTAAATATCTTCTCCATGACCAGTTCACTGTGAAGACACATGAAATGTTTTTTTTCCCTTGATGCATTTGTTTTTATGGGTGGTTTCATCTCTCTCAGATTTTATCATACTGCGTTTGCTTTTAGAATATAACTCACCATTTTTGAAATCTGTGTGTGTTTTCTGTATATAAATCTCATGGTAGATCAACGAAAAGACTGAAAACTACTGTGATAATTTGGGAAGAGCTCAGGCTTTGTGGGACAAACTTCTTAGTTTATCTGGCACAATTGATGCTTGGGCAAATGCAGAAATTAAGAATGCAGAAGAGCATTGTCTGACTGAAGAGGACCTTACGCAGTTGAAGGTAATTTGAATGAAAATTTTTTACACTTAACTTACATTGTAGTGGTATGGACTTTGGACTATAAACATGCACGTTGCATAGAAATATCAGCACTGCAAAAGCAGAGGAAATTACATTTGCAGTTATATCTGCATGGATAGTTTCATTGTAGATATTGCATAATGTATTGGAGATACAGGTCTTGGAAGCTAATAAATAGATAGCATATGTGTATACTAAATTGTTAATGCAACACTGCAAATGCTGCTTTGGACAAAAGCCCCCTCATTTCTTTGTGCTGTACAAACATAGAGCAAAGAGGCGGCCTGGAAAGCTTGTAGGCTAGAGTACAGGAGTACACATATTTCCTTGTGCCTAGGAAAGGGAAGAGAGTGTGTATAGGCTAATAATTAGTTTTCTGGTTAGAAGTTGCCTATCAATGAAGATACCAGGGCCTCTGAAGTGGCTGGGCAATGCACAGTTCAAGGAAAGGTTTCAGAGTTGCCTTATTTTCTCCTGTGATCCTTGTCCCAGTGTGCTCCCCAATATAAATAAACGCAGCCTTAATAGTGGCTGGCTGCTAAGCGTCTCCAGGGGCTGCGGGTGGCCGACATCGGCAGAGCCGGGCTGCCCATGCCCCTTTTGCACAGATTATAGCATTAACTCTTGGTATCGGGGTGTAGCTGGGTATAAAGACACATGCACCAGTTCTATGCCATTGAAGAGCCTCACATACAGTGGTAAACACTTTAATTTCTGACTTTAGGGTCATAATCAACCAGCTGTGCTGCTTTGTTGTGGTTATAGCCAGGATCTACTAAACAAAAATAATTTCCTGCTTGAATGGGGTCGAGACATAAATATATTCCATATCCGCTTGTTTGAAAATATGCAGACAGTTTTTTCTGTGTTTACATGATACAAATGCCCTAGTTTTTATTACACTTATTTGCAGCATTACTGCTCCTGTTAGCGCTGCTCATTTGTTTTAATTTGCAGAGCAGTAAAAAGACAAAGTATTCTTTGTATGTAGATCTTACCAGTGAAACATGCCATGCAGAGGTGGATATTTTGTCACATTATTATTGCCTTTACCATTGTATTGTTAGAATTTACCTGAGGTAGTTCAGGTCCCCGAGGACTCCAGTAAAAATGCAGCAGCTGGCAACTGCGTCTTAAGAGCCATTTTGTTACCTGAAAACTGCTCAAGCCCAGCATGGTGTTACCATGCCCCTGACAGGCCTGTACTGGTGCTTAGGAAGGGCTGTGCTGGAGGTGGCTGAGCTAAAGTTATTCTACTGCTCCCATGTGAGAGGATAATTCTCAAAACAGAGGGGAAGAGAGGGCAAGGTAGAGGGGAATCATGTTTCCCACTGAACTCTGTGCATCTTTGTAAAATGATTCAAAGTACGGAGGTTGTCAGATTCATTTATCTATTTCTTATTATTTCTTTTGTTGTTGATCCTGAAACATCTCTACATGAATGTTAATTAAGAAAGAACCCTGACTGTTGCAATATGTATCATGTTACATAGGGTTGAAACCCAGGGCCCTTTGTGACCACCCAGCAGAGTACTGGTGCATGTGCTTTCAAGAAGCCTGTCACAAAAGAACAGAGTAATGAATTATTTGACTGCATATTTAAAGATAATTTCAGTATAAATGATGTGAGAGAAGTTCTTCTTTCCCCTGTAACCAGTATGCAAATGGGAACCCTTTTAAGGGCTGTAGCACATGAACGGGTTTTGGTGATTGCTTGTATAGAGACTGCAAAGGAATACTTTATCCTAAGGGAGTTTGGAATATCGATTTGGGAATATGAGACAATATGATTATTTTAGATATATCCTGTTTTGTAAGTTGAAGCTAGTATTTTACTTTCACATTACTGACTCGTTCCAAGATCCATTCAGCTGAGTGGAGGTCTTTTCATATACAAAGGATTTACATTTAAAAAAATGCTTACAGCATGTGTTGTATTTTATTACATCCCTACCAAAGTGTATCATCAGGATGCCAGCTCTTGACTTTGTCTATAACATCTGAGAATATCCCTTTTTAATAGAAGCAGCAAGAAGTAAATACAAAATTAGGATTACTTGGGTTATTATAGAAGTAAAATAATTAAGGTTTGTGAATTTATGCTATGTTTGCATTAACAACTGCTTTGCCTGAGAAACATAGAGTATTTCTGACTCTAATGCAAAAATGTCTAAATTATTAAAATGAAAATCAGGAAATGGACTAATTAGGGGAGCTCTATATGCCAAAATGCAGAATCAGAATATTACTATTACAATTTTCTGACAGAAACATGGAAATTTAATTTTGGGGGAAATACAGTTACCAATATGGTTTTGCCACTTTTAGGCATGCTTACGAGTCCAAGAGCAGAAACTTAAGAAATTTGACAACACGGTGGCTGAGATAGAAGAACTTCTGAATAGTAATGAACCTCCACTGGAGCTACAGGTACGAAGAAGCTTTTGCAGCTGATGTGCCAGTACTCATTACTACAGCCCTGCTTCTAGTATTGACTTCACCACAATCATTTCTTGATTTGGCTTACATATGCCCTCTCTGTCCTGTGCCTTTTAGGGACTTAGACCTGACCCAACTGTTTTGCAGGCCTGCTGAAAGAGGCCAATATTGGTGATATCTGGCTTTTAGCTGTTGGCCATGAACAAGGCATAATGGACCTTGTCATTCCTTTGGGTATCCCAGCAACTCAACATCCTGACTGTCTATTTAAAACTGTACCTTTACCTGGATATGGCTTAATGTAGCTTGTTAGTATGTAGCTATTTGGATAGAGTGGTGTTTACTGTGATGTTTTCCTTTGAGATATCACAAGGAAATCTTCATCTTTTTGTGTTAACTTCACACAGCAAAGAACAAATCCTTCTCTGGTGTTTGAGACCACATTAACCTACCTTGATCCTATACCAGTTCCCTAAGCATCTGCTCCCAGTGTCTGTCAGTGTCTGATGCACCTTGAGCTTGACCTGGTTTGGCTATTTGTGTGTTTATCCTCAGCAGGCAGTGAACTCAGAGGAGTTTCACTGGGTGAAGTGATCTAAGGAGCTTAGGAAAGGTCTCGGCAACCTTGTTCTGTGGACCCTCTGCTCCTTGGGAGCACCGTATGCCCTGAGCCCCCTGGGGTGGTGTTTCAGCATGTGGCCATGATCCCATTGAGTTGCTGTCTCATGCAAATCTGCGGAAGCCTTAAGGATAAGGTTAAGTACCTGTTGCTCCTTAGTGACTAGTTTTGAGCCAGAGGTCCCCAGCTCTCTGCTGTCCTTGCCTGGTTTTAGTATCGGTGTGGGGAATTTGCCCCAGTGGGTTCACTGTGGGAAAGTGTGTTACAGAGAGAGCTGACACCTTCTTTTTCGTGGTGGCCGAAGTGCATGTAAGGCCTTTATCTAGCTGGGAGTAGACACTGGCATAGACTGACAAATAGATTTGTTAGTAAAGCAGCACCGGTAAATGCATCACTAATAAAGATGAACTGAGATCATTCCTCCTCAGAAAAGCTGGGCTTAAATACTATCATTTTTCAATTTGTGGAGTGGGAGGGAAAGAAACTGGAACAAACTGTGATTGAAACGCCTGGACTTCAGTTCATTTCATTGCTTTTTATGTCTATCATGGAGTTCTGTGACGTTCTAGGAAATCAGTCCAGTATAATTTCTTACATATATTTATTTCCAATTTTAAGGTCATCAGAACATCTGTTGTGCAAAAAATGGAGCTAATAAAAGAGCTCTTGTCAGCGAAGCGGGAGACCAGTGAACTCAATGTAAATACAGCAGAGCTAAAAGGAGACCTTGATCTGGCCAAGACACAGATTGGAATGACCGAATCACTTTTAAAAGCTTTATCTCCTTCTGACACCTTAGAGATCTTTACTAAATTAGAGGTAGTGTGCCACAAATTATGTATATTTTATAATTTTGCTCATTATTTCTCTCCTGGGCAAGTCTTCGTAAGTGTTTCTCCTGTATAAGTTGTAACTGCTAGAATAACTCAAGTGAAGAGCCTGGCTTGAATATTTTCTTAAGATGCCAGAAACAAGAAATAAAAGCCTGTTTTCACTGGATGATATCAGATGTAGTTAATTAACCCTTGCAGCTGTTGGAAATGGTTAGTGATAGGCACAACGTTATACCACCCAAGATATGTTGAAGCGGTAGTGGGGCTACTGGGCTCTATCTTTTCCAAGGCTGGGTAATGTACAGAGCTTGTCTTTGTACCACCTGAGCCTGCCTGCAAGGGGAGCTCCCAGTAGTTTCAGCCAACTTTCCATCCTCTTTGCACCAGGGAGAGAGGTGAAGAAAGAGCTGCTTCCTGCTTGGAGGTTCAAGGCTGACAAGATTTAAACCTCCTGTTGAGCAGTGAGTGGATTATGCACATTCTGGGTGTCAGACCACTAGTGTTTGTGACAGTGAAATCACAGGCATTGGAAGAAAGATACATCTTTTAAGTAATTCTCTCAGCTCCCTCTAAATTATCTTTCAATCCACAGGGACTTGACATACAGAATAAGGCACTTAGGGGTGGAATAATGCCTATGGTAGCTAAGACATTGTAGCTTCTAGGTATTATATGCTCTGGAACAAAGTATATTGTTGTGCCTTTTACATATCTATTCTGTGTGATGCCTAAATTTGCATGAGCAAATGTATCTGTGATTATGTATGCATACAGATGTATACACACTGCTCAAGGAGAGTTTAGTGCTTGTATCTATCTATTGATTGCCTTGTTAATGTCAATATACTTTAAGAAATTGTTTTGACACATCAGCAGGACCGAACCATTTTGCAAAACTCTAATTTGTACTAAAACAGCTCTGTACAGTGAACTTCTGCTTGAACTTTAAAATTTTATTTTTTACAGTTGTCCTTTTTTTTTTTTTTTAACTTTAGGAGATACACCAGAAAATTCTGCAACAAGAACACCATGTGACATTACTCCAAGAAGAGACGGATTGTCCTGATGTGGATGAATTAAATAAACAGCTTAAATGTGTTACTGATTTATTTAATAAGAAAAAACATGTATTTCAAGATCACTTTATTGGTGTTTTGAACCGTAAGCAAACAGATTTTACATTCATATACATTTATAGGTTTGTACTGACCATCATAACCACTTCAAGGTTATGCAATTAATTTATTTTTGATTCTGTGTCTGAAAGTGCTTTGATATCTCAAACTGCTTCAGAGTTCTGAACAAGGTAAAGGTTTGGATAAAAATGGCTTTTGAGTCCAACAAACCACTCAATCTGAATCAAAGGATTTTGTTTCTTATTTTTCTGTTTTACAAAATAGATGAAGTACAAAGCATAATTCAGGAACAAATATCAGAACATTTAATTTAAGAATACAGAAATCAAATATTTTAATTTTTTCCAGTCATTTTTTATTTAATCCTAGTTATGAGAGTGGATAGTGATATTAAGTTATTTTTTGATTTGTGCAGACACATGACTGTGCATGTGTAGAATTAGACCCAAAGGTAGTCTCAGCTTCAAATAGTTTTTTGAGTAATATTTATTTGTATGGAAATGAGAAAATTTGCCAGCAGGCTAATCCAGGTCATGTTTACTGAAACTGCTCAGTGTAGCAGACTGTCCTTCCCAAGTGAACAGGTATGTTTATTGTCAATATCAGTTAAAAATAAAGTATGAACTGCAGCATTTTCTGTCACATGATCTGTAGTGAAAAGCAACCTTTGACAGTAGCACTGATAAATGTAATTACAAATTGTCTGAAATCTTCATGTTAAATAGATTTTCTTTTGCAGAATACAGTTAATGAAGAAAATTGGAATGTATCTTTTTTCAGGTCAGTGCAAGAATTTTAATGACTGGTTCAGCAGCACTCAGCTGTCCTTGAAGGACTGTTTTGAGCCCTCAGAAACAAAACTGATACTGGAAGAAAGACTGCAGAGGCTAAAGGTAAAGTATTTAAATGTTCTAATTTCTGAAGCTGATTGTTCTGAAAGTTTTACTTTTTTACAAGGGAGGCTATTTTTGGGAGTTAATTCACCTACAGTAGTTTTGTAACTTGAGATTGAAAGAACATTTCATGTAACTTAAAGCATTAGGACAATAAGTGAAATGAAAACAATACTTTGTTAAAATGAAGTATCAGTGTTTACGTTCAGACATAGTTGGGCAAGTGAGAGACAGGACAGTAGTTAGTGAAAATCAATGGACCTTGACCAAGTACTTGAATGTGCAAAGATGCAGAAAGTCAGCTATGTAGAGAGTAAAATGAAATTCTGACCCCCCTTGCACTCAAACGTGGAAAAATTTGCATTCACTTTGCTGTAGCCAGATTTTCATTCTAAGTCAGACAGAATCAACGGAAAAGAGATGGAAAAGCCCCAACATCTGCAAGAAGCAATCACAGTTAAGCAGCAGAAAAAGAGATAGTGATGTCAGTGTTAGATCTGAATGCTGCTTGCCTATTTTCTTCTGTGTGTATTTGTACTATAGAGAAGAAAATCCAAGTTATCTACTTCACATTCTCCTTATTTTACAAACAGCAGCTTTTCCATTTACAAGTGGAATAGTCAGCGCACTGAATTAACATATATTCCTTTTCAGGAACTGGAATTGATGAAGAAAATATTGGTGGAGATAACAGGAGTTGAAAAACTCTTGTAACGTAAATATCTATTTTACAACAGCAGATTTGACAAATGCATATTGTGTTTGTGCTCTTATTCAGCACTTCCTAACATCTGAAGGCAAAGACAGAGATATCCAAGAGGTTAAAACTTTGTTGAATAAAGTGAAGCATTACTTGCCCAAAGCAAGCATTAACCACCTTAACAGCCGTGTGAGAGATCAAGAAGCAGAACTACAAAGATTGATCTCCAAATGTCAGAAACGGGAGAAGGAACTTGGTGCTTCTCTCCAGCAGCTCAGTAGGTAGGAAACTAACGTCGTTTCTGACATTTTAATCACAAGTGATATAAAATGATTCATTATTAAGCAGCCATAGTGAATGGCAAACAACTCTACTTTTTTTAAAGATGGTATTTTAATAAAGGGCAGTGAGTGTTTTGTTGTATGCTTTGTAGCAGACTCAGTGTTATATGGGAGTATGTGTTTATGGATAATTTCAGTGACATGAACCAAGATACTTAAAATTAAGCTTGTGCTTAAAACTTTGCTCGATCAGGCATATGATATTATGATGTTAGCTTTTCAGCAAAACACTGCTGTCAGCAGGTTTTAGTCATGTAATGCCTCTCATTTTGACCTGTGTCTGTATTTGTACTCTCTTTAGCCTTAAAGAAAACAGCACGATCTTGGAAGAATGGCTCACTGCTCAGGAAGAAAAACTAGAAGAGATCAAAAAAGATGAGACAAAACTTGAAAACTTCTATAAAACACTATTAATGCAGAGGTATTGTTTTCTTTGGTCTCTGTCTAAGAACTATATTCTAAACAACAAATAGATGTTTATTAATTTTTTCGTGTTTTTCAGAAAACCATTTGACTCCATAGCTCAGCTAGCAAGTTCCTTGAGGGAGGCTGGGCTGACAGATGAAACCGTTTCAGAAGCCACTGATCTTATTAGTAGATACCAGACACTGAAAACACATGTAAGTGAAATGTCAGGGAATACTGAGAGACTTCCAGTGGAAGGACAAAATTTTGAAGAACTTGCCCAAGATGTTTCTTCCTGGATCAGAAAGCTTGAGGAAGCTGTTAATAACCTGAGTTCACAGGAAAATGAGCTGCCATCAGACAAAAGGATTGATCAGATAAAGGTATTGTGTTAAATGTATTGCTTTTCCACTTCACAGGTCATGCTATTATCAGAGGAATATAAAAGATACTGTCACTTTGTGGCTTATTTGGGGGCGGGGAGATGGTGTTTGTTTTTTTTTGGGGGGTGGGGATTTCATAGTTTATACACGTAAGGTGAGATTCTCTGCTGCATCTCTGGGTGGAGCAGCACTGAACTCCTAAGGTGCTGGTGGCCGTGTGCCTACTCCAGAGCTGGAGAGGGAGGTCAGTAACGTAGCTGGGGCATCCGGAGAGCTTCTGCAAAGTGTGTGGCTTCTCAAGTGTCCTACAGTGCGGTTGTGCTGGGCTGCTCCACTGCCTGGATGGGTCTCTCAGGCCCCAGTGTCCTTTTTGATGTCTTCTCTCTAACCACTTTAGGAGGCTTGCCTCCCAGAGTAGCCAGAAATGAAGATGTTGGGATTTACATGTTTTACTCTGTGGAAGGGATAATATTGTGACAAATATCTCTCCCTAAGATTTTGAGCATTTTTTTTATTTGTCAGAACAATATTGGTTTTGTTATGTAGAGAATAATTAACAAATCAGCTTTATTATCCCAGCCTTTCTGAAACTAGATGATCTATCTGTTTATACATCAGTTATGTGATATATTGGAAGGAGAATTGTTTTGTCTTGAACAGCCGTGTGCAAAGTATGAAAAAAATAATTGGTAATACCTTTTATTTTGTAACCAAAAATAGTTGTAGATGTACTGCTTCTGTTTCTTGTTTAATACAGGAAATCACAGCTCTCAAAGATGCAGGAGAGGCCAAAATACAGAACATGGTAGCTCTAGGAGAAACTTTAATCAGAAATGAGAAAAATAAGAAGGCGGTGGTTCAGCAGACTATTTCTGAGCTCCAAAACAAGTGGGAAAGCACCATTCGGCTAGCCACTGAATATAGAAGGTAATATGAAATTTTCCAAGAGGCAGTGCAGATCACTTACTGCTATAATGACTTTCTTCTCTTACTCCTGCACCAGTTCCATTGGATTTGTGTTCTTTTGGGGCAGAACAAGATACCTACATAAATACTTGTATTTCTGCAGTATTGTGGAGGGGCAGGTCACGGTTTGGATTGAACAATCAGGTGGAGGCCGTAGCCAGGAGGTGTAAAGGTGGTGGCAGGACAGGTGATGGGGTCTGCACAGTTTACCTCCGATTCCCTTTTGATACTGAAGTAGCTCAGCCACTCTTGTAAAAAAAAAAAAAAAAAAGAAAAAAAATGTGCACTGATTTTAACCACTGCGGCAGCCCTTCCCTGCAGCATGATCTGGGCTCTGTACCCCAGGCATGGTCACCCAGCAGATGTAGAATCTACCTTTGAAAATATTTGTACTGCTTCAGAAAAGAGTTTGGGATAAATCCAGGAGGCTGGAATTTTTAAAGTAGAGATTTTAAAACCTGGTTTATTCTGGCACTTTGAGAGTCTTTTTTGGCTGTGGCAGCTGGTATTGTTAAGTCAGCAAAGGCACTTCAGTGTCACTGGCACTGTGGCAACTGTGTCTGAGAGCTAGATTGATCCTTTAAAACATTTCAGATAATTCCAGGTGTGTTGTGTAAATATAAACTGAAGTTCTGATTTTGCACATGCAGATGCTTTCAAGATATTTGTCTGCTCTAATATCCTTGAACTGACTTTCAATAAAATCACTAGTAACTTTGCTGTAGAGATCAATGGAAGCTAGAGTAGGCCTATTGTATACTTTTTAAAAAATGTCTCAGGAATGAATTATTAAAAATAAGTATTTTTTGAGAATATTCAGTTGTATTCTCTTCTTACTGAGCACTCAGTTACAAGCAATACAAGTGGTGTTCAGAAAGATAGCGTATTGGCTATATTGGATCAACAGAGCAGAATGCAGAGCACCCTCTTCACAGTATGTTGAAGACAGGAGATGAGGTGCTCAGCATGTCTGAAGAGATGCTCAGGACCCTGCAGGATCAGGCCTGAGAATAACAGATGCAACATGGTAACAGCAGGCGCGTGAAGCTGGAATAGGCAACTTGAAGCAAGAGTACTTAACGTATGTGAGACTATGCTTTATTTGTCATTTGCCAAAAAATCTTGAGGGACAAAAAAACAAAACACTTAAGCTTTACTGTCGTTCTCATTTATCCTGCTGTACTTTACAGAATTTTAACCAGACTTTATTTATTTGGATTTGTTTGTGTGGGATCATATTTTCAAATATTGGCATTTAAGTTCCATCTGGAAAATATCTGAGCTTCATCACTAGATGTGAACATACAAATGTTACTTTTGTCTCACTGATCATAGTTGCATATTTCGTTTGGACAAATGCAATATGTTCACCTGGAGCAGAAGAGCATGCATGCTTATAAAGCACACAAATTGAAATCCAGCATCAAGGTCAGGAAAGTAGGCACTGGGCTAATGGGCTAATATGACCCATATTGTATATGCTGGTTTCATTGTATCTCTAAAACACTCCCCCACCTCCATCTCAACCAAAGCAATGTGTACCTTCTACAGAACATTCCCTTTCAGGAGACTGTCATAAGGAGTTGTCAAGGAAAACAGATTTGTACCATATTGTAGTTTTTAAACAGAACTTCTGCTGTAATGAAAAGCAGAAAAATACAGAGCATGAGCATCATATCTGAGATGCTAGAAACTATAGGTTTTGTAGTTTAAGATTTAAGAGGGTTAGTCGCTTGTCCTGCATTTAAGTCCAGTTCAGCAGCAATAACTTCAGTGGTTTCTATTTTCATCACCTTGAAAATTCCACTCTAAAGCTTAGCAGTAATTTAAAACCTGAAGAAAAGTATTCAGTATGCTCAAGTTCATTCTAATGGTTGACTCATTCACAATTTGGCATTTTCTAGGTAATGAATAAAAAAAAAATTAATACTGTTAAACACAATATTTTTTTCTTAGCCCTAAAGAGCAACTTCAGCTCAACAGGGAGCAATATGAGCAAAGCAAAGAAGATCTGAGAGTGGCTCTAACTGAACTGGAGAAACAGCAACAGGAGATTGGTTTTGCCCTTCAGCCTGGTTTGCAGGAGAAGCAAGCTCAGCTGACAAACTATGCTGACCTCCTGCAGAAAGCAGAAGACTTAACTTCCCGATTTAATGAACTGAAAAGCCAGGAAGACCACCTACAGGGTCACACTGGGGATCCCTGCTTCACAGAGGTGGAATGGTTGGAATTAAAGCATCAACATGAAAATCTGCTCAGCCAGTTACAGGTTGGAACCTCACTCTCTTTCATTATGAGATTATTAGTATGCCTGTTGATTGCAGTTCTCACTGTTTGCCTGTAGAATTCAGCTGGCAAGTTTATGGGTAAAGCTGGAGCTGTAGAAGGGCAGGGAATTCCTCTCTCTCTCTCTCTCTCTCTCTTACTGTGGGAAAAAGAGCACCAGAAGCTCATATTTTTCGCCACCATGTGCTTTGCAGAGGGATAAATGTTTAAACAAATGAGACCAAGGTAAGTGTGAAGAACACTTTGTACCTGTATAAACAGATTCAGATAGCTATAATATGAAGCATTTGTTCCCATGATCGCCAAGCCATGGTAGTTTCTTTTTGTTTTGGAAGGATGAATGGGTTTTCCTGCATCTTGTTTGTTATTGGTTCCACACAGTTTAGCGCAAATTGCATTTGCACATTATGTGTCATTCCACATCTAATCTTTCATCCATTTTGAATAGAAAACATTCCTTTTAGAAATAAATTCTTATGGAATGCAACCTCTTCTGCTTCCTGCTAATGAGGATTTTGTTCATGGTGGAGTCCATGATGGGCTGGGAAGAGGTCAAGATATTTTTTGTGCACCTGTGGTTAGCTGGATATTTTATGGGAAACAAGGGAGTTTTTTGTGTTACTAAAGTCCTGGAAAAACTGTGACAGCCTGTGGATGAGTAATATTTGTTTGAGCTAATGGTGAACTGATTCTAGAAACTCCTTGGTTTCTAGACCATAGTGCAGACATTGGAAAGTCATGTTCAAGAGCACCGGCAGTTCCAGGATATGGTAGAAGGCCTGAGCACTGAGCTGAAAACTGTCTCTGAGAAGCTTGCTGATCGTCAAGGTCCAGCAATGGAACAACCATCAGCTGAGGAAAGCCAGTTGAAATCAGAGGTATGCTGCAGGTTTTTATATCATGGAGAAAGTGGGTCCATACCCTAGGGGCTTGCAGAGACCATTACATTTATAAGAGAGAACTGCTAATGCTATTAAACTGAAAAACTAAGAAACCTTTCTAAAATATAAAGTGTATGTGTGTTCCTTTTATCAAAATAATTGTAGGCCTAAATCTACTCTTAACGCACTGAGGGGACCTTTACTGTCAGCTGAACTGAAGGTAGAATTGTCCTAGCTCAAGCACCCAGGCTTCTTCGGTTTGGATGGTTGGGGTTTTTTCCTCTTTGGTCATAATGAAGGAAGAGATCATTAAATTTGGTGTTAGTAACTGTCTTTAAATTAGCCAGAGCAGAAAGCTTAAGAAAATGTCAGTGAGCCAAGTTCAGTTTTAAGAAGTGTCCTTCATGCCTAAGTAGACTTTCTTTAGCACTCTGGCAGAATGGATAACAGTCTTGTAGCTATGATCATAGAGAGCTACTGAAAGCTGAAACCATAGCTCAGATATGGATCACTGTAATTGTACTTGATCCAGAATTTGCTAGTCCTCTAACAAGTAAAAAGGAATAGGTGAAGGAGAGAATTATCTGTTCAGAGTTTGGAAAGATCACCATGCATCTCACAGCATACTATCTGATTATTTTACCACTGTTGTAATGCTTATAGTGTCAGGTTTTCTCTGTTCATAAAAATGGATGACTAAAATTAATGGTTTAGTATTTTACTTTCTGTAGTAAATAGGTCTGCATGTACTTTTCAGCACAGTTTGTTGTTCACAACAAATATTTATGATTTTAGTGATTGACTTCAGATTTTAGGATTAAGTATATTGAGTGAAGATACTTTTCAATAAAATGTTTTCTTTGTGTTTAAAGGAACAACAAGGACCTCTTAGTCAATGCGAAGAGATGTTAAAGAAGATTTTGGTTTTAGCAGAAACTGTTAAACAAAACACCTCTTCACCAGGACAGAAGTTTATTAAGGATGAGATTGAAATACTTCAGAGTGAACACAGGAGTCTGGAAGAAAGACTTGAAAACATAAAGCAAAAGGAGGAAAATATTTTCAGTGAAGTCCTTGAGTTAAAAGCTGAGTTTGGTAATGAAATACAAATGGAAGATAAAGCAGATACAATGTTGAGGAGAGAGATACAGATCACTTCTGATACCCCTGTCACTGCAGAAGAGAGTTCCACAGCAGCGGAGGTAAAGGAGCCTTTGGAAATGCATGATGTGAGTATATTTGTTGACAGTAATTGCAGAGGAAGACTGGTTAAAGAGGCATCTGTCTCTCAAATGTCTTCTATATATTGCATCCTATACTGCATCCTTAATTTAATTGAAATTAAACCTTCTGTAAATATATGTGTATAAATCAAAGATGTGGAGGAGAACTCCCTTAACGTGTTTTAACAAGCCTGGAACAAACCAATAATGTCTATTCAAAAATGCAGTTTTCCATTTAAACACAAATTGCGTATAGCTTTCTCTTGCACGTAATTAAAGCAGGTATCCTTGGTCAGGACACAAAAGGAGAACGTGTATAGTTGAGAAAATTGCAGATACACCTCTGCCAAAGAACTTTGAGAGCTTCTGTTAAACCAGTAAGATGTGTTTAGATCTGCAGCACCAATGTCCAGTTTGGTGTTGTAGATAACATTAAATCTCTGAATGGCAAAAAATATTAAAATACAGCGTTCACAGTGACACAAGCAGGTTTTCTTTTATGTAATTTCTCTTAGGGACAAGATATAAATGGAAATATGCCAGAGAAAGACAAGAAAAATTATCTGCTTTTGGAGGAAAGCAGTGTATTGTCAGGCAGCCCCATTATAGGTGTCATGGTTTGAGCTCAGAGGGCAACTGAGCACCGTGCAGCTGCTCACTTCCCTCTTCCCCCCAGCGCCGAGAATGAGAAAATAAGCCAAGCTTGGGATTTGAGATAGGACAGGGAGGGATAATTCACCCATTATGGTCATGGGCAAAAGGCAGACTCAGGGGAGAAAAAAAAGAACATAGATGTATTATAGACACTAACAACAACAACGCTTAACAGGGTAGGTCAGTGAGAAGCATTACCACATCTTGAGAACACCTTCCCCCCACCCCTCCCTTCTTCCCGGGCTCAGCTCTGCTCCCGATATCTCTACCTCCTCCCCCCAGCGGCGCAGGGGCAGGGAATGGGGGGTGCAGTCAGTGCTGCCACTTCTTCCATCTTTGGAGGGGGAACTTCTTCCCCCTGCTTCAGCGTGCTCCCCCTCTCACAGGAGACAGTCCTCCACAAACTTTCTCCGATGTTAGTCCTTCCCATGGGCTGCAGCATTTTCCTAGCTGCTCCAGCATGGGATGCCAACTTTCTCCAGCTGGATTCCCTCCCACGGCTGCAGCCCTTCCCAAGCTGCTCTGTCATGGGACACCCCCGCATGCTGCAGTCCTCCCAGCGCTAAACTATAACAGCAGGGGCTGCTTCTTCCCACAGGATCCCAGCTGGCTTTGGGCACAGCCACCTTAACTGGTATTGTGAGGCCCCTCACAGGCCATAAATCAGTGTCTGCTCCACCGTAGATCTCCATGGGTGGCAGGGGGGGCCGCCCTGCCGTCTCACCACAGGATACAGGGGGGTCTCTGCTCCTGCACACCTTCTCCCTCCTTTCTTCCTCTGTTCCTCCACTGACCTTGGTGTTCACACAGCTGCTGCAACTCCTTACCAGGTTCTTTCTTAAATACGTTATGGCAGAGGCGCAGCTGATTGGCTTGGCCCTGGTGAAGAGGTGGGGCCGACTTGGAGCCAGGGGAGCTTCAAGAAGCTTCTCACAGGGGGGAGTCTGCTGTAGCCCCCTCCCCTGACACCAAAAAACCCCACCACTCACCCAAACCCAGGACAACAGGGTATCCATCAAAGCAAGGACAGACTCGAGCAGACTGTTCAGGTGCCTGACAAACACGTTCTAATACATGTCAGTAAATATATATACATATATATATATATATGTGTATGTGTCTGTTCACTAGAAATGCAAATGAATTCCTTAAAATCTGTAGTTTACAGGGACATATTTTCCTTACCTGGTGAAATGATTGATAAATTATGTTCTCCAAATAACCCCCTCAGCCTTGCACATGTGAAGTGTGGAAGAGATCAATCTGATGATCTCTACAAGCCCCCAGGGCTTGCACCCCCTTTCTTCATGATGCAAAACCTGCAACATACCTGTGATTTCACCAGGTTTTGCCACTTGCACTCACAAGGTAGGTAATGAGAGATCACTAACCTGGAACAGCTGATCTTTAGGGGACCTCAGGGCATTCACACTTTAAATGACTTCATATGTGCAGGGATCCTGAGGGAACGATTTGGAGAACTCCCTCACTGACCTGACCATTGAGTGATAACAGTAGCTGGGAGAAATGACCATCAGAATATCAGAGTGGAAATGATCCGTACTGGGATTTCTGGAGGAGTAAGATCAGTAGTTATAATTGCTAAATGTGTCTAAGCAGAAACTTTTATGACAGTATTAAAAATCATGTGAACACTTACTCCTTTTTCATTTGTATTTCATAGTGATTAAGGTTCCGATACAGCAAACTGATCTGAGCAGGCGTTTCCAAGAGACTCTGGGTTTGGGTTCCCTCAGCCTTTTTCTTCATTCATTAAGCTAAACTGAAGATAGAGTAGACAGCTTGTGGATTGTGATGTTCCTTAGCAAACTTAGATTTTGGACTGTGACTTTTTTACTGGTTGTAAACATTTTGTATTTTTCAAATCAGGAGAAGGCTGATAAAGAGAGCCCAGGTACGGACAAGCATGATGGGGTCCAGGAGGACATTCTGGACAATGCAGTTCATGATGGTGAAGCAGAACTGGAAAGACATCAGGATGGTGTTGGTATTGAAGGTGATGAAACAAGAAAGGAAGCCCATCCAGCAGAGGTAATTGGAGATGAGATTACACAAGTGATTGAATTTGAGGGTATATGCATATGGTTTAGTTGCAGTGGGCAAGATGCTACTAATAAAATTATAAAAACCTCAAGTTACACTGAGGTATTTTTGCCTCGTGCTATATATTCAGTATGTGTTAACTCCCTGAATCCTTTTCTTTGCATTTAAAATCAGTATGGAGGTAAGGTTTTTTTCATTACCATGGGCTACCACAAAGTGGTTTGCTGAGGGTATTGCATTCCAAGTCACCTGGACGTATTGTGAAGTCTCCTTACCATTTTGCTTGAATACTGTTATTTTACTTGAGTCTCATTTATTTAGATTTCTTAATACATACTTACTTTGCACATATTAGGCTTCATTTGAAATGTGATATACTGTCTGGTGCACCCTGGTACAAGGGGAATTTTGATAGCCTCGAGCAGCGTTTAGGGGCTGGAGCCATAATGAGTGGGAAGAGGCTAAGTTCATGTTGGAGATAAAAATGCTAACAGGGGGTCTTGTTGCTGTCATCCTCTCCCTGAAGGGGTATTATAGAGAAGACAAAGCCAGACTCTTCTCGGACCTTGAGTTTTAGTAGACTGTGTGAGATGTTGAAAGCAGTGTGGTTGTGACAAGATGGAGCACAGCGTGCATTCATGAGCTTGCTGAGAATTGGGGTAAATTTGTTGATTCTGAGTTGTGGGTGGGCTCCTTTCCGTACATAGCCTGTCTGACTTGCAGCCACTAGCTCAGATATCCGTGCAGCACGGATAGGTCCCTGGTGCTGTGCTCTCCACCATGGTCATGCTGTAAAGATTTACCATTCCGTATTTTATGTAGGTGGCTGTTTTATTTCATCTGTCCCCAGATGACAAACAAACTCGGGCATAACCTACAGTCAGCAAATACCTCAGCATGTGCATACAGCAAATCCCTGGGCTGCCCACAGGAATATCCTACCTGGTAGTTGTCTGGATGTCTAACCACAGACTCTCTGTCTAGAGTACAAGTACAAGATTGGAGCCTCAGGACAAAGCTAAACTTTTTAAAAAATAAATTCAAGACTGCATCCAGGAGTACACAGTTCAAGGTCCATGCTTAGAGTAGCGAAACATGGACAGTGTAGGTCAGAGAAAAAACACTTGCATTCTGCAATTTTTTTTAAAAATGTATAACAGAATTGCAGCACTGCTTCTTCTACATAGTTTCCCTTGCCATAACCTTCCCACAGTAAATTATAAGATGTAACTGTGGTTTTCCTCATCTACCTATAATTATGGGCTTCATAACTTTGTCATCTCAAGCACTGTAATTACTGCTCAGCAGGTTTGATTAGGGCTTTTTGATTACTTGGTTCTTTTATTTTTCTTACACCAAAAGGAGAATCGTAGTGATATCAAGAATCAGTCATATAGAGAAGATGTGGAGCAGGTTCAACAAAGTGTGTGCCAGAAGAGTCGAGTCCTGAAATCTGCAGCAGCTGAGAAAGATGATCTGGAATCTAATCCACCAGTTTCTGCACATGAGGTAACCCACATTCTCTTATTTCAAACTGCATTTTTCAGGGCAGTTGAATTTTTGTTTCCACATGGGCTTCAGCTGAAGTTCTGTTATTAAAGAAGAGGCAATTACTGTTGCATCAAAATCAAGACCATTGTGTATACTTCTGCTTTATGTCCATGATAGTTTTGAACCTTATCCAAAGTGCTAGCCACATTATATTTTTCAGTGGATCTGTTCAAAAGAGCAATTTTGGTTTTCAGAGCAAACATAATCAGTTTTTATTTTATGATATTTAGAGTTTCTCTTTAAATTGTTAACCAATACACTTCTTTCCATGTTATTATAGTTAGCTGTGATAGTCTTTGACATCATAAGGAAGGCAGATTAGAAAACTGAAATCCAAGGGCGGTTCAACATAAGAAAATAATTGAAATAAAAGAAAGGAGAAAAATTTCAAGCTGAATGAATAACAGGGTACATTACTAAATGACATTACTAAGTCTATTCTTTAAGTGTAAGAGTGTTACATCACAAGTGCCCCATGACTGCTGATCCCTGGTTACCACATTCTTAAATTGAAGGTAGGGCCAGATCTAATCTTCAAAGTTAAATCTGTAGGCAGGTCTGCAGCTGGCCTGTCCATTGGCAGGTCTTACCTGGGACTTGCGCATCTGCTCTACCTGGAGACCCAAGCAGAATTTCCCAAAAGTCTTGTGAGTCTGAGGATGTTCCTGCTGACTGGAAGCTAGCTGGTGTTGTTCCAATTTACAAGAAAAGGATGAGGGAAGACCCAGGAAACTACAGACCTGTTAGTCTAACCTCAGTTCCTGGAAAAATTATGGATAAGATCATACCGGAAACTACTGAAAAACATTTGAAGAACAATGCAATCATCACAGAGTCATAGTATCATTTAGGTTAGAAAAGACCTTTAAGATCATGGAGTCCAACCATAAACCTAACACTGTTAAGTCCACCACTAAACCATGTCCATAAGTGCCACATCTACACATCTTTTAAATACCTCCAGGGATGGTGACTCAACTACTTCCTTGGACAGGTTGTTCTAATGCTTGACAGCCCTTTCAGTGAAGGAATTATTCCTGATATCCAATCTGAACCTCCCCTGGTGCTACTTGAGGCTATCTCCTCCCGTCTTATCACTTGCTACTTGGGACACCCTTGTCTTTAAATTGGAGAGATGTGGATTTGACAGACAGACCACTCAGTGGATAAGGGACTGGCTGGATGGTCACACTCAAAGAGTTGTGGTCAATGGCTCGATGTCCAAATGGAGAGCAGTGACGAGTGGCGTTCCTCAGGGATGGTTCCTCAGCGTTGGGATCAGCACTCCTTAACATCTCTGTTGGAGACATGGGCGGTGGGACCGAGTGCACCCTCACAAGTTTGCTGATGACACCGAGCTGTGTGGTGCGGTGACACGCAGGAGGGCAGGAATGGCATCTAGAGGGACCTGGGCAGGCTTTGCCCCAAGAAGGCAAACAGCATCCTGGGGTGCATTAAACATAGTCAGTCAAAAAAGGTGATTATTCCACTGTATTTAGTGTTGATGTGGCCTCACCTTGAATACTGTGTGCAGTTCTGGTCCCACCTTAAGTCCTTGAATGCTTCCAGAGGAGGGCAGCAAAGCTGGTGAAAGAGCTGGAAGGAATGTCATGTGAGGAGCGACTCAGGACTTTGGGTTTGTCTAGTTTGGGGAAAAGGAGGCTGAGAGGCAACCTCATTGCTCTCTGCAGCTTCCTGAGGAGGGCGAGTGGACAGTGCTGAGCTCTTCTCCCTGGGATACAGTGGTAGGACACATAGGAATAGTTAAAAGCTGTGTCAGGGGAGGTTTAGACCAGACGTTAGGAAACATTTCTTTACCGAGAGGGTGATTAAACACTGGAACAGGCTTCCTGGAGAGATGATTGATGCCCCAAGCCTGTCAGTGTTTAAGAGGCATTTGGACAATGCCCTTAGTAACATGCTCTAACTTTTGGTCAGCCCTGAATTGGTCAGGCAGTTGGACTAGATGTTCACTGTAGGTCCCTTTCAACTTAAAATATTCTATTCTGTTCTATTCTATACTGTTCCATTCTAAACATGATCTCTAAGTGTTTGTATTCAACTGATTTGGAACTTACAAAGAAAAGGGTAAGTAGGTTCTGCTGATTTCCAGAGAAAGGTCTTGGATAAGAAAGGATTTAGACTGTGGGCTGTGAAGCCTGAGTCACATTTGGCCATTTCTACCAGGCCTGCACTGTGAAGAATCAGCAGAGGAGCTGTGGCTTGGACCTGAAGGACAGTAGCTGGTTAGCAATGTCCATTCTCTTCCCTTCTCATGTTTTCCTTCCTCTCCAACCATCTGATGGACTGAAAAACCATGGGAAACGTTAAAACTATTGTGTGGGGAGATTGACACTTTCTATGTGTCTGTGTATCCAGGGAGGCAGTGTGATGGTGTACATTGAAAAGATCATACAAACAAGCAAATATGTACACAGCAATCCTGAGGTTTTTCTTAGTGTCAGGACACTTACTTTTCTGTGTGTTTTGATCTGCTTATATTTCAATCTGGTAAAGTGGATTTCCTCCTCACTCTGTGATAGCTTAGCTGAGTTCTTCTGCTTACTTCAGTTCTATGGCACTCTGAAGTCTCTTAAGATGAAATCTTATGTCTGAATTGATACAGCCGTTATGGATGTGTACGCAGAGAAATGGAAAAGTTCTCTGATGGACTATTTAATGAGTGGTCCCCTTCAGTTTTGACTGAAAATAACCAGAAGAGTTCAAATAAATAGAGTTATTCTTTTCCAGTAATGTCTACAATATGCTACATGTTTCCCACACTTGGAAACAGGTATATTTTGGATAGCTTATGACCCACAGAGAGACAGACGACAGGGACAAGTTACAGGTGACATGACTGCAGTGTAACTGGCTGCTTCCTAGTAAAATAGTATCTAAAGCAGCAATACAGTAAGTTTATCAAACAGGAATTTTTTATCGTTGCTGATTTTATATGTTGGTACCATGGAGAAGCTCACACTGTAGCCATATCTGTATATTTGTATGCATTCACTCACATGAAGTTTATACATTGAACAGATCACAGTTTACACCAGATATAGACAGGTACTGGGGGAAGGGAAATGCAGAAAGAATTTTAAGATATTGCCATGTGACCTAATAAGCCTGTGACATTTCATTTATGTTGTCTAATAGCTGAAGGTGATAAAGAGGATTATGTTTTACATCTGAATGGGTGCTGGCTAAGAGCATCCACTTGGGCAACAACCTCAGCTCAGCTGATGGGCTGTTAAATCTGGCCACACCTCAAGTGATTTGTCCTTCTGTCCTTGTGGGAACTGATGGTAATGCCAGGGACACTCTCTGGAACTCCCCATTCCCTTGCTCCCCATCCTGGTTGAGACATGGCTCCCTAATGCTCTTGTCTTACCCCAGATTTTGGATAGCACTTGTGACAGCAGCAGCTGTGGCTTTGTGTCACAGCCAAGCTGCTTCATGCATGAGTGGCCCTGTGACCACCGGCTGGAGAGATGGTGCTGGTGAAGGACATTGGTATATCAAGGCAGGTGCTGAGCAGAAGGAATTGGAGGTGTGATGGAGAGGTTGAAGTCCATGAATGTGTAAGGCAGAAGGGGGAGAGGACAGGATAGACCTGTGAATTTATCAGTAGCACAGGTAGTTGCAGGAAAGATACTATTTGAAAGTGGAGATAATCAGTTTCAAACTTAAAATGATGGGCAGAGATTTCATAACTGTCTAAGCAGTGCTGTCAAACCAAGATGACTGCAGAGGTGGTGGGTAGTGATGGAGGTTCCAGCTTCTGGGTCCTGGCTGACCCACAGAGGTTATGGGGGAAGCCACAGCAGGATTTAGGCATGGCTTAAATATGTGATGCAATGTGTTACAGTCAGAAAACTTGTTGGTGTAGGAGCTTCAGAAATAAGAATACTGTTTTGCATTGTAGGACACAGGTGCAGAAATGTTTGTCCAGAAGGAACTATTTCCTGGAGTGCAAGTAAACACTGAATATTTTGAAGAGGAACAAAAGGTCAATGAGTTGAAAAAAGAAGTGGCCGAACTGGATATCGTACTTATAAATGAACAACTGAAAGAGCTGGAGGTATGAAAATTGCAAAGCCATTCCTCATTGTTAATGTAGTGATACACTTACAGAATTATGATTCACTTGGGCAAAACAAAATTGTTGCATATAATCTTATGTGATGTTTAACTGACTGCATGATTAGTTAGCTTGTCTACTAGGTAATCTGCAATCACTCTTCCTTAATGCATGTATGTCCGTGTAAATACCATATTTCGTACTGCTCTTCTAGAGTGCACTAGTATATACACCTGTGATTGCACATGTGCTTCCATGATGTGTGCAGGCATGCATGCTTGTTTGCATGTGAATGAGCAAGCATGTGTTTGTAGATGTGTCAGTATTTAACTGTATTTTGTGTTGAAAGCTGAAAGTGTTTAAGATCTTCTTTTAATCCCCTCTCTGTGGTGGCCTTGATTGTAGAATTTACAAACTGAACTGGAAACATGGAAAGCAAAATCTTCATGTCATAGTCAAGAAGCATTTCCCAGTGCAACAGGATCAAACAGAGCAGAGTTGCAAACCACAGAGCCTGCAGTGCCCTGCTGGGACAGGCTGCTTCAAGAACTAGATGCTGTTAAGGCAGTGAAGCAACAACAGTACTGTTTAATTAATGAATACCAGAAAAATCTTTCTGCTGCACAGTCCTCAATGAAAAATTTGTCAACAGAAAAAGACAACATAAAGATGTAAGTATAATTGAGGGCTTTGGTTAACAGGTTGCAGAACAAATATGGTCCTAGACTGAACTTCAGTAATGCACAGAGAAGAATATGGTTTATCCATCTCATTAACATTAGGTAGTAAGAGAAGTCTCATAGGTTTGTAAGTTCAAACAGCCTTAAACATAAACATTTCTGGTGGTTCTCTGGTATCCTTTAGCACCACCTACGCATTTTTTAGGCAGGAGAATGGTTGCTGTGCTAAAGACCTAGATAAAAGCTGTATTAAAATATTTTTGCAAAAATTTGGCAGATGTGCAATTAATTTTTCTTTAAGGATTCACCATTTCTAATTTTTTTCCGAGTGAAATATCTCATTGCTCTGAAAATTGACCTTATTTGATAGGAAGTATTCTATGGCAATAGCTAAATACTGTATCAGTTCAGAGATAACCAACACACACAAAATATTTAGTAACTTGTATGAATTAGCCTTCAAAACATGGAAGTAGGCTATCAGCGACAGTAATGTATCACAGTAGTTTAGAAATCCTTAAAATAATTTATAGAATTGTTAATTTATAGGAAAGATATTGGAAAAAATGGAATAAAAATCTAGCTCCTAAGTGTATTTTAGATGGGAATTTCAAAGTATGCTTGGAAAGAAAAAATTAGTAGATAAACTCCTCCAAATTAATCTTGAGTGAATGGGAAATTTTGAAGTTTTTCTTATAACTAAGCTTTATCTTCATTGTAAGTCAGAAATTACCATAAAATGTTGCTAATTCACTTGGAGATGACTTAACACTACTGTTGATTTTTTAAATTATATTTACTGTATCTTTAAAGGGAGGCTACATTCCTTTAGGAAATGACACATTCTATATTAATATATACTTCAATTTTAGAGAATATACAGAATATATCTTTCCTGCAGAGGCGTTTAGAAATAATGAATGCTCTACAGATATGCAAGAAATTATGATACTTCAACAGTGGTTAGGAAATTTGTGAGAGAACATTGAGAGATGCATGTGATTGTGTGAATAAAATGAGTGAATCATTTTCTAAACAGTGAAATTATTTTTTTTAAATGTGACTAGTCCATGCTTTAGGAGAATTTTATTTCTTTTTTAAATGCTACTCATATTTTTGGCAGGGGTCCTACGAACAACACAGTTCTTCTGGAGAAAATTAAGGCATGCATAGAGTCCTTACGAAAAGAAAGAGATGTCTTAAACCAGTTGAAAACTCAGCAAGAAAGTTTATCTCAGCATTTAACATGCATGGATAAAGTGTTAACCGAAAGCCAAATGAGGCAACTGGAACAATGGTGGCAACACATGGAACAAACAGTGCAAAAGAAACATGATCAAGTTGTGGCAGAAATTGATGAATTTAACCTGCTTATGAATAAAGCACAGGATATTCAGAGACTAATACAAGAACAGTATTTACAAGCAGAGTTACATTCCTCAGCTGCAGGAAAAGCCAAATACCCTGTACTTTGGACCACAGAGCTACAGGACATTAAACATGGTCTTTCTCTATTAAAAAGAAGGATTGAACTGCAGATGAAAAGAATCTGGAGTGATCAAGAGAAGGTGGCTTTGGAGAACTCCATACATGATTTGCAGAATAAATTGGAAGCGTTAGCAATGCAACAAACTCCTCGAGAGGATGTTCAGATCACTGGTCCTGCTGTCATGAAACACGAAATGGTAAAGAGGCTGAAAGAAAATATTTCATGGGTCAAAGATACGCTGTCCTCTCTTGATCAGAAAGCAGCACTTTTCCCCAGTGATGTTAAATCACAGATCAGAAGTTGTCAGCTTATGAACACAGAAGTTCTAAACAGAGAGCCTGAGATTGTATCACTGGATTATGGGCTCCAGCACATCATTCCTAACTTGAAGCCAGAGGAGATCTCTGATATGACCTTTCTTTTACAAGCACTGCAGAATTCATACAAGGCTCTTGTTTTAAAATCAGCTCAGAGATTACAGCACCTAGAACTCCAGCTGGAGGAGAGGCAAAGACTTATTGCAGAAATAGAAAAAGTTCACTGTCAGCTTCGAAATGCTGAGATGCTTGCCGGGCCTGACATGAACCAAACCAGCACATGGTCAGAATTAATCAATCAACAAGACATTTTAAAGGAGATTTTAAAGGACATACAAGAAATAGAAGGGCTTATCTCATCCCACTGTAAAGAGAGTCAGGTCACAGCTGGGGAACTGAGCCTGTCAGAACAACTATTTTTGATCGATCAGTTAAGAAGTCTGAAGAATAGAGCAAGGAAGACACAGAGGCAAATTCAGAGTAAACTTCATGAAGTAGAAAAAAAGATAGTTGTCTACAGGGAGTTTGCTGAAGGAATGACTTCATTGCAGCAAGATCTTAATGATCTGCGGTGTGGTGAAATGAACATGGAAGAAGAATCAATAGGTGCCAAGCAGGAAATGAAGGATAAATGCAAAGCACTTAGAGAAAAAGTACTAGCTTTTCAGTCCAATTTGTCACAAATATTGAAGTACAGAGAAATCTTTGAATGTGTAGGTCTAAAATGGGACTCACTACAGCTGGATGAATTGCAAACTAAGTTTTTTAAAATTAAAAATAAAATTAAAGGGAAGATAATACATTTTGATAATGTTGCTAGGGAATGCGATAAGATTCAAGCATTGCTAAATGAAATTCGGACTCTGACATCTACTGTAAAAAAAGAAGCTAACATCCTAAATGATAGCTGTAGCTCTTCCCCTGCTGAGAAGCTTATATCTGCACAGATTCAGTTTCAGACAGTTCAACAAATCTTGTACTTAACCCAGGAGGTAGCAAATCAAATAAACAAAAATGAGGTCTTTGATACACCATTCAAAGAATCTAAGAGGAAAGAAATGAAGAGCCTGGAGAAAGATGTTGAGGAATTGAATCAGTTTCTTCAAAACTTGATCTCTGGTCTCCAGTGTGTAAACAAGGAAGATACCCAGAGTGAAGTAGAACATATATTGCACATAATAAAGCATATTCAATTAGAGCTCCAGCAGCCACTTCTGATAGACATAAAAACAATGCAGTATGAAAAGATACGGTGGGATGCAATTCAGAATATGATGCAAGCAAAGTTTTCTGCTATTAAATGTATAATGGAAAAAGAGAGTGAAAACCAAGAAGAAAAATCTCTTGCTGCTGGTGTAGAAACAAAATTAGAGACACTGCAAGATTATGAAATACAACTGAAGACAGACATTGCTGCCCGTGTTGTAAGTATATTTAATAAACGTAAGGTATGGCCATACATCTTTTCCTAATAATTAGATTAGGTGTCTGTGACTAGTGTTTATATTTTCATTACTTATATCCTCCTTTTATTCCAATAACTGAATTGGATCATCATCATCTCTGCATTGGTGAATATTATGGGAATCATGATAAGAAACTAAGAATGCAAAGGAATCAGTTGTATTCTGTTTTATTATAATCAAGCAGTGGGGATTAACACGAGAAAAGAAGGGTAAAGAGGAGGAAGGAGAAAGTTTTCTTGAAATACTGAGCTGAGGAGAGACTGGGTGCAGTTGTCCTGGGATTATTATTGGGACAGGTTTTATGTAACGTTTTCAATAATGACAGTGAAGAAAAAAACAGAAGCTCCTACTTTCTACTATAAAGAAAAAGCTTACTAGTTGAGAATGGTCAAGGAGAGTAAAGTACAGGTCAAACCAATGTGATCAGGCCTCCGTAAGGGTAAGCAAAGGAAAGGCAACTGGAATCCAAGGCTTTAACACTAGTATTTGAGGTATTGCTAGGGTACTGCTGGAGGATTAACCCAATTCTTGATGTCTTTGTCAAGAGAGATCCATAAACTGGAGCAGATGCTGTTAGAGGGATGAAGAATGTTGAGGGCAGTTAATAAAACTGAATTTGCTCAATCTCGCTAACTGAAGACAAGTGGGAAATCCAGCTGAGAAATGTAATTGGGCTGGATGTACACTTAATGAATGGAAAAGGGCTGCTTAAGCTGAAGAACAGTGTTAATTAATACAAGGAGAAGGAGTTAGTGAATAAATTTCTGTTGGAAACCAGAAGAATGGTAACCTTCATAGCAGAGAGGTTCTGGAACTGTGTCCTGGTCAAGAAGACCTGTGCCCTGACTGCCTAAGAGATCAATGGGTATGAACAAGGAAATAGGAGGTAGTAGCTGTAACAGGGGGAGGGACTTAGCATCCCTGATGGACTTATGGTCCTCCTGCCAGATTTCCTGGTTTGTTGTGCTTCTTCACTGCTTTGGTATTGTGTGGGAAGCACAGTGCCAGTTTGTCTGCCCCATGAGAAACCAAGAGCTGTCAAAGTCACACATCATTCTGTGTATAAATACATACAAGAAGAGGATTTAGTGAGAAACAATTTGGTAAGAGATATCCCCTGGAGCAGAATAACACATCAATGTGTGGGCTTTCCTTGTCAAACAGGACATATATTTCCATGTCCATAAGCGATCTTATGGCTTTTGTGTCGTACCATCCTTCTCTCTGGACTTTTCTGGTATTGGCCATTTCCTCATAACTCCTGTTCCTATGGCTGAGGGCAACCAATCTATAGGTTACAGCACTGATCTGTGCCAACATAGGTAGCAGAGTGCATTTGCCATGTGTCCTCCCTTGCCTCCTCAGGCCAATTCTGGGAGCACTGGTCTCAAAGACAGCGAAGTATGAAATTCTGAAAAGACCACCTGGTGATGTAGAGGAGCACAGCAGTCTTTCTTGATTGTTCCTTTGTCTTTTTAACATTTCCAGAGTGCTTTGGAAGAGGCATGTAAGACTGGTGAGCTTTATACCAAGGCTGTTCAGAGGGCTTCCAGGTTCCTTGAGGGCTATGAAGCTCGAGTCCACTCTGCTGCAGCAGAGCTTGATGGCTCAGAGGGGTCCTGTCAAAGCCCACAATGGAAACAAGAAGAGTTCAACTCTGCAAAGGCTAAAATAGAAAGCCTGTACTTCAAGCTGAAAAACCTAGTGAAACCAGAAGACAAAATATGTCTGGAAAATACTTTAACAGAACTAGTCAAGAAGAGTTTGGCATTGAGGGAGAAGGCTCAAAGAAAGGAAGCTGATGAACAGAGGTAGGTTTAAGAGACCTTCCTAGATCATGTTACTTATTAGAAATTTGACTGATAATAAATGCAGGGTTGTTTCTAGTCTGATAGAACCAGGTAATTCAGCAGAAAGAACTGTAAGCATTTCTATTGTTCCCAGATTTGACTGTAATGGAAGGAAAATTACCATACAATAATCATATTTTTACTACTTTACAATGCTATCATTTTTAGTTTTTAACAAAAAGTATGTATGGGGTTCAACTGAGGGTCATAGTGTGCCAGAATCAGGAGAAAGCACGTTTCCACAGTCTCTAGTTCAGTGCTGGTGCAGGTTAGAATCCAGTGCTGCTGGTTCTATTGAGCATAACCTTAAAATCTGCTTTTATAATGAAACAAATACTTTAAAGGCTTTGGTAATAAAAAAGGAAATTATAAGATATAGAAATAAGAAATTGGAATTATACAGACCACACATTGTAGGGACAGATAGAAAGTGTGTTGCAAACTGGGAATTAATTTTTGGGAATGTCTGAGGTGGGTGGAGACCTAGATCGGGACATACAGTTATTTTGAGCAGCTCAGTGGCTGATATATGGATATACGTACCTATATTTCTTTACCTCTGGGGCATTTCTACCTGCATCTCTAAAGTATCTCAGGTATCGGACCTGAAGTGTGTAACATGCTAACTGAAGATCACTTGCAATATAGTAAGAACTACCAGTTCAGAAGATTATTTCTTTTATTCTAGTGGGCCTTATGGTTGGAGACAGGAGCAACCACAACAAATTTTAATTGGTCTATTAACTGTTTCCTATAGGTATTTTGAAAAATACAGAAGCTACACAAAAATCAAAGATAAGGTGTGTGATCATCTTAACAAACTGGAAAAGATGCTTAGGCAGTCTTTGTCTCAAATACCAATGTCTTATAAAGAAGCTTTGGAGCACTTAGAAGAAAGCAAGGTAAGGCAGGCTCTGAAAAACTTGAAAAGTTCATGCAAAATTGTGATGCAGCAATGCACACCATATGGTATCATAGCAGAAAGAAGTGAAATACTTTATCCTGTATTTATGAATATATAAACCCACAGAATATATTTATATACTTATAAAAAGACCAGATTATACTAGGCCATGTAAAATGAGTACCTCTGCTGTAGAAATCAAACATTATCTGTGCTTAAGATAGTGTTGCATTTCTGTTCAGATCCCTCGTTGCTTCTTTGCAGGACCAGGACTGATCAGATTTCTACCATTGCTGTTGTTTTCCCTCAGAAGTGGTGCCGCCACACCAGACCACTGCTATAATCAACCTCTTTGCTGTCTTCTCTTTTAGTGTTCATCATATTACAGGCTTGTCATTTTATAGATCTGTAACTCCTGCTCATTTCTGTTCCCTTCCAAATAACCAAAAAGAAGTAAGAAAATGTAATTGCCTGGGCATACTGTTCTTCTGTTTTGTTTGTTTTATGTACCCCATCTTTCTCCACAGTCTTAGCCAACAGAATTCTCTCATTACAACGGTATTTAACCAGCTCGGTGGAGTGATTGCCATTTTATTAGAGAATCCTCTAAATCATGTTACTGAATGCTTCATTAACACTTCTGACTGTATTATTTTATTTATTTGTTTGTTTTTCCTATAAGATTTTAGTCTCCAACATTAATGCAGCTGAAGATGATCTTGTGAAGCTGAGGCAGGTCTCTGGAGAGCTGATGAGGTTATGCAAAAGAAGTGACAGGGCACTGGGCAGGATTGTAACAGTGCTGTGGGAAAATTGGCTGGGTTTGCTTGAGGCAGCAAAAGGGCTGGAAATTAACAGTGAAGAACTAAAGCAGGAATGGAAATTCATCAATGAAGAGGTGGGTTGCTCAACAAACTAAGTTTTGGGGAACATGGTAGGGATGGGTCCCTTAGTAAAATGGCGTGTAAGGGGCTGAGATCAGTGCAGAACATCGTTTCCCACCAGCCAGTTATCCCAGCCTTTCTTGAACCTGGAGTCAAAAACGATGGGGTTATTTTTAGTACAAATTCTCTGAACCCAGAACAGCTCTGTGTGTGGTTATGTGCTTTGTTAGAGCAAACACAAATGTTTTGGCACACTTCAGAGGTTCAAGTTCTCTGGCTATTTAATTCCCAGTACTTAGTCATGTGTATGAGTAAATGAATAATGTAACTGAACATGATGGAATAAAAAAGCACTTTATCTTATGCTTTGACATGCTGTTTACTTAGCTGGAACGAGAAACAATAATTCTCGATAAGCTCCAGGAAGAACAGCCAGAAAGTCTTAAAGAGAAAGAAAAGGCCACCAGCGAGGAACTGGTAGAATTACTAGATTTTGTGAACTCATTTGAGGAAAACATCAACCAGCAACAGCTCCTCTTACTCTTACTACTTCACCGAATAAGAAACATCCTGAATACATCTGAAAATACTGAGTCAGAAGCTGCCCTTCCTGCCTTATGTGAGATAAAGGCAATGCAGGATCGCTGTAAAAAGTAAGTGGTGTGGAATTTCTGTTGAAGATATGACATCGACTACTTATAAACACAGTGTTTTATTGGGTATTAAAGAATATATGAAAGCTGTATTGCACTTAAAATTATAGTGGACACCCTACTGGGTCAGACCAATGCTCCATCTAACCCATCTGCTGTCTTCAGCATGGGCGTTGGGCGGTAGTAGCTAGGGAGGAGACCAGAGCCTGGCCATAATGTGTGTGGGCTGCAATTTGTGTTCAAGTGTAGAAGGCATCAGGAGGGACGATGGTTGATTTTGGAATTTTCAAGCTCTTGTGAACTTCAATGAGATGTTTGGGTCTTCCACTCTTATGAAAATCAGACCTTGTGCTTTTTGCAACAACGCAACTTTTGCCTGCCTTAGTGCCACTGTTTAAAATTTGCCTCAAGTATGTTTTGCAAACCTGTGATTGTACTCACCCGTCTCCATCCCTGCTTTTTGACGTGGAAGTCTTTGTGAACATCTGCTCTGCCAGCGTTTTCAGACTCTGAGAACCTGAGCTCTGTTTGCTGTTTAAATACGCATTGCTCTCTGATTTGGTCTATGGAACATACTTTGTTTAGCAGTATCTGAAGACTCATTTTTGAAGAAACTGAGACAATGAAAGACAGAAACTCAGAGATTTAGTTACATAAAATAATATTAAAATACAGACAAATGTGGTTCTGGATATATATATTTAAAATACCTGTGTTAAGCATGCTCTTTGATTACTTCTTAGTGTAAAGTCTAACAATATGTTCTTGCTGGAAATCTTTCATAGGTTGTATGAAAAGAATCAAGACCATAAGGATTCAGTACAAGCTGAGATTCAAGAGAGGAACAAGATCACTGAAGAAATAAGTGCTGTGACAAATGTGTTACAGAATGCTGCATCTGTATTATTACAAGATGCAACTGGAAAGGCAGGACAACTGGAGGTTGGTAACAGCTCTGTTACTGGGTGGGGACTTTCAGAATGTTCTTTTATGCTGGGGCTTGAACTTGCTCCAAATAAAATTAGTGACAAAGTAGTGACAAGTGCATATGCACTTTGACTTAAAGAGAATAAATCTGGCTCAGCAGAATATGACTGGCCCTGCCATGTCTTTGGTTTGTGCTCCTCTATGTGGTCCAGTTAGCAGCCGTAGAAGTCTTTCCAGATTGCAGAGAGTTTAACAGCCAGTTGCGTGCCCTTTAGGAAGGACTGCTTAGCATACATCCTGCGCCTCTTCCCCCACTGTGTACCTAGCCAGGGCAGCTTCGGATGCTCTGAAGTTGATGTCCCATGTCAGGGGTTTAAACTAGTAAATGCTTTTTAGAAATCAAATTTTGATCAAGACCACAGTCTCCACCAGCAGCAACCATTACCCTGCAGCTATAATTCCTGTAATTTCAGTATATTTTTGTTACCCTTCTTTGATTTCCTGACTTTATGAAAGGGTATTATTCCTAACACTTCCTGAATGTGGGTTTAGTTATTATTTTAATTATATTTGTTTCAATTTAGTCTTATTGTTCTTTATGTTACTATCTTAAAGTCTTGATCAAAAAATAATTTTTAATTATATTTAATCAACTTATCTTTTACCTGTAGAACTTTATAATTTATTTATTCTAACCTACTAAGTTCTATTACAAATTTAGGCTCTCTTTGCTGAGTCTTGTACAAAAAATGTTTGGCGTTCCTCACCATGTATCTTTGTTTAGAAGATGGATGCTTGAAGCTGGCAAATGGCTAGGAAAACTATAGAAGCCAAAGACTGAGGTGGATGATATGAACATTTTCATAGGGGTTAGCATCTTGAAGAAGTTCCAAAAACCTATGAGCCAGCATTACTGTGGTGAAACCTTGTGGATTTGTCTGAAAGGGATAGTTTTCTATTTAAAATTATTCAGCATTATAATTTAGATTTGGGTCTGTTCTTTTTCTGAGTTCTTTGTATCCAGGAGGAAATGTTACCACTAGAGGTGCATGATGCCTGCTCTTTTCTGTCACATCCAAACTGTGCTCCACTGAGCACCTAAAACTCACCCAGAAGTGAGTTTAGACCTTGTTCCTGTTCCTGGCAGCAAGTGGCACAAGCAAATGTTAGCAGAAATCGCATGAAATTATTTCTTTGTAGCAGTATGTCACAGCAGGCCTGTTCCTTTTGAAAAGATTCACCTGAAAGGGTTGAAAAATTCCTTAATTTTGCCTAATGCAATCGCCAGTAAGCCAAAATCTGCAGGGCAATTTCATCTCTATTTCCAAAGAAAACCTAGTTTCTATAAAATCTATCACATTATTTGTGCCCCCATTGCGTTTATTGAATGGAAATGCCTGTTTCACTTCCAGATGACAAGTCTAGGTTAGTCAGGTGGCAAAATTTTAACTCACCAACATAAATGAATATGCAAAGGAAAGTGATATCATCTAGTCCCCTAGGAAAAAAACTGGGAGTTTTGACAGATATCTGCTTTCTAGCTAAATAATCTGTGAAATGTTAACGTGCATTTATATACAGAAACCAGTTTGCAGAGACGTGCTTTGTTTTGGAGACTAATGTTGTAACTAATTCTTTCAAATTCAAGTCAGGGAATCTATAAACTCACATAAATGTTGACACAATCTTAATTGGGCCGTTTGACAACAACAGCCTTCGCTATGGTAGAATGAGACACTCAGCTGTTTCATGGTTTTGAGGTTTTTAATATCAGACTCAGTTGTCGTGGGATGACAGGAAATAAATCAATCTCAGACTCTTACGTATTTCTTCTGTGCACCATATTCATGCGAGGGAAAAAGATTCCCAAGTGAAGACTAGGAGTTAACGGATTACCATTACCCCTGATTGAAAAAGAAAAGGATATTAATTTTAATGGCTTTCATTGCCTGATAGGAGGTTTAGATCACTTTCCCCAATAACTTGAGTCACATTTGAGTTTCTGAAACAGCTGAGCATTGGGAAAAGGAACCATAAAGCAAACAAACAGAACTTTCCAACTTGAAATTCTAGAAAACGTTCAAAACAAATGAGTTTCTTCATTCTTTCTGCAAGAGGACTTAGATCGGATTTTATTTCTAGGCCACAGGCTGTAGACAGTTGTTCAAGTTTCTTTTATCTCATAAAACCTACATTCTTCATGTAGAACTGGGAACTACTGTTTCGAAAGGAGCCTGCTGTGCTGCTCTGCGTAATTGCCTGAAAGCAGACACTTCAGCTTGAAACCTGTTGCTTTTTGTGGCCTTTGTGTTGTTTATAATAATGAAGGAATGAACGTTGGCTATTAAACATCTTTCAAAGAGAAAATGCACTTTTGGCAAAAGGGAGAGCACAAAGGTTAACATTTAATCATAGGAGCACTTCAAATGATTACATTGCTGTACCTGTCAATAAACACCAGTGCGTCAGTTGCCTGACATGGGAGTAGTATCAAGTTTAATTAATTCTTACAGATTGAAAAGCATCATTTGATTAAATGAGTGAGTATTTCTCAAAGTTTATCTGCTCTCAGAGGTAGTCAAATTAGGTTTGATACAACAAAAACAACTTTTCCAAATCATATTCATGGGAGGATATATAAAACACAATATGTATGTATGTATATATATACATATCTCTGTATACACACATGCATGTACACTCAGTAAAAACTGGGTAAAGCTTCTGAAGTTATTCTTAATTTTGTAGGAGGTCCAGAGTGTGATTGCTAAAAAAAGTCAAACTCTAAAGGATATCATGGAGAAACTCCGGATCAAGTATTCTGAAATGTATACAATAGTTCCTGCTGAGATTGAAACACAGCTGGAAGACTGCAAGAAGGTATTGCAAGACCTAGAAGACAAGGTAACTGTTGATGTAATTATTCATGTTTACCTTTTTGTAATGTATAAGTAAGTATAGCAATATTTGATGAATGCTGTAACTATAAAATTCAACTTGAAACACTGATTATTTTCATTTGCATTTTTGCCAGTATGTAAGTGAAAATGTATGCATGAGGAAAGATTCATCATGTTAACTGTCTCCTTTTAGAATAACCTTACAGTAAGCAGTGTGAATATAATATTTTTCTGTTAAAAGAGGACATGGCAGAACCACTAGCAATAAAGTCTTGGATATGATACTGATCCCATCTTCTATCCAGTCTGATTCTTAAACTAAATTAGTAATCAAAGTTGATTGGGAAGTCTGTATAGCTTAACTGAGAAGATATTTTCAGACTGAGTTAAAAGAGGACTTTGAAACTGGATTTTTTTTTTTTTTTATCTAATTGTCTACATATAGTAGGGTATCGTGGCACAGTTCTTTATACCACCCCTTGGGACATGGTTGCATTCCTTTAAAAGCAGGCAGGGAATTTAAATAACTAAATAACATTGCCTCGGCTTTTTGCAGTGTTTTCTGTCTACAGCAGGTATAAGCAGTTAACCGAAAGCAAAATTAAAGGAAAATGGAGTAATACTGTAAGTTTGGGGTCAGGTTTTAGTTTGGTATAATTATCATCATTGTTATTTATTAATTTGTGTTAATTTTAAATAGAAAAAATCTTTCAGTTCTCTTATTTCAGAAATAATATTTTGTAATGCTAATTTTAAAGGTGAAATCTCAGTTAATTTGATAAAACTTAAAAGTTTAATAAAATGGTTTTAAAATCCAATTACTTGTTAGCATCTATCAAATTATTCATTCATTTTATGCTGCATTAAGCGTTTAGAGATGTATTCATTACAGTCTATTAGTTTCAATTTGGTTAACTTTGTAGTTTCTGTTTCAAAATGGAACCAGTCCTTATAGAACCAACAACTGTGTAGGAGAGAGAAAGATAAGGGAAGTAAACCAGTATATATGCTTTGTGGGGTTTTTTTGTTGTTTACCGTTTCATTTACCGAGGCAAAAGATTATCCCAATGCACTTATTACATGTTGGAGTGAAAGAACCAGTTCTGGAAACTAGATAACATTTGCTTTTCATATTAGGTAGTGGAAAATAATATAAACTACCTTGGAATTTTTAAAAATGCATTTAGGAAACAAAAAAAATTCTAGTGGAACTGGAGATCAGTTTAGTTGCAGACTAGGAGATACCAGCATGTGTTCTATTGAATTAACTTGTCATATTTTAATGACATTCTGTTTTCTTCTAAATCTGCTAAACTAAACATGAAAATAAATTGTACTTTTGATGCCAGGTATTGTATGTGAAAAATATAATAAATTTATGCCAGTAAGAAGTTTTGAAATTAAAATCCTGCCCTACTGATTACCATAGCATTGACAGATGCAGTGTTTTTTCTGAGGAAAGATATGAAGTCAGTGCTTTGCCTGCTTTCTTATTTCCAGCAGTGTCACAGCATTCATACATGGTTCTCTTCTGTTTTGGAAACTAGCACTACAAACATCAATGATTTTTCATGTTTGGTATACTCCAGGTCAACTGTTCAGTGATTACAGTCTGAGTTCCTTTTTCCAAGGAGTCTTAGGTACTAAGTACAGACTGGACTTCATAGCTTTTTTGTATAATTATGAATATTTGAGAGGAGCACCATTCTTCTTTTTGCTATATATTTATTTTGCTTAATGCATTTTTAATCAATACAATACCTTACTATGGATATTAAGTTGGTCTGACACTACATGTTGGAATCTATAAATAATAAATAATGTTAATAAAATTAAGAAAAAAATATGGATAAATAATTTATGAAGTAATTATTTTAATTCCAATTCCTGCAAAAGGGATAAAGTATTTCAGTATAAAGAGCTTCAACCAGAATAATTACTAAACTAGAAATCTTTTTACATCAGTGCAGCATAATGCTGTGCAACGTGCATGTGCCCAATAAATCCTAGGGCTGCAGCACACAAAGAATTTACCATGATTGAACAAATTCCTGGTGCTTGGCTGACCCTAACAGCTATCTGGGTTCAGTAAGAGAAGACATCACTTTTGGCTAAGAACAAGGACTTTCTCACTTCATCTAGTCCATAGTAACTTGGTACCTTACTGTGTTGTTCATTTCTGTGCTCAGGCAATTACTCAACTTCAGCTTACTTGAGAGTTTTCCTCTTTATGTAGAAAATCAGGCCTTCTGCTGTATTGATTTTTCATTTCTGTGGAGTTCTGCAGAGTAAAATTAAGTTCCACATACTTTATGGGGCCCAGAGCCTTTTATTTTAGTAATAAATCTCTACATGTATATTTAGAAATTTACTATGTATTTATGCACTTCCATATTCCCTTATTTCTTACATGGATGTAATAGCTGTGAGCTAAGACATAAAGGTGTCATTCTAGGCTTCTTACAGCACGATTCTAAATGTGCCTATTTCCACAATGCAGCATGATTAGCCTCTGTTACAGATTAGAATAGGGGCAGCTGAAACGAAGCAGCCAGGGAGTTGCAGTGTCTTATTGTTTGTTTCTTCCAGGCTTGCCTCTTAAATGAGAGAAAATTATTGAATAACATGTAAATATTGAACCTGCTCACATTAATGCTTCTCCCTGCAAATGTAATTGCATTCCTGTGTTTTTACGTGACTCGGCAAGAGAAACATGAAAAGAATTTGAATATTTTTGGTGAGGTGGTACACAGAAACAAGCAGATCTTTGTAATCTCTCCTATTGTTTTCTCTTTACTCTGACAGGTTAGTTTTGAAATCTTGCAGACCTCCCCTCAGTATGTGCTGAAAAGAAAAGCGGAAACTATTAATAGTGGCCTTCAAGCTATTGAAAAGATGTTACAACAGAAGAGTGAAAACATTGCAAAAGCCAAAGAAGTTCAGAAGGTAATGTTGCCAAAAAAATTTTGTGCATGTTAAAGATTTTCGGTTGTTTCTACAGAGCCTGGTTTAGCAGGAGCATAAAGTAGCCCTGCATTCATTTTATGTCTGTAAAAGGAGAAGTACAAGAAAGCATTTTTCTGGTGAATATTTTACCAATTCTTTCTCACAGGAAAATACATGGTTTTTTCAACCGTTTTCAATCACACCAGTAGGTGCACAGTGTTCTGTTCTCATCATATCGGTTCTGAAATCTTCGCAATTCCAAATGCCCCACGGGAAGAGCAAATAACTGCTGTTATCTTTGAGCCTGACCTTATATTTCATTTACCCTCTCTCCACATGCAGCACATCTGGGATATGCTGGACCTTTGGCATTACAAACTCAATGAACTGGATGCAGAAGTGCATGATATAGTAGAGCAGGACTCCTGCCATGCACAGGAGTTGATGGATATCTTAGTGACCCCCCTTCAGCAGTACCAACAGGTGTCGCAGCTTGCTGAGCGCCGAACTGCCATTTTAAACAAGGTAGATGCAAATGTAAAAAGTTTTTTTAAAAATCAACATACAGGCTTTGTATAAAACATCATTAAAGGCTCTCCAATGAATAGAGAGTCAAAAACCTGTTGTAGGTGCGTTAGTTTATTGTAGCTCAGAGTTTCTGGAGTGGCAAACATCACCTCCAGCTGCTACCCCAAAGGACTGGCTCTGCACGGTGGTTGATGGGGGTTAGCATGAGGAATTCATGCCCCTGGATGGGTGATGAAATGGTTCTCTATGGCTGCTAATGGGCTATCTATTAAAGTAACATTGCCATATAAATTGCAACAATGTCCCCGTGAAATGTAGCATGTAAGCACCAAAGTTACATCTGATTAGAGGAGATAGCCTGAGATCATGAAACTGTTCAGAAAAAAATATGATCTTTGTTTCACCATACTAACCTAACTAACCTTGATGAAAATATATCCCTTTTTCTTCTCATCTTGTCCGCAGATGTGTTTATCTTGTACAGTGAACAGAAATGCATTTGTGCCTTTTTGTAAAATCCTGTCATTTCCTAGGCTGCCAACAAGATGGAAGAATATGATGAACTCTTGAAGAATGTGAAAGTTTGGATAGAAAACACCAACTGCTTGCTAAGAGCACATGCTCAAAATGACTCTGCAAAAAGCTTACGTAAACATACTGATGATCTTCAGGTAAGTGTTAATGCAGATGTATGGCCTTGTAAGAACTGGTTGTTCTGTACAGACGTGATTTTGCATCCTTAAGTCTTACTGACATAAATTATGTATCATTTCAGTAAATACTCCAAGTGAAAAATAGTTATCATTGACACTCATGAAATATAGATAGATACTTTTCAGTGTTGGACGTATCTATCTTGTGAAAGTGTAGAACTATAGTACATCTATCCTCCAAAAATGTGTGATTGTCTTCTGTTACCATACTGTGTGGCTATAATCAGTTTTTACTGCCTGAATATATATGGTTCTTTCTGTATCGTGTCTGTATGTGATCCAGAAGGGGTAAAGTGCTGTTTTGATGTGTGTGTGCTAGGTGGAAACTTTAAAGTGAATTGTGATTTGGAAGGCAGTTCTCACTGTAACTGGAAGGTAATTCTTACTGGTAATTTCAAGAATCAAATGTTTGTAATGTTACAGGGAAGATCAAGGCCAGGCAAGTGCCAAGAGGGTTTTTGGCAATTTCATATTTGAAATTCAAGTTTTCTATATGTCTACTCCTTGGCTTAGGCCAAGAAAGTTGGTGCTCTGAAGATAGATTTTTGTATTCAAACTAGTAAAAATTACATACAAAAAGTGGCTGACTGTTCTGTACTGTTATGTTACAGAGCATGTAAATGCAATGGGAAGATTGTGATTTCCAAAATCTGTGAATATTTTTGAAACAAAAGCTTATTGTCTCCTGTGTTTGTCATTTGGGGTGTTTTATATGTTCTGGGACAGGAAACTAGTAGATTTGGAAATGCACCCACGTCTTGCATTAGAGTTGAGACATGCATTCAGTCATTTCCTTCAGACACCACAGAGACAAGTGGATCACAAGCATTTCTTGCAACCCTCACTGTTCTTCATGGTGACATGAGCTGTATTTAATCCTAAAGCTCATCCAGTTAGCTGCAGGAGGTGGGAAGAATCTTCCCATCATGCACAACTGGCCAGATACTTTCTGGAGCTTTTTGTTACATCTGCTGTCTGCAGACTGCTGTGCAGAAAACCCTTTTCAGGTGTCTGGTTGACATGTCTTGTTCATGTACTTGGGATCAGCCTGATCATGGCACAGGAGCTGGAGAGGAATCTTCTCCAGAATCTCATACTCTTCTTCTGTGGGGATGGGACCTCTCTCTGAATTTGAAAGCTTCCTTTTCATTCCTTTTGTCATGCTCATGTAGACTTATTTTATCTAACTGATTCCCTTATAATCATGGTGTCAGTCTCTCAGTTTTCTGCCAGCAAGATGCAGCAGTTCAGTTCCCTTAGGAGTGAAGTGTTTTAGTCTGTACTAAGCTTTTGGGAATATATGCAATGGTCAATGATATGCAGGAAATTAAAACAGATTCCTTCTGGTCCTAACCTCTGTGAAGCTTTCATGTTAACCATTGATGGATCAAACTAAGCTCTTATTTTGTCTCCAGATGGCTTTGGAAGACTCAGAGCAAAAGCAAAATCTTCTACACAGTGTTTACTTGGAGCTGGAGGAACTAACACCAGTCTTTGAAACAGACAGTGTCATTCAACAGCTAAATGAAATAGATAATCAAGTAGGAACTTTACAGCATGAGATAGCAGAGATTCTTCCACAGATCCAGCATGTGGCAGATGTAAGTTTGAGTGATCTCTAAGTGCCTTTTATCAGAACTTCACCATATGTTATGGAATATGGCTTATATTGTGTGCATAGAAAAAAGGTGTGCTGGTTTTTAGTGGGTGTGCCAAGTGAGTAAATTAGTTGTTTGGAAAGAAACCATCAGAAGGTATTTGGTGTCTAATTAAGCTGTAAAGTTGAAAAGTATTGATGAAACTCCTTGTTTAGGAAGAGAAATGCAGGGCTTATCTTGGTGGAGGGTAGGGCTCCTATTCAGAAGCACCTGGACAGGCTGGAGAAATGTGCTGAGAGAAGCCTCATGAAATGCAATAGAGGCAGATGCCACATCCTGCACCCAGGAGGGAACGTGTCCAAATACCATTATGGGCTGGGGGCCAACCAGCTGGAAAGCAGCTTTGCCAAAAGGGCTGATAGTCCCGGTGGACAAGTTGACCATGACACAGCAGCATGGTCTTCCAGCAAGAAGGCTAAGAGTATTGTGGGCTGCCTGAGCAAGAGTGTAGCCAGGAAGTCCATGGGAGCAATCCTTCTTTTTGGCACTTGTGAGGTCACATTTGGGTGCTGTGCCCAGTTTTAGATTCCCCAGTGTAAGAAAGACATAGAGGAGCAAGTCCGGGAAGGGCCATCAAGGTGACTGAGGGGCTGTAACACAGGACATAGGAGGAAAGACTGGGCGGGCTGGGTCAGTTCAGCCTGGAGAAGAGACAGCTCTGGGCTAGAGCAATATTACAGCTGCCTGCTGCTACATAATGGGAGACTATAGGCAAGATAGAGCCAGACTCTTCATGGGATGTGCAGAGAAAAGATGAGCAGAGACAAACTCAAATTATAACATAGGAAATTCCATCTACATATAAGGAAGGATATTTTTTTGTGGTGAGATTGGTCAAACATTAGATATGGGGCCCACAGTTGAGGTGAAATCCCTATCCCAGGAGATACTCAAATCTCAACAGGATCAGGCCCCAAATGACCTGCTCTGAGGGGCACCAGAGACCTCCTGAGATCTCTTCCAAGCTCATTTCTTCTGTGACTCTGTCTCTATGAGAGTTCACAAGCAGCTGTGCTGTATGTGGATCCATTTTCTATCTGACAAGGCTCTTCATAAAGGAAGCTCCAACAGTGTAATTAGATCAGTTTCATATGCTGATAAATATCACCACTGGAAAAGTGTCTTCTCAATACTGGCAATTTATACTGTGACTTTCCAGTTCTGTACTCAGGGTTTAAAACAGACCAGGTGACCTTCAGAAGTTATGACAATACATAATTTATAATAGCTAGCCTTTTGATTAGCAGCATCCATTAGCATGACCTGCATATGCTGCACTTGTTTTTCAGGTGTTTCTTTTTAAATTTAAGTAAAAGGCAGAAATGCAAGCTGGCTTTGGTTTTTCGAGGGAGTTTCTAAACTGTACTATCTACAAATATTCTCTTTGTTGCCCAAATCTAGGAATTGGATGCCATTGAATCTCATGTGAAAGTGTTTGAGAAGGATATTGCTAAAATGAAGACAATCCTATCATCAGAGGATCTGTTAGAATTTTCTCCCAAAGACCAACTTAAACATGGACAGGTCTGTGAAAACTCATATATAGTTTTTTTTTCCCTATGTATTTATGCATAAATCAGTATAAATATGCTTTCACAAGCATAAGGCTGTTTTGTGACTGCAGACTGCCATGAACAAGTTTTAGTGTATGACTTGGAAATGTTAGTATCACACAAATTCTAACTCTCAGATCAAAGATTGAAAATATTATTTCAGCCATGATTTTTGGCTACTTTCTAAAGTAGCAAGTAGTGCAATCCAGGAGGAGCACTTTGGTAGAGCAAAACAGTTGGTGCAGAGAACCTGATGTCTGTGTTGTATGTGTCTAGGGGGCTTGCTTTGGAGTGGTTCTGTAGAATGGACATCCATTAGTGGCTGGGTTTCTTCAGAGGCTCTTCTGGAGAGTATCTTTTGCTTTAGTTTCCTTTGAAAGGAGTCCAGTTTTTATGCTCCAAGACAACTGCACAATGTAAACCTTAAGATGAGACTGTTGGGAGATTTCTTCCAGAAGCACGGTTCTTGTCTGAACTGAAACATTCGAAATTAAAGCACTATTGAGAACATGCCCGTAGAGGACTCAAGTATGTAACTTACGTGTTGTCAGACATACCTGCCATATCTGAGTGCCTCCAGTTTTGGAAAGTTTATGTTCTGATTTTCAGAGACACTTCCTGCACATTACTCCACTTAGCATTGAACAGCAAGTAATCTGAAAGTCTGAAAATCAGGCCCTATTTTTCCAAAAATGGAGGCAAAATTTAGCACATGTTTCTGGAAACATAGGCTGGAGTGACTTACCATAAAGCCATTTCATCATGCAGGGACTTTACTGCAAAGATACCTTGGCCAGATGGTTTTCCTTCATCTGCTTGAGTGAAGTAAAGCAAAGAATTATTGTATCTTTTCTTTTATACCACATGCGGTTCACATTGTTAGCTGGCTGAAATGCAAAAAACATGGGTTCAGTTTCAGGGGAGGGATAAAAATCTCATCATACCTCTCATAGCTTTGTTATCCAGAGAACAATTTTGTAATGGCTACATTATATGGAAAAACTAAAGTAATATTTCTTCTGGAAAATTATGTTCACCTACTCCCTTACTTTAAATTGCTGTCTGGATAGTACGCTAATAGCAAAAAACTCCTTATGCAGGCTGCTTATGAATGAGAGAATAAGCATCTCTAGTCCAACTGGGGCCTTTTACAATGAAATCTTGAGAGGGAATTTAACAAAAATATCAGTAATTAAAAGGTCCAGAGCTGGTTTGGGTTTTGTTTTGTTTTGTGGTTTTTTCTTCTGAAGTTCCCAGCTGAATGAGGTCTCCATAAGATTTAATTTCTTTAAGAGAACTAAGAAGTTGTGAGCTGATATTGACATTCTGTCTTTCCTAAGTTGATCACTGAGTCTTCCATAATACATGTATTGTGGTATGATACTGCATAGTTCTGTTCATCCAGAATTGATAAAGATGATTGTAAACTGTGCATCCGCTTGCTGTATTGTGATATAAAGTGCTGTCTTTCACAGGAAAGCCATCTCCAGAGGTTTCTTCTGGCTTCCATCCCCCTTCATCATGTCAACTATGTTGATAAGACTGTTCATAGAACCATCAGCAAATGGCTAGTTTTAACACAGGACTTTTCATGGCTGGTTTACAGCACAAAAAAGAATAACCAGGATTGGCTAGAGTGACATTAAAGGGTTTACACCAGTTTTTTAACTTTTAACTGTCAAAGATATGCTACTTTGAAATGATGCACTTAGTAAAATAATAACCAATCTGAATGTGACCCTTTTTTGTCACCATGCAAATTTTATGCATGTATATGCAGAAAAAGAATTGTAAATGTAAATTATAGTTTCCTCTAGCTTTAGACAACCTCACTATGGATTTTAATGGATTTATTCCAAGACTGAAATATTTTTCCTTATTAAATGGGAAACTCACAAAAGAGAACTTTTGCACATCATGACAGTAGTATAAATTTTAGGTGTTGATTTTTCCAACTCAGTATCACATTCATCATCTATCCTATATCCTAGCAGGTTATACTTGACCATGTTGGTCCCATGCAGAAGACCATAGTTCACATACAGTCCTATGAAGAAACTCTTCAGCTACCAGGGGTGAAAATGCAACCTTTCTCAGTCTTCCAAAGAGCAAGAGAATTCTTGAGAGAATTGAAGAAATTAGAAAAAATTACTAAGGAACAAAATGACCTACTAGAGGTATTTGATTTTTTTTTTTTTTTTTTTTTTACTGTTACCTAAACCACTTTTATTTTATAATAATTTTGATCACTAGACAATGTTGTTTTTACAGGCATACAGTATACTTACTGTGTCTTCCATGTAATGTTTTGGGGAATTTTTTGTTCTGCTTTTTTCCTCTGTAATTTGATACTACATCAAGACACAGTGGATAGTCTTGAAATTAATTTCAGTCTTCTAATTTAGTCACAACTGACACGATGTGTTTTAGCACGTTGTAGAAGAAATGAAGGCATAAGTGTCTTATGACCTAGGTTTGCACAACCGGTGTTTGAAGTCCAGCGTTATATGCAGGTGCTCACATCTGCAATGTTCAGGTCCTTAAACTTATCTAGAATATGGAAGTTCTTTGTTGACGGCCATTAGATATAAACTGCTGACAATTAATAGCAGAAAGACTTTTACTAAAAATGATCTTCCCAAATCAGTGAGCCAGAAAAGTGACAATTTTCTACCGCTGTCGCTTGGTTAATTCACTGTTTTGAGGCAGGACAGCTCCTGCTCTAAGAAGGTCCCATGGAAGGATGTCTTTGCATAAGTGAACATGTGACAGGGCGCTTGGAGATTCTGTTGGCCAGACCAGATTTGGAGACAGAAGTGAGATAACAGCATTGGTGTGCCACACGGCTGTAGGAAAGAGCAGTGCTGGCAAGGTCAGTAAGGGTTAACTCATAGGCAGTATGAGTTATGAAACAGCTATGCTGGCTCCAAACCTTGAAGAAATATCTCTGCAGCACTTCACTGAGCAATGTGGTTGTACCAGCTCAGGAAGGTTTCAATTCAGGGATATCTGTGTCATGCTCCATTGCCCAGGGTAGGTATACTTGAAGGCAATCTGGAGTTTGGTTATTCATGTTCTGACATCAGCAGAGGTTTGTAAATTCTCATGTAACCCATTCATTTCTCCTCAGGATGATAGCAGCACCTAGAAAAATGATACAATATCTTTGTTAATAGGTTTGGAAAACCAAATCAGAGTAAAGCAGAGTGCTTTAGAACGTGTAACTTCTTACTGAGCATTTCAGAGGCCAGGCAGACACAAGTCAAAGCTAAAAGGTTAATCTCCATCTTTGATTTTCAGTTTGTGAAATTAAGAGCACCACACCAAGAGAAAAACTCAAACATGCTGCACGGCTAGTGCATGCTTGGAGTTCAGAAAAAAATAATGACTAAGTGAAATCCATATGATCCCTACTATATTTTTTTTTTCAGTCTGTACAATGTCTTATGTCTGAGAAGTGGATGTGGTAAAACATACCTTTTTCAGAGTTACCAGATTAAATACTCGAGAATTTTCAAAACACTTTAAAACTTGTCAGAAACAGAGTGCTTTACAATTATGAAGTGTTATCATGAGACTTATGTGGAGCATTAGGTCAAGGTTTAGATTTTTTTCCTTTTTGAAACAGCTGTAACCTTTTTTACTCAGCATTTGCCTTTATCTTATAAGCACCCAACAATCTGTAGCTGAGTGAAATTTCTTTGTGAGAAAATAGTTTGGAAAAATTGTAATTCTTGGCAGCTAGAGTATCAAACTGTGCAAAAAAGATTTTCCAGTCCAGTTGAATGGGTTGAAAGCAGCAGTACTACAATACAAGTCTAGTACCAGCTAAGACATAACAAAGGATCGAGCTATTAAAGGATGGCACTTTGAGTGCTGCATTAAAATGGTAGTAAGTATCCTGATAGAGCGGAAAGCAAATGGGAGGCAAGCTTCCTGTACAAATATATATATAGTTATTTTTTAACTGAGAATTAGTTTTGGAATTTCAGTGTTTGGATGTGTTTGCCCATATCTTGCTATCTGTGATGCAATAGGATATTGCACTAGTAACTTTTATATAATTAAATTGCAGTGTAATACCTGAAAAAGTATGATAGAAACAAAACAGGTAATAGGTAATGTAAATGCTTCGCGGCAGGATTTTAGGTGACTTAAGTCTATGTTGAATGACGCCTTCTGCTTTTTACTATGGCCTGTCAAGTACCACTCCTATCACTACCTAAATAAAGTCATCAGGAAGAGGAGCTGGAATCCACAGCTGCTGCTTCTGGTTTTATGTGCAAGAGAATGGCAGTATTTGCATATTTGATGATTTAGTGTGCTCATTTTTAGTAAGCTCTTCCATAAGAAATACGACTGCCTGCACGTACACTATGGGCAGGTGGGACTTTTCCATGGGTAGATCTTCTAATATTACCACAATATGAAAAGTGAAGAGCAGATGTTAAGCAGGAAATAACTCAAAAGAGAGACAACATTTCTAGGAAGAGATTCAGTCCCACATATATGGCATAATTTATGTTACATTAAGAAAAGGATAAAATAAGAATTTTTGCCCCTCAGTGGAAGGCAGGGAACAGATGAGTTATCTTCAGGCAAGTTGCTATATTCACATATTGACCTGTGACAGAAGGAATTGGAGTCTGTATACAAATTAATCATCTTCTTTAGTTAGTCAAGGAAATTGGAGGTAGTATGCATTTTACCTGTTACTGAACAGTCCTACTCATGTGGAAGTGAAGGTATGGGTAAGAGAATCTCTCTTTCAGAAGGACTTTTATTTTCTCATTAAAACTGAGCAGGAGGAGACCTATTCTACTTCTCCTATGATTCTAGCTATGGCATTAAGATTATAGGCCACAATTAAATATCTTCCTCTTCAATTTGGCTTTTTTTATTTCAAGTGGGGAAAATAGTTTCTCCTTCCTTTTAAAACCTGTAATTAATTAAAAAAAAATTAGAACCTTATTAGTTTGCATTTTATTGAGAGGGAGTGCTACTGTGAAGAAGTGACTGAAGAAACAGCACTGTCACTCTTCATAGCAGGAGAGACTCTGCTCTGAAAGGCAGAGTCTGTGCACGTTTCGTGGAGACATTTTCCAACCTGTTAGGCTGCTCAGGTGCTGCTGTCAGCAAAGTTGTTCAAGCCTGTTGACAACAGGCTGCATTTTCTTCATTACCTTTTGCAGACACCTGAGGAATAATCCTTAGATATTCTTTGATTCTCAATCCTCAGGTTGGAAAACACAGAAACACCAAATGTTCTTCAAATTAAATGTTTTTACAAAATATTCTGATTTGTAGATGTAATAATTTCTTAATTATGTGAGACATTGTGACAAGCTGTGGCTGACAATCGTGGGGGGGGGGTGGTGCCAATTTCTGCATCAACAGTAAAGCATGGGGGTTGGATGAGATTTTGCCGTCTCACTGTCAAACGAGTAAAAATGAATTTGGCTGTTTATAACATATAATATGTTTTCCTATAAGCCATGCAAGAAGAGGAAGTTCACACAAAGTGGAAATATTTACCATTTTTATAGGAAGTATTCAAATTGTCAGATACTGCGGTTAGCTTAGCCTCTGCGCTGCCTGGTGTACAGCACAGTTCATGTTTGGTCAGTGCAGGACTAGCTGGCAGTACAGACCTGAGCACCAATAAAAACCAGGTAGGCTTTCTAACTTGATATGAAACCCTGTAATTTCTCTTTTTTTTTTTTTCTATCAACCTGTTCTAAATTGTAGTGAATGTGATTAAATATGCTCCATTTGTATTTTATAGCCAAATTCATAGCTCTACTCTGGAGTAAATAAAGAAGTTCTCCTAGGCAGAATACCCCACCATACTTCGACTTACAGATAGAGCAGTTTGTTTGTCTTTCGCAACTGAATAACAAACTTAGTGAGGATAGGGTTGGGCAAAGTTAGCAGAACAAACAGAGTTTCTTTTACATGTAAGTACAGATGTAAAGGAGACGTTGGTACTCTTCAGTTCAAGTTTGTTTCACTACTGACTAGTTTGTTTCTGTAGTACTTAATTCAAAATTATTTATGAGGATTACTATTTCACAGGAAGCTGTAAAGAAAACAGAAGAATGTGAGCAAGAAATTGAAAAGTTGAAACAACTGTTAAGGAACCACTTGGTTGAAATATCACATGAAGATCAGGCACTGGCTCAGAAGACTCATTGTCCAGAGGTGCGTTTCATTGTTTTTTCTCTCATGTCTGTTACAAGTCCTGACACCACTATTCATGATGATGCAGAGCAGTGTGCTTCCCCTCCCCACCACAGTCCAGCAGGCAATTGAATGCCATAGTGTGACCATGCATATGTAAGTTGACATACACTGAGAGATATTATGATTAATATTAGTTTGCAAGTTGGGTATATCTTTCATAATATACTCCTTATTGATTTCACCGTGTCATTTGTACCTGTATCAACTTCCAAGTCTTCCTGACAGCTGATAGCTGTTTTGGTGAAACAATATGCAGCACTGATAGCTTGCCTATGTGCAGTATCCTGCTAATGTTGCTGAAGTAGCAGCTTGGCATAGTGCACAAGGAGAGAACAAGTCCATTTTTGATCACTGACCGTGCAATGGTACTTCTGGTGATGCTAGTTTGGGTTAGATTCTCTAGACTCCTTTCCTCGCCTTCACTGCCATACTGTGTTTTCATCAACTAATAAACATGTGTTGCTTTTCTCCCTGCAGTCAGCTGCTTTCTATAATGGATTAATTGATTATTTAATGCAAAAAAAGATGTGTTTTAAGGACAGCACTGCAGGAGTCAGGAAATGACTAATTAAGTGTAATAACTATTTATAAACTGCCTCTAAAATGCTCAGCTTTTTGCAGTCAGTCACAATAAAGTTAATACACATACATTGTACTCGCTTAATAACTATAATCACTCAGTAGGCTTCTAAGTACATAGCTGCTCTGCTATGTTGGATGTTGGAGGCTTGATGCTAGTACTAAGCATGACTCATTTCCTGATTGTTACTTGTTTTTGTCTTTGAATGTAGGACTTTCTGTTTAATAGCTCTTGTTTTAGAAGAAAGCCTGCTTCACAACTGCAACGTTTCATAAAGAGAAGCGGAAAATGGAATTGCCCATCTTATTGAGGGGCTTCAGATGAAGATGTGATGTTAATAAATATTTGGTTTCTAAGGAGGTTTTTGACTGGTTAAATTTGCAAAGCAAACTGTTAAATGTGTGCTGTAAAGTCTCCTCCTGCAATTAAACAAATAGAAATACTCTTCTTAATGGACATTTATAAAAATATGCCAAATTATCATGGATGGCTGTTATTCCAATTGCTTTTTCTTTCCTCTACCCTTTGAAGATTTTTACCTTGTGTTTTTGACTGTACAAAAGGAAAAAACATCCTTGTCTGAGCAGAGTTCCCATGTGCTTTGAAAATTTGCGGGGGTTCCTGCCTCCACCTTCCCTGTCATGCAGCCACACTGGTGTTATTAACAGAAGAAGCTGTAGTTGAGACAAAACCAGCAGTCTTACTGCTTTCATCTGTCAAGGATTATTACTTGCACAGCATTATTCACACCATGATAGAGCATGGTATGGAATTATTTCAAGCCTAACATCAAAGCTTGCTCTGATGGGCTGAGCCCAGTGTGCAAATGGGATATTTAGCCACCTTTCAGTTTTCTGAGCAAGCAACAATACTTCAAAGAACTTTAGCACTTTCAGCAATGAAGGGAGCAGGGCATTTTATTCCTTGCCCTGTTTTACTCTGTTACTTGTTGTGCTTTCTTTGCTCACCTGGAGACTGGGTGGTAAGAAAAGGCCCTGTCAGAAAGCTCTAAGCTAGAGCAATCGTCATGGCCAGGGAGAAGACCAAGACAGATTTATTTCCCCCTTTGCTAGTGCAAAGTTACTTGCATTATTGTTTAAATCCCTGCAGAACATTAAATACTCTCCTTGCGCTTTGTTGGTGACCGTTGTTCCCAAAATCACAGAGACATGGGATAGTTTTGTCACTAAAACCCACCAAATGGTTTGTGTTTCTTCATTTAGGCCAACTTCTGCAAAGAAGGCTCAGCCTTGAGCTACCCTTATTGCTGTCTTTGCCCTCATCAAGGCTATTTTGTGTCAGGTTTCCAGAGAATGTAGTTGGAAGTAACATCACCTGCTCTGACACATGGAGTAATGTAGCCTAGCTGCATTCCCTCTGTCCTGAAGGAAACTCATATCCCATGGCTACGCAGCACCTAGTTAGAATTAATTACCCAGCCTTTCACATTTCCTTCCAGACTAGAAACTTCTGCATTACAGGCAGCAAGTGCTGTCCTGAGCTGAATCTGTTGCTGCTGTTTTGCATGTATCTGAACATCTCCTGCAGTGACAATGGGGAACTGTCCCAATGCGCTAAGAAAGGAAAAAGGGGAAATAGCTCGAGTGCCAGTAAGATGCATCACTGGTATCATCTGTTACATTACTGTTTGGTTAAGTAAGAAAAATGGATGCTTACAGCTGTTGTTGCTCCTTAGGGAGAAATGGAAGCTGTAAAAGAAGAAATCATAAAGCTGTGCCAAAGAAAGGAAGATATCCTTACCGGGATGAAAAATTCAATGTCTGAGCTTCACCAGCGCTTACAGCAAGAAGTGCCTGAATCAGGAGATGAACCCACAGCCTCTGTATTAACACAAAGTGATTTGATTGGGACTGATGTTTCTGGTCAGCAGGTAAGTGGAGAACCACGTTGTGATCACTTTACCCAAGAGCTGAAGAGGGAAGGTAAATAACCCTTCTTCCTCCAGGAGGAGTGGCATGTGAGAGAGGAGCACCCCTGCAGCTGTGAATCAATACCACTTCTCCTCCCCTTTGTGCTTCCCGATGGTCCTAGAAGGACTGAGTATGATGCATGTCTAGGAGAAGGCAGGAGAGAAGCATGCCTCTGGTTGTCTCTTAGCATGAGCAGACCCAGCATGATGTTTGCATCAAGCAATCAACAGCAAAATGCCCGATGTGTAGTTTTGTTGATAATCAGTTGTTCTGGGATTTTCGGTAATTTTTTTTCATGGAGCAAAATGCAGTTTGTCCCAATTATAGCTGTAATGTTTCAACATTACAGCATGAAGTCCCAATTTTCAGAGGTACTTAGTACATGCAGCTTTCAATTACTTTAATGTAGGTTGGCAGATGTTCAGTGCTCCTCCAAAAGTGGACCCCAAGTGGTAACTTTCTTTTGGTTTACAGGCAGAAGAGAAGAGGCTTTTACTGTTCTTGTCATGAATAATTGGGCTGTCTCTTTGTGTGTATTTTTGTAGTCGAAAAAAAGAGGAATGGTGTCTCTTCTACCTTCCTTAGATGAAGAATCAGAAGACTGTTCTTTCCACAGCAAGGTGAGTTCAGTGTATATCTTATATATACAGCTGTATATGGAAAATACAAAATTTTGGTACAGAACAAATTATGAAAAATGTGCAAATCCAAAATACTTCAGAACAAATTGAAATACCTGTTATCACTCCAGGATACTAAGAAATCGCACTTGAGGCAGCCTGCCAATATTACAATACCAGTATTACACAGCACCTCTTTCTGTGATGTCTGATCCTGCTGTTGGTGGGATTGTTTATATAGTAATATCTCCTTTATGCAAGTGTTAGGGATCTAAATACCAATGTTTATATGTGGGAGTGGGGTTCAGACAGAATTAGACAGCCTTTGAAGTGCTAAAATTTAAAAGAAACAACAAAAATTATTTGTATGTTTGAGCTTAAAAAAAAAAAAAAGGGGCATGATCAGACTATTGGGAATGAAGTTAATATAGGAGAGATTTCATAGAGAATGGGAGAAGCTTGGAGACACTGCTCAACAGGTTGATTTGAATCTGGAGAGTCTGAATGCCCAGGGGATCTGCAGAGGAGCAAAGCTGGAAGTAAAGTTTCATAGTAAAGTTAATAGCTTTTGGAAAAAGAAAAAAAAAAAAAAAAAAAGAAATCCATGAAGCTTTCTGAACACTTTCCTGCACCCTAGGGACTAAATGAGATGTACTCAAATGAAATCAAGAACATACAGAAGTGCTGGCGAGCTTGTAGCCTGGCTACCCATTTGCACAGCAGTTCCCAGATTTCCTAGATTGTTAGCGACCAGCTACTCTCATCTGCATCTCCTGGGAGGGACTGTGGCCTCAATAAAGTTTTGAAGAATCTCCATTTCTCTGAAGTCCTCACTATGGACATTAATTAGCCTTTTTGCTACATCTTTGCCACAAGAATCAAAAGGAAATGTGGCAAAAAGGTTACAGAGTATTGGAGGGGTTACTTTAGGCTAGGCAAAGATGAAGCTCCACGGCTAGACAGTGTGAAAAAGTCTGAACAGCTTGGATAGAGATGCTGTCTTACTACTCTGACCCAAGCACTTCACGTTCAAGGTTTCTGATTCTACACCTTCACTGGTGCAGTTTTCTTTACATACAGGACTTTAGAGGACAGGACAGGAGAAAGAGTGTTTCTTTTTGTGTTTTTTTTTTTTTTTTATTTATTATTTTTTTTATTTTTTTGAATACTGTGAAAAAAAATAAGGATACTCTGAGCTCTCTAGAGAAAACTATCAGTATCATCTGGCTGCCATTCATCTCGGAGCAGAACTATAGAGCAAGAGAAGTGCTGAGATTTCAGAAACACAATAAAGATAGATAAACAAGGCAGAAATACAGCAAAGTGTTACTAAAGGTTTGCAGTAGTATACCTTGCCTGAAGCAATATCTGAGCTTCCTGTTCACAAGCTAATGCTGAGCTGTTACTGCTTTCAAAGGGATGTACAGCCACAGAGAAAGATGCAAGCTTTTGGCCTTCAGAAATAGATGATGAAAGGCACAAGGAGGATAGCGCAACTTCCTGGTCTTCTGGTACCTTGTCAGATGGCATTGTTCAGGTGATGCACTCAGATTTATCTCCATGGGGATGGGAATTCATCTGTGTGGAAAAGATCTGCACAAGTCCCAGGCATTGCTGAGGTCTGCAAAGCAAGAGAACTGTAGAAATGCAGGACATGATGGTCTTATTCAGATCCTCCATCTTCCATATCACTCTAAATCTTGCCATTTAAAATTTCCTTTCCTGTTGCACATATTGGTTGGACTCAATTACTTTAATGGTCTTTTCCAACCTAAATGATTCTATGATTCTATATTAATTTCTTCTAGCTTGATAAAAACCCCAAAGATAGCAATGCACATTTGGTAACATCAAGTTGTTTTACTGTAAAATGTGCATTTTGTTGGGATGATTTGTGGAAGAGGTTCTCCTCTTCTACGTGAGATCAACATCTAAGACACTCAGTTGGCTACAATTTTGGTAGCATTCTGCTCTGTTCCTCATGGTGTCTCAATAATGATGTAATTATTTGTTTCTGTATATTGATGTTAGAGTCATAAGAGAACTTCTTTCTGTGAATACTCTTGGGCCAGGACCACTCTAGGTTGAGTGGCTAATGCCCTTTGAGGCTTCTTTAACACAACAAGGCAATAATCATAGAATCATTTAGGTTGGAAAAGACCTTTAAGATCATCAAGTCCAATCGTAAACATAACTCTGCCAAGTCCACCACTAAACCATGTCCCTAAGTGCCACATCTACACTACTACACATCTACACTATTAGTGATAAGTACTTACACTGTTGCCTCTCTCTCTCCAGGATGCTGATGAGATAATGGAATCACACAGTAAACATGGTGAGGAAACATCTATGCAAACTTTGCAGAGCACTGAAGGCCCTGGCACAGGTGATGGCAGTCAGGCTATGGTGAGTTTGAAGGCCTGAAGTAAGCTGAACAAGGTGACCTTCTGAGCTCCTTGTATAATCTACCTAGTGGGCAGTGGTCCTGTTTTGTTATGGTTATGCTGGTGGAGTTTGTTGCAGTGTTTATGATATGGCAGGATATCTACAGCCCTTTGTGGGCCTCTTCATATTGCTGCTTTGGATGATAAATATATTTTGATTTGCTCCTCGAAAATGTAGTTTACTAGGGAACAAAATAGAGTATTTTCAGGAAGTAAGAGGCTGGCATTCATACCGGCATGAATGGAGAGGTTCCAGTGATGTAAATGTACATTAACGATGGGATTTTTAAGCAGCAGTTAAAGGAGAAATTAAGATTGACAGTCCTATATGTTACTGCTTTGTAGAAGGTGTGTACAGGCTAAGGGAGGTGTGGGCAGCAGCCTATAGGTTATATGCAAAAGCGTGTATGGAGACAGACATGAGCGCTCCAGGAAGGCCAGGAGCAGCAGACTGGTAGCAGAGCAGCCCCCACTCTTCCTGGGTTTAGAACGTGGAAGAAGACAGAACCCATCATTGTCTGGGGCAGGAACAGGCCCCCAGGTCACTTCGTCTCCCACTACCCCTGACTTCTTCCATATGACATAACTGTATGCAGGACCTCTGTGTTTTTTCTCTCTGCTACACTGTGATGCTGTCGGTCTCTGCATTTGCAGGACCCATCTCAGCTGCCTTGGCAGCCACAGCAGATGTGGTCGCTGCAGTACCCAAGCGCAGCGAGCGGTTCAGCTGAGCTCGCACTGCTTGTGTGTGCTAGGCTGACCTGAACCCCTGACTGCACTGAGTAAATCTCCATTCAGGATAATAGGAATTTAGACACCTGTATCCAATAGACTTAACCTCCAGCTGAATGTTTTTGGGTTTCCCAGAGCCTTACAAGACAACACATGCCAGCTTGGCCCCTCTGTGTGCCACCGCTGTGTTTGGTCAGCGTCTTGCCTTCAGCGGCACCCACAGCCTGTCAGACCCAGCAATGCAACAGTTCAGCAAAGCAGTTTCTTGAGTCAGACACGGCAGGTCTGTGGAGTCCTGTCAGACTGTGAGCCAGGGTCCTCAGCTCCAGGAGACAGGTTTCTTAGAGGAGTTCTTCCTTCCTCAAACCATACCAGAGAGGTTTTTGCTTCCAACATCTTTTCCACTTCAGTGTTTTGTTACACTGTGGCATTTCCATATGCTGCACAACTACCTATAGCATGTGATTTTTTTTTTTTTTTAAATGATTTATTTACAAGATCAATTACTATTTGGAGACAGGAAGACATTTATTTTTATAAATGGTAAATCTATTTGTTTTCCCTAAAGATGTGTGTATGTGTAGAGATTTATTAAATTCATTATATTTATGTTCTCCATTTAGAGCTTAACTGCATGCTAAAATTAAATAATTCCTACCATCTTAGTGATTGCTAAATTATATCATTTCCTCCCCCCTGGCATGTTGTCTCTCCCATGAAAATGTAGCTGCATCCAAATTGAGTTATAGCAACCTAAAACACAATTTAGGATCCAGGAAAACATTTGAAATACTGGATGAGGAAGAAAAGATGGGTTATAGTTGTAGGTGACTCCCTTCTGCAGGGAACAGAGGGTCCAAGATGCTGGACAGATCCTTCACTTAGGGAAGTCTGCTGGCTTCTTGGGGCCGGAGTTAAGGACATCACTAGGAAACTTCCTAGCCTGCTATGGCCCTTGGACCCATTATTGCTCTTCTATGTGGGTGACAATGAAGCCGCAACACGTAGTCAAAGGGCAATCAAAAGAGACTTCAGGGCCTTGGAATGGTTAGTAAAGGACATCTACTGGAAAAGTAGCATGGTGAGCTGTAGGCAATCCAGGAGACTCCTGGAGTGCATTGAGGAGAACTTGTCAAGCCAGGTAATAGACAGCCCTACCAGAGGGGATGCAGTACTGGACGTGTTGGTCATCAACACAAGTGAGCTAATCGATGATGTCAGGATTGGAGACAGCCTGGGCTGCAGTGATCATGCACTGGTGGAGTTCACAGTCCTGAGGGATATGGGCCAGGTGAAGAGTAAAGTCAGGACCCTGAATTTTAGGAAAGTAAGCTTCTATCTGTTCAAGGAGTTAGTCAATAGGACCCCCTGGGAAACTGTCCTCGGGGACAAGGGAGCAGAACAGAGTTGGCTGATCTTTAAGGATGCTTTCCATGGAACACAAGAACTCTCAATCCCCAAGTGTAAGAAATCAGAAAGGGAAGGCAAAAGACCAGCATGGATGAGTCAAGGTCTGCTGGTCAAACTGAAGGGCAAGAAGCAAATGCACAGGCAGTGGAAGCAGGGACAAGTATCCTGGGAGGAGTATAGGGACACTGCCTGATTGTGTAGGGATGGGGTCAGGAAGGCCAAGATGTGGCTGGAGTTGAACTTGATAAGGGATACAATGAATAATAAAAAAGTCTTCTACAAGCATATCAGCCAGAAAAGGAAGGTCCAAGAAAGTATACCCCCACACACTTCAATGAACACAACTGCCAAACTGGTAACAATGGATGAGGAGAAGGCTGAGGTACTCAACTTTTTTCTCTCAGTCTTCACTGGCAACCTCTCTTCCCACACCTCTCAAGTTAATAGACCTCAAGGCAGGGACTGGGGGAGCAAAGTCCCTCCCACTGCAAGAGAAGATCAGGTTTGTGACCACCTGAGGAACCTGAACATATATAAGTCTATGGGATCTGACAAGATGCATCCCAGAGTTCTGAGGGAATTGGCTGATGTAGTTGCCAATGATACTTGAAAAGTCATGGCAGTCAGGTGAAGTCCCTGGTGAAAGGAAAAAGGGAAACATTGCACTCATTTTTAAGAAAGGTAGAAAGGAGGACCCTGGGAACAACCGACCTATCAACCTTATCTCTGTGCCTGGGAAGATCATGAAACAGATCCTCCTAGAAGATGTGCTAAGGCCCATGGAGAACAGGGAGGTGATTCAACACAGCAATTGCGGCTTCACCAAAGGCAAGTTTTGCCTGACAAACCTAGTAGCCTTCTATGATGGAGTGACTACATCAGTGGACAAGGGAAGAGCTACAGATGTCATCTATATGGACTTCTGTAAGGCCTTTGACATGGCCCCCCACAACATCCTTCTCTTTAAATTGGAGAGATACTGACTTGATGGATGGACTGTTCGATGAATGAGGAATTGGTTAGATGATCACATCCAGAGGGTAGTGGTCAATGATGAGTGGTGTCCCTCAGGTGTCCGTACTGAGACCAGTACTGTTGAATATCTTCATCGATGACCTAGACAGTGGGATTGACTGCACCCTCAGCAAGTTTGCAGATGACACCAAGCTGTGTGGAATGGTTAACACATCTGGGGGATGGGATGCCTTCCAAAGTGACCTGGACAAGCTCGAGAAGTGTGCTCATGTGAACCTCATGAGGTTCAACAAGGCCAAGTGCAACATCTGGCACCTGGGTTGGGGCTGGGGAATGAAGGGATTGAGAGCAGCCTTGAGGAGAAGGACTTGGGGGTATTGAAAACTGACTATGACCTGGCAGTGTGCACTCACAGCCCAGAAAGCCAAATGTATCCTGGGCTGCATCAAGAGAATTGTGGCCAGCAGGTCAAGGGAGGGGATTCCTTCCCTCTACTCTGCTCTGGTGAGACCTCATCTAGAGTACTGCATTCAGCTCTGGAGTCCTCAGTATAGGGAGGACATGAACCTGCTTGAGTGGGTCCAGATGAGGGTCACAAAAATGATCAGAGGGATGGAACAACTGTCCTACGAGGACAGGCTGAGAGAGTTGGGGTTGTTCATCCTAGAGAAGAGAGAAGACCTTATTGCGGCCTTTCAGTACTTAAAGGGAGCTTATAAAAAAGATGGGGACAGACTTTTTAGTAGGGACTGTTGCAAAAGGACATGGGTTAATGGTTCTAAACTACAAGGTGGTACATTTAGACGAGATATAAGGAAGAAATTTTTTAAGAGGGTGGTAAGGCACTAGAACAGGTTGCCCAGAGAGGTGGTAAATGCCTCATCCCTGGAAACATTCAAGGTCAGGTTGGAGGGGGCTCTGAGCAACCTGATCTAGATGAAGATGTCCCTGATCACTGCCGGGGAACTAGGTAACCATTCTATCATGCTGTTTGTCAGTTGAGCCATGGTAACTGTGTACCCCATGGTGTCTCCATGGTCTCAGTCTTGGCACACAAAAGCATGATGTGTACAGATTTCAAAGATGAGACTGGTTTGTTTTATTCAACTAATTTGACTATATATCCGAGTTTCTGTTTCTCTAGAGGAAGGGGATAAAGTTTACTGCGGTAACAATGTCTAGCTAGGGAGGGGAAGAGCATGGCACAAGTGTAAACTAAATGCTTATGTACACATACATGTGTGATGAAAGGGTGTCATGCACAGTATTATAGATGTGTCATGTTTTGTTATTTAAATGAATGAATTAAAACAAATGAGCTTAGAACTAGAGCTGGAAATTTCAGGTGGAGGTTGAAGTAAACTGATACTTTTTTCTTTCTTCAGTCACATATACCTCAATAGACATGTTTAGGCTGTTCTGGGATCTGTATACTCTGATTTACTTTCTATGTTTAAAGGCACTATCTCATACTATCTCAGAGGCAAAAAAGAATGGTAGTGATTAAAGAAAGACATTGATAGCTGAAACAATGCATTTTTGCTCCCTGTATTTCTGCCAAATCTCATTTTAACACTATCTCCATTGCCTGAATATATGCTCTAGAGCTGTGGGAGTATACAAGTAGTTTTGTTCTGGTGGTGGTGTGCTTGATTTACTTACTAAGTACTAGTATTTGCATGTATGGAGGTATATACAGACCTGTACAGCCTTCTAAGCAACTGCTGATATCTCCAAGAACTTCGGACTTCTCCTTATTACGGAAGTGTGCAGTATTGCTTCTTAAAGGAGGGCAACTAAGAAGAAAGAATTACACGACATACTTAAAAATACACCATTTTTTTCCATGGGACCTAGAGCCCGAATAAGACATATTTGACTGTTGGAACCAAACACACACAAGTAGCTTGTAAGCATTGCTCAACAGCTTGCTTTGCAGCTTTAAACTGCATTGCGTTTGCAACGAACTCCCACAGAGAAACATCTCTCCTCAGGGGAGAACTGGTTAATGGTGAGTCATCCCACTTCCTGTACGCTCAGGTATACCTGTGCAAATGCAAATCGCTGCCTGGAAACCTGTTACACCAGATCCCGGATCAACTGGCTGCTGAGTTTCCCTTTCTCTTTTTTCCTCCTTCTTTTTTTTTTTTTTCTCCTTTTTTTATTTTTTTTAATCTGGAAACACGGTGGCAGAGTTGTTTCGGAGCTCTGTGAGTGTGAAAGTTAAACATTTCCCATTAGTAAGGGAAGGGAAAAGAAATTAAAAACCGGATAGATAACCATGTTTCTTTCATGTGCTTTGCTTCAGAGCGACAAGCAGCCTCCTGTGCCCAACACCACCCAGGGCTCTCGAGGGAAAGCAGGAGATTCTGAGGAAGCAGTGGATGGCGGCAGGCCTGAGCCAGAAACGATCCTCCAGATGTGCCAGGCCCAGGTTGCCGAGCTGGAACAATGGCTAGACAAAATTAAACTGTCCCTGAGGTCAGACCCCCAGACCCCTCAAATGCAGCAGATGGTGGAACTGCAGCTTGCTGATTACCAGGTAAGACCGAGCGGTCAGTTTGCTGCTGCCATCCAAACAAGTTGCCCTTCCTAGGGGTGCATGTCCGTAGAAAAGCTATGCTTACTGCTTCTCCTCTCCCTGCTTAGTCGGCTTCATTACACTGTGCAGAGAATAGGTAACCGCTTGGCTTCAGTTTCAGGTGCAGCTCTCCAAGGGCTTAGGTAAAATAGCTATTTTTAGAGCTGGGATCTTTATGCATCCAGGGGATTTACGTAGAATTCTTGAGTATTTTTAAAGCTTCGTTTTTCTTTGGATTATTTTCAGAACCATGGCTCAGTATAGTTTGAATCCTTTATTAAAAGGCAGTTTTTCATTGATCTCAATCGTGATAAATCAGCTAGAAAACAAGGAATATTTTTTTCTTTTGACATTTTCATGTTCTATTTTTGTTTGAGTGATTTAAAAGACTGGTATAAGATAAATTCCAAGCTAGTATATTCTTCTTTTGCACCTTTTGCAAAATGCTGCCAGCATACAAGTAGAAAGACAGGGGCTTCTCCCCTGCTCTCTGTGAGCAGTGGTGATATTTGGGCACCTACTGTTGTAGTGCTAGGGCAGCCTCTTGCCCTGATGGCAGCGGAAGGAAAGGAGTGGGTGGTGCCTGTTGGTGAAAACGGGTGGAGAAAAACAGGACTGGCATGAGACGCTGGGGTGGGTGGGAGTCCTGGTGTGCAGCTTTTTTCTCTAGTGTTCAGATTAAAAGAAAACACGCAAGCACGCCACTTTGAAGTTCCCTGCGGTGCCAATCTGGTGTACCAGTTTGCTCCAAGCACTTGAGTCTACCAAAAGCAACAAACTTCACTCACCATAAAAGAGCCAATACCAAAATGTCCCCATTTTAAAATTCTAGGAGACATTTCCAGCTGTTTTGTTGTTGTTGGATTGGATTTTTTAAATTTTTTTCCATGCCAAGAAGTGCCTCTGGGTTCAGGCTGTGATTCAGCCAAGTGCTCAGGTGCTGAACTTTATGGGATTCTGAATGCACTTAAGTAGCTGGCAGTGTCTGGATCCCATTCAGGGTTCATGTCAGCATAGGCTTCAACAGGGCAGTTCCAACCAGTAAAAACAAGTAGGCTTCAGGTAGCTGTAAGCACTGCTGAATTCTTGTCAGCTCAATGTTAAGACGTGAACTTGGGGAGAGGGGGGAGATTTATCTAACCTAGTCAAGGTCAACACAGAAAAATATACATAACATGAAGCAGAAACAGTCTCTAGATATGTATGTATGATGTAAAGCAGTTGATTTATTGCACTTGATTGCTTTGCGGTTGAGCCATGGTACGTGTCTTCATACTCACCTTCAAAACATGAGTTTAAAGTAATGCAGAGATGCACTTTGATTCACAGCAGCTTGAATCAAAAACTGGAACCCAACAGTTTACAGTGGCCTGGCTGACACACGGCAATATTACCATGTTTTGGTAATTCAGCATCATTCCTCCCAAAGGATGATGTGATCAGTCTGTGCACTGCCTCCTTCTCCCCCATTGGGGTGTGTTGTCTTCCTGGTTGCATCCAAATGGAGTCTATAATTTCTGCTTTCCTCTTTTATTACTCCATATCTGAGTTAATATAACTTCCTGCAGAGGCTGTTGTTTGAAACAGTTTTAAGACTAACTCTGTATAAAGTGTATTTAGTTGTTCTGAATAAAAAGATACTATACTGGAGAAAATCTAGGGGGTTTGCAGCTATTTCTCTTTTTGCCTGTATGTTCCTATTCTTTTCAGGCAGGGGAGGTGTGAGCATTGACTTCAGAAAGTTACCAGGAAAGGAGAGTTGTACTTCTAAGAATGAATAATTGACTCTTGTCCCTCCTAGGTGATGTTATCAGAGATTGAACAAAAGGTCCTTTCTTTACTGGAAGATTGTGGAGATAGTACAGACTACCAACAAGAGACAGAGGCTCTTTCCTTGAAGCTGAAGGAAGTGAAATGCAATTTGGAAACAGTCCAGATGATGCTTCAAGATAATAAATACGATGAAGAGCAGGTAAAGCATATGAATGCTATGCAGAGCAAGAGAGAGTCATGGTGCTTTAACATGCTGTAGTTGCAGAAGAACAGTTAGAGGTGACCACCATTTGAAGCAAAGAAAGGAGAAAAGTCAATCAGAAACATCAGACTTGCTATTATTCTACTTTACACTGCTGTATAATTATTTGTAGTTTGCAGCCAGTAGTGGATTTTCAATGTCTCTGAACACCACCTTTTCTGCTTTAAGTGCTCAGTGACAGAGCTCAAGATTTTTCAAGGACTACCAGAAAAGGATAAAAAATTTTTTTGTTTTCATTTGTTTTTTTAAATGCCTTTAAAATGTCATGATTTTTGTCTGTGACAGTATCACAGCAGAGAGGCCTTTAAGCGGTAACTTTCTCTTTGAAGAATGCATAAATGGCAAGTGCAGTGACTCTGCCAGCTCTCCTTTGCTGAGTTTCCCAATGAGTGAGACAGTAACACCCAGCTTCAGAGCTGATTCCCACTCTGTTGTGCAAGGGGCCAGAGAAGCCTGCCTGATGTGTTTGTGTAAGAGCAGCCACAGTCTCCCTGGTGCTGGAGGAGCACAGACTAAAAGGGTCTGCAAGGCCTGGGAGAGAATTAGCGCTGCTAAAGGCTTCTGTTGAAGTATCTCTGTGAGCACAGACAAATAGAAAATCCAGGTGCACGAGCAAATTTGTAAGCATAAATTGCACATCCCTACAGTTTGGTCAACCAATAAGAATGGAGGATTAGTATCAATTAATCTGCTAACGGGAAAAGCAAAACAAGCCTTGTAACTGTCAGGGAGAGAAATGTGAGGACTTTATCAGCAGATTCAGTAAATTTAACTGAACATAAACCTTTGCAAGTGTAGCAACTGTGTTTCTTGCACTGCAGTTTATATCTATGGTAAGTCTGAGACAGCTCCTCTTTTGCTGTTCCCCAAACTGCACCTGTGGGTTCTGCCCTTTTGTCAAGTCCGGAAGCATTCCCACAACGGGTTTCTCTTTACAGATTCACAACAGGGAAAGGATCGACCCAGAGCCCCTTGAGATTCTGCACTCAAATGGTTCCAGCACACCCCAGCGTGCCCTGGCTGAACGGCCGCTCATTTGGCACAATGGTTTCCAGCACCCACAGGTAATTCTCCTGCCATCCAGGAGCCACGCCTGCTCCACATCCCCTGTGGGTGTGGGGACGGCTGTATCTATTACCTGCTGCAATTGCCACTGTGGGATCAAGTCTGACAAGGGCAGGTTTCAGGCACCCCACCCCTACAAATCCCACGTCCAAAAGTCTAGTAATAGTATGAAGCTGGATAGTACCCTGACACTTGCCTTGTATCACAATGATTCAGATGGCATCACCCATCCCTTTGATCTCTTATCCTTGAAGCACTGATGTATTATGAAATTTGAATCTATATATTGACATTGTTTTGAAGGTGAATTTGAAGCTAAAGTTTTGTGAATGTTTTCCCATGAGCTAACTCACAATGACTTTAAGGTTGTTAACACAACAAAAAAACCCCTGTGATGTTCTGTCCTCTGTAAACTATTTCTTATTTGCTAACTCAAAATTAGCTTTCGCCCTTTTCATGCTATTAGAAAAAATGCAGAGAAAATGAATGATCCATCCTGAGCTTCTAAAATTGCTCACTTTTCACTCCACACTCTCTTTTTAACTAATGGAACTCAACCTCACATTTGAGCAAATTCCCATTTTCCCTTGACTTTTTCTCTGTATAAGGATGTCTGTCAATGGCCTTTAAATTTTCATATGTGCATAATTTGTTTCTGACTGATGGTTTTTGCTTTTAAAACTTCAGCTCAGGCAGAAATATATTCCATAAAAATATACATTTTCAGAAAATGGTTTGATAAACTCATGTTTACTGCATTTTATTCTGATAGATGTATTCTTATTTTCTTTGATAAATGAATTCATGTAAAATGTGATTGGAAAAGCACAATCATCGTTTCAGATTAATACAGTGTTCACACTGTGTACTGTTCACACTATTCTCTGTGCACAGGATCCAAAAGTAAAAGCAGCTGAGCAGAAAAGCCTTATTGACTTCATTGAGTCGTGCGTAGAAAAAATGCAGCCACAGTTTGAGGACAACGTGACTCAGAAATTAGAATCAAGGTACAAAATAACAAAATCAGTTACCAGATTCAGTGATGTAAAACTGTCTAAACCTGATGAGACTTTGCAGTGGCTTTGCAGTTTGGTGCGGGGATGTGTGCCTTTAGAAGAACAATTGCAAAAGTGGGGAGATTTCTGCCATCAACAGTCTAAAGAAATGGGGTGTCATTTATGTGACAGCCTGCTTGATACCGGGCTGACTTCAGTGTTTAGAGTCAGTCTTGATATCTGGCAGGACTGACACCTGCCATAAACTAAAGCAGGCCCATCTGGAGGCAAGTTGGGTCTCTCTGTTCACAGTCTTTGCTCTACAAATGCACTGAGATACCCAGCCAGGTTTAAAGGCAGCATCTTTGAAAAGGGGGCATTGGGATTGTGCACCTTTCAGCGTGGAACCAAGACTTGCTACAGGACTATGTTCCCCATACTGTTGTTTCAGAGATGGAGGCTGCCAGCAGGCCCATAGCACATTTAATGGGAAGGGAATAGCCCAAAAAAATGTATCAGAGCTTGGATTAAAGATCATCCATGCACTTGCTTTCACGCTGGTTTTGGGACAGAAACTAATCTTCTACAAGAAGTTTTACAAATCTAATTTTGCTTATTCTGCTTCAGTATTTGCCATTCTAACAATGTTTTCTCGATACAGCAATGGAGAATCTGATCCAAAGAGCAAGCAGGCTGATCCCACCTTATCCCCAAAGGACCAAATGGGTAATAAATGGCAATATTTACAACAAGAGCTGTCATCAAAGATGAAATCTCCTCTTTGCCAGCTTGTGGAACCTCAGGTCTGTTTAAATTCAGTAAAACGCTCTTTCTGCAGGCAGTTGGTTGTGGTGAAGATAGCAATCAGTGTATCTTCTTGCATCATCATATCATGTCTCTTCATCAGATAACCAAAATCTGTGCAAGCCTTCCCAGAGGAAATAGTTTCTGCATATTCTTTTCATGACTGTCTTTTATTTTTACTTTAAGGTAAATAATGTCTCTGAAGTAGTGACTACTAAGCATAGTGTGGGAGGACATAGGCGAATCCTTGTAGTTTACATTCAGACCAGATGTTATCTGCTTAATTCTTTCAAAAGAACTAAATGAGTTAGCCAGCAAGCTCCCAGATGATTTTCCTGGATGTGGATTAAGTTTTATTTCTTGCAAGTGAGAACATTTTGGACAAAGCTAATCTCTGGCTTAAATTTTGTTCTGCCATTGTGTTCTCTCTTTCTCATGTATCAAAAGAAGGGTTTAGACTGAAACAAGAGCACGCTATGTATTTATTCTGAACAGACTGCAGAATTTTGCGGCTTGGACAGAACTGATTTCTGTTATTAACAGTTTTGTTCACATTAAATTAGAATGCCTAGATTCCCTGTTCTCTGAAATTACTGTGTTACATGGAAGAATATCAGTCATGTAAAAGGATGGATGTCAGCTCTTTTTCAGGCAACACTTACACTGCAGTGGGCAGCAGGGCTGCCTTAACACAAACTACAACTTCAAGCCTTAAAGATGGGAATCAGAGGCTGCTTTCTCAGTCAATCTCCCATCAGGGCACAGCCTACCGAACTAATTTTTGCCAGTAAAAAGGGAACCCTGCTATCCAGGTGCTTTATATTAACGTCTTGAAACTTTCATTTCAGTGCTTTTTGAGAGGAGAATTATCTAGTTGCGCACAGCCCTGTCTTCATTTGATCTGTTCATCTAATTACAGTGTTCTTCTTCCAAATGTTAGATTACAACAAAGATGAACATGCTGCCCCGAGGTACATTCGCTAGTTCAGGAACCCCAACTGTGGAAGAACTGAAAACTTACACTGTCCAGCTGGGAGACCTAAGCCAAGAAGCAAATGTGGTGCATGCACAGGTAAAAAGGGCATGTCCTAGTATTGCAAAAAATACCAGGGATTCCAGATACAAGGCACTGTTTGGACACTGGGAAATATAGCCAATAATCATATTATTCCAGATGGCATCCACTGCAGTGTAGCTTTTACATCAGCTATGGACTATAATGTAGAAATCAGTTTAGGATTTTGAGAGGAAAGATTTCAAGTTTCAGCTATGATACTTCTGCTACCTGAATCCAAAGATTTGCTATTGTGGGTAAAACTCCTCAAACTGTATAAAGCAAGGAGCCTGCGAATGATTTCAGGAAATGTGCAGTATTGGAACTGACAAGACAAACTGTGTTGCACCCATTCCTGAGATTAGAGACCTGTAAGACCGCAGCCACTCCTAAGATATAAAGGGTCATTGTCTCAGCTTTGGCCTTGACAGCTCTGAATATTACGTGCATATAACTGTCTCATATAAGTCTGTTCCTCAGTATTTCATTAATTCCATTTTATTATTAGCTGACTAAACCTCTGACCTTATACAAGCGAATAAATCTTAGCCATGCTTTGGGTGAAAGTACTGAAAACTTCTGACTTGCCTTTACCCAGGATAATGTGGCAGAGGAAGTCTCTTCCAATTTGGACAGAAAATTGTTTGAGCTGCTTCTGGCAATCAGCCGATGTTTGAATAACATGGAGGAGATGTTAAACACCTCAGTGCTCTCCACTGAAGAGGCGGCTGTGCAGCAGGCTCTTTATGAGGTAACTGTCCTAAAGCATCCAGAAAAGGAGAAACCCCAGTGGATTTCTGTTACAACATAATATATATGGCCTAATATTTCCTCTCTGTTTTGCTGGTATTATTCAGAAATAACACCACCAAACTATTTGGGTTTGCACAGATTTGGGCCTATGGCTTTTAACAACAATTATCAACTTGAATCCTGCAGCCTTTTCCAAGCAAGAGTCCTTGGACAAAGACCATTTTCACTCATGTTATCTTTCTTTCAACCCTTTAGACTCTTTCTGTAGAGCTGCAAAAACTTCACGCTGATCTGAGTGATAAAAAGGATGATCTTCTAAAGTCTATTAGCTGCGCTGGTGGAAGCACAGATGTGTTCTGCAAGTGCTTTAACAACTTGCAGGCACGGCTGGAACAAACTCAAGCTGCCACTGCTTCAAGGAGCAGCTCAATGAAAGCTGGTCTGGATCATAATAGCAATTATCAGGTACTCCACTGCCAAATGCACATCTTGTTTCACAGCACCTGTTAGACTTGTCAGTGTTAATGCATTTGGGTTACAGATGAGCAATCTATAATGGGCTTTCTGTTTTTTTGGTACTAAACAAACTTGTCTTGGCCTCTCAAGAAGCAAATTAATTTTGCTGTTTACAAGTGCTGTTTGCAATGCTGATTACCTTAGAGGCCTTGATCATAGTAGAAAATTTGCATGCAGAAAGCATGGAAGTAATCTGGGATCCCATGCACACTGAGCTATGGGCTAAACCAAGTTTCTGGGTGTAGTGATTAGGCCAAGGAGGGTTTCATGTATTCTTTCTGCTGCTGTGTGGACTCAGGAGAGGTAGGCTTCTTTCCTTTTGGTGCTCTGTCTGGCACTGGGCTACTTTTAGCTATGTATGGGAGGTTGATTTAACCTTTTGTATTTACTGTTCCTTTAGATTTTGCGCCACAGTAGCAGAAGACATAGTTTTGCAAATTTGCATTATTTTGTTCTTTTTCAGAAAAGCAGATAGTGACAAGCTTTTCTATAGATTCTCAGGATGGGCTAAGCCTACTAGCTATTGCTGGAAAATAATCAGATCAGGTATTTAGACAAGTAAGGAAAAAAAAAAAAGCCTGGTCTTTGAAATACAGTTTCCAATGTCCAGCAAAAATCCAGTGTGCTAATCATCTGCAAGTCAGCTGAGCTCTTCACTGCTGAATAATAAAACAGTTCGTTGGAAGAACACTGGGATGTTGTCTCCAAACAGTAGCAGGACTGGTCTTGCAATGTTTACTTATGCAGAATCCATGAAGCTCTATCAGTCGCCAGTAATGGGCTCATTTTCTCATTTTCAGAAGAGAAGAATTTGTTTCTCTATAAGTTTCAGGGATTTGTACGGTCATAGAGGATCATTGTGACAGAGTAATCTGCTTTATTACACTGTGCAGACTACAGAATTTTTCTCTCTAAATTACTGCTTTAAGCCCACATGCTTTATTTTGTGTTTTTTTTAAAGAGGGAAAAAAGTGCTCTTGCCATAAGAGGTAACCATTTTGTTTGCTGTATAATTTTGTCTGGTCATTACTATATTCCTGATATATGATATACTTTTGATGTTTGTTTCTTTTGCAGAATGAAACCAGGCTGCTCTATGATCAGTTAACTGAGAAAAAAGCTACTCTGCAACAATACTTGAATGCAATACGTGGACATAATGTCTCTGAACAGTTTCAGGTAATTTAATTTGAAGGAAAGAAGAGGAAGCACTCTCATCATTAGCTATTATTTCCAGTTTTCTGCAATCTATTAAGTTTCGTCTTTTCTAAAGTTTCAGTTTGAGAATGGGGGAAAGAGAGAGGTATTCACCACCCCCTTCTTTTTTTTTTACCACACCCCAGTCCGTAGTGAGATCTAATTCCAGTACTTTTAGTAGTTGGAGTGGAGGAACCAGTCTCTCCACAATGGCAGAGAAGAGAAAGAGCTACACAGAGTACAGCATTTCACACATTATGCCTTTTTATATGCAAAACTAGCTTTTTGTTGTGGGAATAAGACTCCAGTATTTATATCTACTCATTCAGCATTTATGAGCACTTTGTCATATGGCATTTGACCAGTTAAGCTATTTTCTTCAACCTTCATGGGTATTAACAGAGAATTAAAAATTAACAAACTGCATATCCTCCCCAGAATGGTCATGGGCCATCTATCTACTTGTTGGTGAAGCAAAGAGGGTGTCCTGAAACTTTAGTTACAAGCTCATAACCTTGTTTACAGGCATAATTTTCTGCCAGGCTGAAAGCTATGTTCAGAACTGCTGAATCCCCTAGCAGGGACTGCTGCCTTAGATATATTGTCAAGTAACCACCCTTGGAAGAGGAATGACAGAAGTACATAACTTCCCTTCCTTCAATCCATCCAACCTGTCTCAATCCATCCCTGACTGAGTCTTTCCACTTCATAAGAAAAAATGGTATTTTCTGAGTCCATGATTCCTTTTAATGGCTGCTCTTGAATTAGTAAACTGAAATGGATGTTGAATGTTGAACTGAGCCACAAGACCTGAGTTACCTTCCTGGCTGTGCCATGTAAACAGCCTTGTCTATTTAGCTTATAAGCTCGTTGGATCTTGGGGTCTCGTGATTTTATGCAGTACTAGCACAGCAGAGATCCAGCCCCTGGGTCTGATGTACTACTAGTGATAATAGAAAGTTTACGGGAACAGAATTCTTCCTAATAGATTACTTTGTCCTTAATTCAGAAAACTGATGCCTGTGCTTTGGAGCTTCAAAACTTTGAAAACCGAGTAGCAAAACTGAGAGGCCATGGGGAAAGATTTCAGTTACCTATCACCTTAATCCAGGAAGTTTATAAATTAGAGGTAAGAGCACAGTACAGTTTCCACTTACTCAGCAGGGCTTGGTTCTTCTAAACTAGGTATTTTTAGCATCAAAAGGCTGATGGTTATTTTGCATCCAGGGAATGTGGGGGAACATTTGTAGGATTCATTTTTGTCCTTTGTGAATCACTGAATTGTGTTTACATTGTAGGATGTTTTGGATGACATGTGGGGGATTCTGAAAGCAAAGTATGTGGAGCTGAACTCTCCTTCCATTAGTGAGAGTCAGTATGAGAACTTACTTCATGGATTTGCAGAGCTGGTAGCTATTGGACAAGAGAAGATTGCACAAGACCCAAAGCAGCTAACAAAAAGCAGAGCATCTCTACAGTCTCACCTGGAAAATCACAAGGTATAAAATGCTTATCACAGCACTGCTCAGATCACCACAGCGGGAGCACTGTTTTCTGTGACTGGTTTCTCCCCAGTGTTATGGAGAAGAATAACTAGCTCATAGCATATGGGAGGGACTGGAGTACATGCAGAAAACAAAGCAAAGTTTTTCAGTAGGCCAAACTAGGACCCATCCAAATATGGAAGTGAGGTTGTTACTGTAACTGTAGTTTTGATGATAAATTAAGATTGGGATTTCAGTTTTGTCAGTCTAATACTACGTTGGCTTACCTCAGAACATATTGATATGTGAGGAAAACATGTCCTTCTAATAATCAGTAGTGAGGTTCCTGAAGTTGCTGTCGAGCCACTGAGAGTTGAGCCTTTCTCCTTTCAACATTCTGTGCCTTCATGATCTGATGGAGAAAACTTACCCACAGCAGCTTTTTCCAAAGGGAGGATAGTTTAGATCCAGCTGCTACCTGCTCGGCGAGAGACGACTGAGAATGTACCTGCATCCTTACCGTCCTGCTGCTTGGCAAGAAACCCCAATCAATGCTAGTCACTCAAAGATGTGTCTGTCATGTCAATGCCTTAATTCAACTGTTCCACATAGTTCAAACTCCCTTAAGAATTGGTTCAGGTTGCTAAGCATTGCAAGCTACTACTCCAGAGTCATAGGAATTGTGTTTGTCACTTGCGAATTGCCCTTAGCAAAGCAAAATGTTAGGTATTTATTTACAAAGGAAAATAAAAAATGTATCTGCAGTCCAAATATACATACATTCCTGGAGAGGTGATCGTTGCCCTGAGCCTGTCAGTGTTTAAGAGGCATTTGGACAATGCCCTTAGTAACATGCTTTAACTTTTGGTCAGCCCTGAATTGGTCAGACAGTTGGACTAGATGATCATTGTAGGTCCCTTTCAACTCAAAATATTATATTCTATTCTTCACTGGTTCTTGACTAACTAAAATGATCAGTAACTGCCCATCTTGGGGTGATGCAGAATTTGGGTAGAAGACTCCTGACTCCAGCTATGAAAGCCTCTGAAACTGGCTGCTCTTCTCAGTGAGCCTTCTCTCTCTTCTTCATACTACTGCTGTGGGTGTGTGATCTCTCTTAAAGAGCAAGCTTTAACTTGTTTTTTTCAGGACTTTTTCCACAACCTCATGACCCACATGTCTTTCATGCAAGCGTTTTCCAAGAAAGTAGCTCCCTCCATCCTACAAAAGAGAGAGGAATTCTGGAGAGAACTGGTGAATGAAGTCAAGCTGCTGGAGCAGAAGGCCTGCCAGTATGGTATACACTTAGAGAGCCTGTTAAAGGTAATGACTCAAAAGAAACCCAGAGTAAAAGCTAGAGGGAAGGAGTTGTGTCTAGGGGAACCCTTTCTGCACCAGTGGTGCTTTGGCTGGTTATTGTCCTTTCCTGTACCCATTGGACAGCAACAGTCTATTGCTTGTTCTGTGTGTGTCAATAAACTGGCTTTTTTTCTTGAAAGCCTCTGAAAGTAGGCATGTTACTGTGACATCAGTGGGAATTTGTGACTTCTTGAGTAAGTTTTGAGTGCCTGGGCTGACAAGAGAGCCATTTAAGGCAGAAAAACACCAGCACCACCTTAAAATAGACCCTAAAAATGTCTCTTAAAACACCCTAGAGAACAGAAAATTAAGTATACCACTTTAAAATAAGAAACCTTAAAGATATTGGAGAATTAACTAACTCGTCTGTCGTGAAATCATGTCTCACTTTAATATTCCCACATTATTCACCTATTTCCATGTTCTGTTTCATTAAGAAGAGCTGCTGATGCTAAAATAAGCATTAAGGCTTCACTCTGGTGTAGCAAAAATGCAGATAGATGTGTGCTATGTTAATGATGCAATGTATTTTTTAGGAATGGATGGAATTTGATGATGAATGCCTAGTTTTCAGTAAGGAGTTAGAGGCACTTGCTTCTACATTGCCTTCTGTGAATTTGGTTGAAGAAACAGAAGAAAGATTAATGGAAAGGATTGTGCTTCTACAGGTATTTAAGTGTCTGTCTCTCTGACTGTTTTTCTTTGTGGATCTGTAGAGCTTTGTGTCCTTGTCTGTGTGGATGCCAGCTGAAAACTTACTTTTAAGAGTAGCAGGAGATTGGGCTGCTAATTTCAGCCAGGGGCTATAAGTTCATTTAAGTGGGAGTAATGACTATAGCTACTTTAGGACTTGGTCTTCAAATGCAAATATTTGGGAGAAGATAGTGTGCGGTCTATATGGATCCCATAGACAGCAGGGAGCCTTGGAGTGAACACAGAGCTACTTCTCTGTAATTCAGGAGCAATTTTCATGCCATGATGTAAAACCTATGGAAGAGGAGAATCAACACAGTGCCTTCAAATATCTAAGCCCCTGGTTGCAACAGGTTTACCAGATCCTTTTAAAATCCTGATAATTCAAATAAGATGTCCTGATTTCTATCATAACAAAGAGAATAAAATTCCTTTTGTATAGGATGGCAAACAGGCTCCTGATTTGTTCCCAGCTGCATCTCTGATGGCAGAGCCACACCTTTATTTAGAACCTCAAGTCCAGTTGGAAACATTTTATCTGCGGTTTAAACACTAAGGATATAAGGATATGAAAGCAGCCTTTATGGTTGTTTTATAAAATTAAAAAGAAATAGTGTTCAATAAACTTAGTGATGTATCTTCAGAGAGTGGTCTGCATTCCTCAAAGGTTTGACCTTTCTTGGTCTTCAGAGGACCCGCTCTGTTAGAAATTTTTGAATTAATGAGTCTTTGGGTCAATATTGAGTCCAGTTTGATATTTAGATTCATAGACTATCAAGGCAAAAAGGACTACTGTCATTTCAGCTAGTTGACTGCATGAAAGAGATCATTGGACATTCCCAGAAAATTCTGAGCTACAGTAAAGATTTTGAAATAAATCAACAGTCGATATCTATAATCACAGTGGCCCTCTCGTGCTTTTCATGCGTGTTGCACTGGGACAGGAGACATGCAATATTTGCATAACCATTGATTGTGAAGTTGTCTGGTTCTCTTTGGGTTTTTAAGTTCTTAACTAGCTTTTCACTCTTAAGTCTTAGTATCTGTCTTTAAAGACATCAGAACAAAGTGGTAAGGCTTTAGAAGACGCTTTTGAGGGGAATCCTAGCACTGGCACTTTACAAGTTCAAGGCCAAAGCAGAACAAAATTCCCTGGGGCTGAATTCCTGTGAGAGAAATATCACTACTATTAATATTGTGCAAGCCCCTTATGCCTGGAGAGAAGTGAGATACTTGCACATCACACAATTGCTGTTTTCCGCCTTCTCCCTAGGACTGATCTTCCTGGGTTTTTTTTCTTTTCATCCCCTTTTCTCATTTTGATCTTCCAGTGAAGTGTAGCAATGGTAAAATGGTGCTTTGTTCTTATTCAGCTGTATAAGCAAACCAGACCACTCCTATGTCTTTTACTTAATGTCTTCACTGTTCACTTTTCATTCCTCCCTGTCACCATTATTCAGTAATATCCCAACAACTTCCTTCAAAACAGTGGTAACATTTTTTTAAATAGGATAGAGCCAGAAGGCCCTCTTAAGAACACAAGTGCAATAACCTTCTGTTGGGGACAGTCATATGTTTGGACAGTGCAGCCAGATCTGATAGAGGGTGTTTGTCCATTGCTTGTGGTTTACATAGGTCAAAAAAGCCCATCGAATCATAATACAGCCATTCAGATAATGTATGAAATTATACTGAACTCTATCTTGATCTACCCAGAGGAAACAAAAAAAAAAAAAAACCAAACACCTATGTCTGTTTTGCCTGTAATAAAGTATAGATTCCTTCAGTTTGGAAAATAAAAAAGGTTACAGAGGAAATGTGAGATTAGGAAGTTAGAGCAAATGATACGTGTTTTGCTAGCTGTGTTTTCAGTTTTTAAAATATTACTGTTTTGCAAACTTCCCACATTCTGATAGCAAATCAAAAATAGTGTTGACGAAAAGCATGCCAGGCTGTACCAGATGGTGAAAGAAGGGAAGAAATTGCTGATTGCTGTGAGCTGTCCAGAAATAAGGAGCCAGATTGGGAAGCTGGAAGAGCAGTGGTTGTCTTTAACCAAAATAGTTGGCCATGAACTACACCGACTTCAGACGTTACTCAAACTCTTGGTCAGGTGGGTATAACTCAGAAAGCAATTAGAGATACCAGCTAGACATTAGTTTCTGATCTTCTATAGATATGTTTTCTGAAATATGGGAATCAATTAGTAAATAACATAGCTCTTTTTACTTAAAAATGAGAAAAAGAAGAAAAGCAGTGATGATCGGAAAAGTGTCCCTTTATTACACAGCTGATCTCACTGGGTAGACAAGTGCCTCACTTCCTTGCTTTTGCAGGAACAGTGTTTTGATTGCTGCCATTGCAAAATCAGTGCACCTTGGTGAGAGTTAGCTGCATCATGCTGCAGTTTTTACATTTAAGTGTTAACAGAAGCTCTGATCATGCTGCTCTAAGCATTCTGGCCCGCTGCAAATGTGAGCTGGCCTCGGTTCCCATGCAAAGGCGTAATGCGCCTGTCTGTGCACGCACACTATCCACCTTACAAACAGTCAAGACCTGGCTGACATGCTGCCTCTATTTGTGTTTTGAAGCTCTCCAAAGGCAGAAGACCCAAGTATGCTCAGTGCCCCAAGCCAACTGCCAGTGCAGTCCTGGCACCCGGGCAGGGGCAGTTTGGGGCTCTAGAGCCCAGTCCACCAGCTGATGTACCAAGCTCAGCTCCCCCTGCCCTTGGTCTGCGTGCTCAGAGCTCAGGCTGGCAGGACCCGTAGGGTGGGCAGGGCATGCTGGTGTGTGTTGGTGTGTGCCTCTGCTGTGTATTCTGCACTATATCTTGCAGTGTGCACAAACTCTTCTGGTGGTTTTAACCTCCAGCAAAGCTCTTTTCACTCACGTGAGCTTGTCCTGGCAACTGCTGGGTGAGTACAGAAAGAGGATGTTTTCAGTGAGAGCGGGCCAGCTGAAGAGAGCTGCTAGGAACAGTCTCCGGCAGAACTGCTCTGGTGCACATCAATCCATGCTGTGGCCATCCTTCTGCAGGGTTATGTAGCAGCATAGGTGCCAGAATAGCACATGCCTCCTCACAGAGAGGACGACTTGGAGGGTGAGAATTGTATCCCAGACTCAGCTAGGAGATGTATGTTTGTGTATTTTGTTTCTTCCTTTTAGCTACAACAGAGACTCAGAGGAATTAATGAAATGGCTGGATTCTGCTCAGCAGAGAATGAAGTTTTGGAAGGAGCAGTCTCTCAATGTGTCACAAGATCTTCCCACCATCAGAGATAACATCAACAACTTGTTTGTAAGTAATTTCTCCTGCCATGTTTACATAAGACATTGTGACTTCCAGTGAAAATTACTCTTTTGAGTGTTTTTTGTATTTGCTATGACCTAGAAGCTGCCCACATAATATGGCACTGAATGGCTGTGTGCCCCAAAGCCACCCCATTATCTGTGTGCAGAACCACGAGGGTGGGAGGCCACCAAAGACCTTCCTTTAGATTGTGAGGCCAGCCAGAGTGTGTAAACCAGATTGGAGTCCTCTCGTAATGAGCTCCCAACTGCAACAGATCACAGCCCAGCCAGGATCTCCTATGCACCCACAGTGTAATAGCATGGTTTCTGTCTTGCTCCTGATGCCGAGTACCTGATACAGCAGTTCAGCCAAGCTGATGGGACACCTACCACCTGAATCCGGAGTGTGGGCTCAGCGAGCAGGGGTGAAGACAACGCTGCTGTGAAGATGGTCAGCCAAAGGCAGGGAAGAGAAACATGCTGAATTGCATGTAATGTCTTCTGCTCCCCCGGTGCTGTGCTCCCCTTGCATGACTAGACAGGAGGTTCAGCCCCAATGTGAGGCCTGACAGAGGGAGTCCTGCCCAGCGGGAAAGCAAAACATCATGAAGGATGGACTGGTGGGAGTGAGCTGGACAGAGTCGAGCACTGGGGTTGCTCCCTGCACCTCTGTGTGAAGTGGGGATCAGGATATTCCCAAGGCCTGTGGAGCAAAAGGTGGCATTGAGCATTGTATCAAGCTAGGCAGAAAAAGGCCTTACCTGCTCCCAGAACATGTTGAGTTTAGGTTTTCTGAACTTTACAAACTTGCTAAAATCTGTTTATTGAAACAGTTCCTCCTGTGATTGAAAACCTGGTTTGTCTTTGTTTAAATAGATGCATAAATATTTACCCTCTCTTGAATTTCTCCCATGCACCCCAGACATTCTCTAAGGAAGTTGATGAAAAATCTTCCCTGAAGTCATCTGTGGTGAGCACTGCCAACCAGCTCTTTCACGTGAAGCAAGCTGATACTGCAGCACTTAGGTCATCTTTGGCAAAATTTGAGCAAAAATGGGGAGAACTGATAACACAGCTCCCAGCCATCCAAGAAAAGCTTCACCAGGTGAGGAGAAACTCTGCTTCCATCTTTCAGTTTGAGCTAAATAATTATTTTAAAATATTGCTGCTGGGATTCAGTTGTCTGCTCCGTAATGCCCTTAAAGCACCTCTTTCCTAATTAGCTGTCTGTTTTGGTTTCAGAATATCCCCAATATTGTACTGCAGTGTAATTATTGCAGTGTTTCTCCTAGGCTGTTTTGGGCATATTTTCCATATTTGCAGTTTTATATTAAAGTCTGTTATAATTAGAAAGAACTTTATTTAAAATTTCTGAATTCTTGAATTTTTCTTAATTTAAGTCATATGCCCTTTTGGAGCACAGGGTTCACTTTCAAGTTCATACCCTGATAATTGCAATTATAGTGCCTGAGCCTTTCTAAAAATACAGATGTCATCTTCCTTGATATTTCTAACAAGCAGAGTGTAGAGGATTCATTATATCCTTTACCCCCAGCTTCAGATGGAAAAACTTTCATCGCGGGAAGCTATTGCTGAGCTAATGACTTGGCTGGACCATGTGGAACAACAGCAGGGACACGAGGAGCCAATAAATTCACAAAGCAGTGCTGCCCAAGTCAGAAACCGCCTTCAGAAGTACAAGGTAAACAGCAAGCTCTAAGTCCAGGCCATCTTCAAGGTGTTTGGCTGTAAAAAGGATGGAAACAGCCTACAGGCACTGTCCTTTCCCTTGCTCTCAGGAGGGTTTATCAAACAGTCTCAAAGGTGCCTTAACATCTTCCTTTATAAAAACCTTTTGTTTCCATTCCACACAGAACACTGTCTGCCCTGCAATACAGCTACTGCCTGCTGTGCTATAATCTCCTTTTCCTCATGCTGTCCCATGTGTCTTGCTTCTCCTCTCTATCTCATTTATATTATAAAATGTTTTGAGCAGGAAAGCTTTGCTTCCTTAGGAAGACAGACTCTGTGTTTGTGCTGTGTTTTAGTCTGTCTTTTTAACAAGGAATACCTTGTAATGGAGCTCCATAACCAGGATCCATTTAACTAGAGAATGGGGTCTTTTGAATATTATGTTTCATCAAAAGAGATAACCTGTTGGGAAGGAGGGGCAAGATGAACATGCCTGCAGAGAAAGAGGCTGCAGCAGACTCTTGACTCTGTTCAGATGCTAAAGCACCAATGGCAGAGGCTGATTGCCCCAGCCACAGGAAGGATTCAAGCCATGCTTGTACCTCCACAGATGCCAGGGAGCCCAACTTCAGGGCACGAATCCTCGCAGAGCCATATTTTGCTCTGTTCTTGCAGAGCTACCGAGCAGTGCTCTGGGCTCAGACAGAACGACAGTTCTCAGTATACAGCAGCAGTTCTTGGGCACTTTGGTACTGTGTGTAAGACAAGTGCCAACATAAGCATTTCTTATGAAGTGCTTTAGTATAGCAGATATATAACATTTTGGTCTATATTAGATGGATTTGGAAGTTGGAACATGTAGGTGAGTTGCCGGTTTTGACCGTTTGGATATTTAGAGGTCAGTTTGTATGTGCACCTTCCACACTTCTCAGTAATGTGGGGATGTGTATGCTGAGAAGAAAGCTGGGATGAAAGTCATGAATTCCTACAGGGAAGCAACTATGGCTTCAGTACCTCTACTGTGGTATTCCCTGGCGGCTTTTTTCTGGGTACTACCAGATACAGTCAGGAGCCCTTTCTTCCCCTCTTCTAAGACCTTCTGAAATAAAAAGGCATTCCCTTATGTTGTTCTCCCTTTGTGTGTAGTTTCTCATTCATCTCTGTGGGCAAGAACACTGGTGCTGGAGGACACTTTTTCCTCCCAGATATTCAGATATTCTATTCTGATATCAGCTATTTTGATAAAGTAGCACAAGCTCTTGTCTGCACTTGTCTGTGAGTCACAGGAGTGTGAGAAGGCCTCAGTCTTAGCCTACTCTGGGCCCGTGGCAGTATGATGGTATTGTTCAGTGCATAAAGTACTGGGTCTGATACCTCTAGGTTTTATTCCCTGCTCTAGCACTACCCTGTTCTTACCTTGAGCTACCCACGTAATGATAGTGATTTTTTGCAAAAGTTTCAGTGGATGGAAATAGCTACACAAATATAGAATCGTAGAAATTGATAATTATTTCTAATGGTAAAAATTGATAATTATTCCTACAGCCAAGTCTCTTTCAGAAAAATATTTTAGGCCATGGTTCAGAATAAGCTGTGAATGTCCTGTAGCTATGCCTTGAAGCATCATTGGAACTGATCGGATTAAAACTACCTAACTGTGTTTTATGTTTTTGTTCTTTCTTTCTTTTTTCCTCTCCAGGAGTATATGATGGAAATTAACTTTAAACAGTGGATAGTAGATTTTGTTAACCAGTCACTCTTGCAGATGAGCACTTGTGATGTGGAAAGCAAGCGGTATGAAAGGACAGAATTTGCCGAATGTCTTGGAGAGATGAACCTGCGTTGGCACATGCTGCAGGCATCTCTGAACATAAAGGTTTGATTGAGTTCTCATTGCTTTCTCTCTCTCACAACTTTGATCTTGGCTGTGCTAGTGCTCTGTATTTTGTGAGCAGCCTTTCTCCCAGAGTCTGTAAACACTGTTGAACACAGTAAGACTCTCTGCTCCCTGCTGTCTGTCCATCCTGCTGTCTCATGGGCAGCCTATGGAGTGGTCTCGTAGCACATCAGCTGTCAGGTGGTGGGCAGGCATCCAAGCCTCAGCAAGGTGCGGGAGGATAAACTCTCTTGTAAATTGCGGGGAAGGAAAATAGACAAAATCTAATCTTCTTGACAGCCTGGGATTTACCTTAGATGACTGTATTAGGTGGAAAAAATAAGATTTCTCATATGAAGAAAACACAGTCAGTGACATGTCAACAAAGAAGACCTGTATTGAGAAAACTATGAAAAAGGAAGAATTCAGGGTAGTATCTGCAGGGGAACCTGTTAGTGAAGTCTGTTGAAGCTTTGAGGTGATGTAAAAGTTGGAGCATTTAAAACTTAATGGGAAGAAACACTGAATGGTTTGTGGAGAGTTGCTACACTGCTTGGTAACAACAGCCAGGCACCGCTCAGCAAACGGTACCAAAAAAGCAAACCCCTCCACATGCCATATGATGGGAATGAGAAACAGGGATGTATTAAGCTACCACCCATTTTCCTGTTGTAGCAGTTGAATTTGCCAAAAAATTAATTATTAAGTTAGTGTTGACAGCCATATACAGATGGCGACATATGACACTGCTGGAAAAGGTACAGCAGGGATCAGTTCCCAGAGCTGCCCCAGCCCTCCTGGGTCACTGGAAAAGAGTTACTCTCCGTCTGTCCTTCTCCTGCAGTAATTAAATATACTTTCACAATGCAGTGCTTTGAAGATCAGCAGCTGATAAGCATATTCTACCTGTAGGCTAACTATAGCAGCACATCTTCTGTGTTTCTCTCTAGAAACTCTGTTTCAGGCACTTCCTCAGAATTACTTTATTCTAGTGAGGCTAGAAATAATCCATGCATCCAGAATTAGATGCCACTGCTTGTTTGCCCCGGTGCCCAGAAAAGCTACTGTGACTCATGTGATATGGAAAAGACCAGGGGAAGGTTAGCATACCAAAATGCAAACATGAGGCTGCCGGAATGAATCTCTCTACCAACACTTTCCTCTTTCATATCTGTTTACAGGGTGTCATGGTTTAAGCCCAGAAGGCAACCGAGCATTATGCAGCCACTCACTCCTTCTCCCTCAGGGATGGGGAGGAGAAAATAGAATAAAAGGCTCAGGGATGGAGAAAAGGACAGGAAGGGGTGACTCACCAATTATGTCATGGGCAAAAGACAGACTTGTTTTGGGAAGAAAGAACATCAATTTAATTTGAACACCACCACCACTAATTTATCAATCAGAGTAGGACTGTGAGAAATACAGCCACATCTTAAAAACGCCTTCCACTCTCACCTCCCTTCTTCCTGGGCTCAGCTTTGCTCCCTATTTCTCTACCTCCTCCCCCTGCAGCAGTGCAGGGTGGGCAGGAGATGGGGGTTGTGGTCAGTTCGTTCCCCTGCTCCAGCGTGGGGTCCCTCCCACGGGAGACAGTGTTCCATGAACAACTCCGACATGAATCCTTCCTGCAGGGCTGCAGCACTTCACGAACTGCCCCAGTGTGGGCTGCTGTCATCCCAGTCACAGACTGCTCCAGCGCGGGCTTCCCTTGGAGTCCTGGCTGCCTTTGGGCACAGCCACCTGCTCTGGCATGGGGTCCTCCACAGCCTGCTCCACCACTGACCTCCATGGGCTGCCTTTTTTTTTTTTTTTTAATTCTTTTTATAAGATGAGGACAGTTTAAAAGAACAAGGAGAGAAGAAAACAATAACAACAACAATACTAACAGAAGAATATATAAAGCAAGTGATACACAATGCAATTGCTTACCACCTGGTACCCCGCGCTCAGCCCCTTTCCAAGACGTGATCTCCCAAACCCCTGGCCAGCTCACCCAGTTATATACTGAACCTTATGGCAGTGAGATGTTGAATATCCCCTTCACCAGTTTGGATCAGCAATCCTGGCTGTGCCCCCTCCCATCTTCCTGGGGAAATTAACCCTATCCTAGCTGAACCCAGGGCATTATCCACCCCTTACTCTATATCATTTACATCATGCTCGGATCCTACACTTTCCAATTATTTACCACCGCTTTTTTCCTGTCTTTATATACACACACACTACATATACACACAGAGGTATCATCCCCTTAGTCTATGGGGCCTCCCTCTAACATGTCTGTTGAGTTTATTAATCCATGACTTTGGGGCTCCATCTGTTGACCTTGATGGGCTGCAGGGGCACAGCTTGTCCTCTCACCACGGGCTGCAGGGGGGGGGGTCTCTGCTCTGGAGCACCTGCCCCCTTCCTCCTTTCTCCAACTGGTCCTGGTGTTTGCAGAGGTATTAACCTCACTAATCCTCCTCCTCCCAGGTTCTCGTTCTTAAATACGTTTATTGCAGAGGTGCAGCTGGTTGGCTCGGCCTTGCCCAGAGGCAGGCCTGGCCTGGCTTGGAGCTGGGGGACCTCTGAGAAGCTTCTCACAGGAGCCACCGCCGTAGCCCCCTGCCCTGCTACCAAAACCCCACCACACACAAACCTGACACACAGGGCTTTGGGAGAAGCTGACCTCCCTGAATGTAGACACAAAGACTGCTGATCAGACAGGAAATTTCCCAATTTTTTTGACTCAGAAAGTCTTCCAGAAACATTTTCAAGTGGAAAATTCAGTGCCAGCACAGTTGAAAATTTCCATGATGAAATTTCAATTTTGTGGGTGAAAAAAGTTATCTTCTCTAACCATTTTCAATAAACTGCATTCTAGGATTTAATGGATCATCAGGGCCAAGACTAAAGGTAAGATACTTGAGATCCCTTGCTTATTAGAAACTTTGTTGGTGGCTTTTAGGGAGAATGAGGTTTTCAGACTCCACATGAATGTGTCCACACAGCCCAGGGTCTCCCAGCTTGTCAGGTCCACATTCTGCCAGCTCCAGAACGCACACTGCTTTTTCCTCCCAAGGAAAAGGTCAGATCCTAAAGAGCCAGTAAATCTTTTTAGCTTTTCCTTTCAAAATATCTTCTCTAAACAGTATTTTCAATGTAAATATTGTTGTCTCAAATTTTGTCATGGAAGGGGAAGCCATGTTTCTGCCCACTCTAGGTTTAAGTAAGCTAAAATAGTTCTGTAACTTTCAGATACAAGACCTGGAACACATTTTGGAGGATATTTCTGAAAATGAGAATAAAGCACAGACTCTGCGCAACTGGCTGGAAGCTCAGAGTGATCGACTGAGATCTTTACAAACCCCAGCAAGCCTGATCTCTGCACAGAACACATTAGATGATTGCAAGGTAAAGCATTATATGTGTGATATTGTTGTAAAAAACATATTTAACACTTTGCTGAATCCAGACCAAAGAATTGCACGGATTTTAATTTAAAAAATGTAAAGGAAGTTGCTATTTCCTAGAAGAATACTACAATGTAATTTAAATTAAAGCATGTTAGGTTCAGGTGATAAAGAGCCAGGTCCACTTTTAATGTGAATTGTTATTTTATGTTCTTTTTCCTCTAATCAAAGATGCATCTGCTGTTGTTCCATGGTATTTGGAGCACTGTGCAGCAATACTGTAGGTCTTATTCTGAGATGCCTCCAAAATAAGTAGTTCTCAGTTCAGCATAGCCATGGTAAAAGCTATCAATTCCATTAGTTTCAAGAGCTCTGTGGTGGAAGTGTCGTGGCAACTACACAGTCCCATTTGGAAAAATGGCAACTCGTTCTACTCTTGCCCTAGAATGTAGGCTCTGCACCAGCCTCAAGAATCTGGGTGTCCTTTGGTTTTGTTGTCTTTTTTTAGGCATCAGCTCCTTCAAAATTAGTACAGGTGCAGCCAGCTAATAACTGGCTCCGATTACTCTGACAGTCTTCTGATTTCATTCAGTACAGTGCTCCCTCTCTATTTTTTAACATGGAATGTTTGTTCTTTCATTGCCATGGTTACGTGTCTCTCTCTTGTAGTAGGCTGCTTTTATTGGAGTGCTCTGTTAAACACTGTTACTTGTGTCTCGGAAGCACTCTGAAACATATGGAGGGGCAGAATGAAAGAAAGACACAGGGTATCTTTGATTAAAACACTAACACTTGCTCACAGCTAAGTACAGTGCTAGGATGCAGGTGGCTAAAATGTTTCATTAAGATTAGTTTGCTCAATAAAAATGAGGTCCGAATTTGAAAATCTTTTGGGGACAATAAGTAGAGCAGAAAAAGGTCATGGGTTTAAGCATAGTATTATAGGAAAATGTTACAGCCCATTTTGTGTATGGATATTTACTCATGTTGTGAAGAATTTATTGCTGAGCTTTCCCCAGCATGACAAGACCAGTTTATAATCTCACTGACTGCATTAGTGGAGAAGTTATTCTCCCAGACATCTCCATTGATTTCAGTGGGGTTTCTCCCATGGGAATAAGCCTCTGACTAAGGGGACAAACTGAAAATAACATTCCAGAAGTTCTTAGGATGTCAGGGACCCTCCTATTGCAAAGTCAATTCCTATCTTACCTTCGTCTGCTGGAGCAGAGGAGGGCTTGAATGCTAACCTGCCCAAGGAAAAGTTTGGCTGCATTAATAGAAAAGCTTTTTGCATCTGGAGAGGTACAAAGAGGCCTACGTGGTGGCTGAGGAATTAGCTCCTGATGTTTTCCTTCCCAAGCATGATGTCCAGTGCTGATGCTGACACTAAATGAACTGATTCTAGCTCTACCTGTAGAGGACTGTCTAAAGCAGCCACTGTAACTTTGAATTTCTGTAAAACAGTTGCTCTGTATCAGAGCTGAAATGGTGGTGGTGTTGCATGGCTGAAGAATTGCACCGGACTGGTTTTAAAGAAGGAATGTTTATCTAAGTTCACACAGAAAGTTTTTTCTATGGTCTCATCTAAAGATCTTACTTGTCTTCCTTTTTCTTTTTTTCTTCTTTCATATAGGAACTAGAAAATCAACTCACAGCTAAATCCAAAACTCTTGATGAGCTTAAACAGAGTTTGGCTTTGAATGGTAGTGCAGAACAAACCCCAGCTCTGTCTCTCAGGATAGCTGAGCTGTGTGAAATGGTGGACATCATTGTAAGCCAGGTAAAAGCTTTGTTTGCATTCAGATTTCCTCCGGTACATGTTCTTACCACCAGTGATATTAATCTTCTTCATGGAATGGCAGGAGCTGGTACAAAAAAGGTGCAAAGTATTCCTTACTCTTAATCTTAGCCTTCCTATGAACTTCCTTTTAAGTCTTTACCATAATGTAAATTCATGTATTTCTAAGCTTGAGAGAAAAAAAAAGTCTGAAGCTGCCTATGCCTGCCTCATTCTCACTGCCAGATGAAAGAGTCCACACCACTGGATGGCTTTTGCTATCTTCAAGTCCTGTGTAGTTTCCAGTTGCTTCAAGGAGAGTCTGGCAGATTGGTTTCCCATGCAGACTGACTCCCCAGCAGTTTGCTTTTATAGTTATATTATCTTTATACTTGAAACTGATCTTTTTTTATCTAGATGTAATTGGTAGGCACAGAAGATGTAATAATTAGTATATTTATGGATTGAAATTTGTCATAATAAATAACCATATACTGTAGAGGATTATATGTGACGTAGTGATTGTGTGTATAGTTAAGATTCTCTTACACTTTCTGTGATAATTGCCTTGCTTTTGTTCCTCAAAACTTTGTGAAAGCTGAACCCTTTTGCATTAACTCTTTCACATGAGATGTTGTTTCAGGATGGGTCTGCTGCTTCTTGTTTTAGGTTTCAACAGAAATGATGTGGCTGTTTCTTACCAAGAGAGCAGAGAAATTTGTGTCTGTGTACATGAAAGTTCTTCCTTCTGCTGTAGAGCTGGGGATTGAAATTGGCAGGATTGACAGCCTAGTGCTTTTTTCTTCTTACAGTCACCATGGGTCATGTTAATTTTAGTATTTTTATGACTTAAGTATCAAACTTAAGAACTGCAGAATGTTCTTACAGCCTAGCTGTCTGCATGTGCAATGAAACACCGAGTTCAGCTTTCTTCCCACCAGTGACTGCTCTCGGCAGATCCAGACTGTGATTTCAAATATAGGTCTAAGGAGATGCAATACCTTGATTGTATTGTCTATAGGTTGATCTCAAGACTGTGAGTCTGTGGCCCAGAGACATCTCATGAGCACAATGTCTTTCCATCTTCCTTTTGTGGGCAGTAATTAGCTGCAGGCTACAAAAAGCAAGTAAAGATTCCTCCCACTTATACCATGATTCAAATGAGAATAGGGATGATTAATCCATCTACTTCTGCATGCCTAGAACTATGATACTAGGATACAGTGATCCACGCAGCCTATTTAGCATGCACTACAGTGTAGAGGAGTCTTCATCTTCCATTGTGTGGATGCATAGTCATAACTGAAATCTGACATCTGGCTTTGCCGGGTCCCCTGGAGACATGCTTGTTGGCTTGCCTGGTTTTCATGCTGTTCTCAAAGCATCTGGTACTGGCATGACTGAAAATAGATATAGATGAATATTTTATCTAACCCAGGACATGCCTTATGTACTTACCTGGTACAGAAGGATAAACATGACAAATCGCATGGAAGGAGGACTGTGGGTTTGTGTTTGCAATGTCTAGGAGTATGTGACAAATGGAAACCATGCTTGCCACAATATAGATTAAATGCCTGTAATAATGAAAGAGACATAGAAAACAAAGAGGATATCTGTCATTTAATTTTATCTGAGAATCCTGAAGTTCCTAGACTGTGATTCAGGCAGGCCTGCATTATTAGAGCACAATGGCATATGAAGGATGATAGCTCTCCAGAGTATTGTAGTAGCATCTTCTTCCATACAAAACAATTTCTGTTCAAGTTTTCATTAAAAGAAAACAACCTCTGGATCAAACTATCTGCATCCTATGAAGATTAAGGCTCTCAACTTCTTCCTACTTCCAGTTGATTTTGGCAGGAAGGAATAAGCAGTTCATTATTTCAGTACTTTTTACTTTGGGGGGGTTCTGTAGTTGTGCTGACAGAATAGTGCTACCTTAAACTCTGGTTAAATTTTTATTTCCAGCAAATACTTATACTTCACTCTCAGTACTGTTTATTGCTTGGTTTGAAGTCTGCACAATTCCTTACCAAGTAGGAAGATACTCCAACTGTTAGGTTCTTGCAGATTGTCATGGAGTGAGAATTGAACTGAGATTAAGTCAAATTTAAAGGTGATTTATGTTAGGACTACCCAAGAAATAGTAATAGAAGTGGTTCTTTTGCAGGTTGCACAGTTAAAGACCTCAATGCAGTCAATACTGGAGCAGTGGAGAGTATATGATGAAGTTTATGCAGAAGTAAGCCTGATGACAACAAGATATTTGTACTGCATAGACCAGTGCAAACCTTCTGTGGTATCACTGGAAACTCTGAAAAACCAGGTGAAAACCCTCCAGGTAAATCTACTGAAGTTGTCTTATTTCTGTACTTCCTTCTGTGCCTTTAAACAAACAAATGAGCTCCACTGAAGAAAAGAAGAAAAATCTATCTGAGCAACTACCTCTTTATTATAGTGCCATTGAAATCAGTGGATTTTTTTTTTTTTAACTGCAGAGGCACTGAGGGCTATATTTAGACTCTGTACTTTATTTAGTACATAAGTTAAACTTTGGTGCAATTTAGGTACCAAGTTTTAAGAGAGTACAGGTCAGCTGCTACCACATCTGCTAGCAGAGCCTCCATTTTGGATTGCAAAGATCCTTTGACATTTTAGTCTTCCACATGTGCTGGAAGACATCCCCATATGAAGTACCAGGTCCTGATGCTCCCTTGCACTACAGAGCCCAGATGGACATGTGCACTCCACCACCATCCCTCATATTAATGTCTACTCAGTCCATATCTAATCCATATGGACAGCAGGAATTTTGGCTGAAAATACAGCTGGCAAAGCACCAGCCATCACTGTGTGTGTTTGCCTAAATGTTACTCACCATTCAGGTGAAAGATTTGCCCCCTCACTTGCGCTTCCCAAGGAAATGCCATGCCATAAGGCTGTAGCATAACCTGGAAGGAGGTGCCTGTGCATTGATGCTGGGACTCAGTGCAGAAATAAAGGGGACCTGGGAGAAAATTGATGAAGGGAGCATGTCTCTAGATCTGTGATTTGAACGGTCCCCTTGGGGTACTATGTCCCAGCCACTGTGCCAGTGACCACTGACACATTTTGCATTAAAGTGTTATTTGCATTAAAGCATATTTTCACATAGAAACATTACTGGAGTCAAGGTCCAGGACCCAGGATTTCCCTTTCCAAAAGCTGTGGCTTGGGCTGGGTGGGTGCAGCAGCCCTGGGGCAGAGCAAGGGGGATGCCTGAGCCTGGACAGTTCTGACTGCTGCAGCGCAGTCAACTGTTCAGTCACCCTCCAGAGAGCTGGGATTTCCTGCACAGATTCTGAATGAAGCTGGGCATAAATGGTGAGCATAAATTCTCTGGATTGTCTTTCTGCTCTGCTTGGCTATTACAGACTATAAGTGGGGCATCTAGAGTAGACAGTCAGGCTGGCCCCATGTCTGAACGTTTTACAGATACGGCTAAAATCCCATTACCTGCCTTTAAATGAGTGTTGAAAGGCTGCGTAAGCACTCCCTGTTTCGGTGTAAATAAGGCCTGTTTTGGTTTATTTTCAAGTTATATTAGAAGTGGTTCAGGACAAACTGAGGCTGTGAATCCCAGGTACGTGCCTCTTGGCAGTAAAGCCTGCATAAGCACTTTCCACCCTCACCTGGGGACACATAATAAATGGTGGGAACGGGGCACCTTCTTACCTCCCTCCTTTCATAACCCTCTTTATTTTTAATCTGGATCGGTTCACAGATACGATCCATGGCAGGATTCTGCAATTGCCTGTATCAAGAGGGGGAACATGCAGCTGGAGACAGGAGTTGTCAAGTCAACTTCACTGCCAGTAGGAATTTCCCTGAAACAGTGGCTTAAAATAAAAACATTTTTGGTTTCTAGTGAATTAATTTAATCAGTTCAAGGCTGTGGGTTTGTTAAATGAGCTGTTTCTTTAAGAGCAAATAAGTTACCTCAGTTTAAAATAGGCCTCTTGAATATATTTTTTAACCTGGATCGTTTCACCTCTCTTTTAGCTTCCTAATCTTTAGGATCAGATGCTACATTTTTCACAAACATTTTAGTCTGTGCTTTAAACGTGTGACATTATTGCTACCCCATCCCTACCAATATATAGGGGAACCTATACTTAGGTCATTCATCTGCATAACTAATTGCAATAATTAATTTTACAGTCTCTTCAAGATGAATCGGAGAACAGTGAAGAAAGTTGGGCCAAGCTCCAGGCTGCTGCCAGTAACCTGAAAAAGAGCTGCTCCCCCTCCTTTGCAGAGATTATTGAACAGAAGTGCACGGAGGCACACAGTAGGTAAGCTTGTGAAAAAGGCCCCCAGTTATTAGTATTAAAAAAAAAAAAAAAAAAAAAAGTTGCTGAGGCAGGACTTGAACATCTGTCACATTTTTAAATCTATATTAATACAGCTCACCTGTCTAAGGTACCTGTGTGAGGAGTAGCTAATACTACCTTTTTTGTGATGGATCACAGAGCACAAAATGGTGCTGTGTCAGCAGGCTTTCACTAACATGGGTATGAATGCAAAGAAACTCCCACAGGAATCCTATACCAAATCATGTTCTGGAGGAGAATCTACTAGGAAAATGCTCTTATTCTTTGATATGTTGGCAGGTGGAATTCAGTAAATGAAGATGTCACAGATCAACTGCGGGCAGCGCAAGCAACCCTGCAGCTCTGGGAGCCCTTCAATACTTTATGCATTGAGGCAGCAGTCAAGTTAGAACAGCACAAAGAGCAATGCACTCAGCTCTTGGATGCTCACGTGCCCGAGGATAACATGATAGAAACCCTGAAGCAGAGGATACAGGATATAAAGGTACATAAACATGTTTTTGCTGCCTGGTACAAACCAGGATTTATTTTTGAGAAATAAATCAAAAGAACACCTTCTTCCCTCCTCCTCCCCCAAATCCAGCCAGTGGAAAACATAAAATCTGTGGGTTTTTTCCATTAACAGGCACCTTTGTATTTCCTTTAAATACTTTGACCAGATCCTGACACCAAACCAAACTAAAGTTAGCACAGGATGGGAAGAGAGCAGAAGGGAGCAATCATATTCCATCTCTGCCCCTTTCTGATCTATACAGAGAATAAGGCCTGTGTTGGAAGGAATTGTTAAACCAAAAATTATTTACTTTATCAGGGATTGCTTGGGAGGAGAGATAATATCTACTAGAACAGTAGCTGGGAAAAAAAGATGAGTTTTCCAGAACAGAGGACCATCTTGAGGTCTTCCATAGTCTTAAAATTGGGTTTATTTGGGTTTGGTACTTTTTTTTTGGCCTTGTCTAAGTTCACAGATTTCTGAGCTCATTAGATTATCCTAATTGCTTCTGATTTTAGGCAAACGAGATCTCATGCTGAGACCACAGGGTACCTTTGACTCTCTCAGGCAGCAAAGCTGTCATTAGGTTCTGACATTTTTGGTTTCTTCAGACTGCGGTAAAGAAATATAATAATCCTTATTTCAGGACAGAGCAATGATTCATCACACTTTATGAACCTCTAGCCACATACTGGAAGAAGTCCAAAGTACTCTATTTTGTATGTGGCCAATTAAGAAACGTTACATTATGGGAACAAGAACTCATATATTTCTTCCTGTGTCAGAAACAATGGACAGCAGCAAAGATTAGACCAAAACATTTTCACTTTCTTCTGATCTACCAATGGCTATGACATAAATTCATCAGTATGTCAGCAAAAAAGCATCACATTTGCTGAAAATTTTGGGGAAGAGTTTTGCACCTACTAAGCAAGGCGTGACCATTAGAGTGCCATTAGCACTGTAAATCCTGTCCTGGTATGTGTGGGTAGGATGCATGCAATTTATTGTGTTTTTTTGCAAGTGGTGAGTTAGAAGAAAGGGGATCAGTGATATGGCATATGAGTAACGTGTATTTGAAAATACATGAGCATTAGAAAACTGTATTTTAATCTCTCTAATCTTTTCCTCTAGTATATATTAGGAAAGATTATGGTTTTATGGAATTCTGTCACCACAACAAATAAAGTCCTATGTATACAGTAAGAAATGAAAATGAGTTATTTACTAAATGGCAGAAGTAGCAGTTTACAATATGAGCCATTCCAAAGACAGGGGTCAGGAACTAAGAGCCATTTTGATTTTTAGGGAAATATGTCTGCTCTATCAATCAGAAGTCTTTGTTTATTACTCACAGAAAAGACAATATACAGTGGCAAATTTCAGGGGGTTTCACGGCTAAAAGTAAATGAGAGTTGTCCAGGTCAAAAAAAGTAATCAAGTACATTGAATGAGTATAAAATGACTCCCTTTGTTCTTCTACTGCTTTTAGAGTTTCATTTTGTAGCATAATTTCTGTAGTAAAGGAGAACAAATAAAATCAAAACCATAGTCCTCGGTCACTAAGGGATCCAAAGTACCGGTATGTTTGTAGCATAATAGCATTTCTCATCTGCAGCATGGGCCCGTTTCTCCATCTGCTAGTGTAAATCCATTCTGTTAGAGGATCCATTCTGATTTCTCTCTCTAATCTCCTCTGTAGCAGTAGCATCCCACTGCCTGAAGTCACTGGTGTTCCACTGGACTTTGAACTGTGCCTTTCCCAGCACTAGAGTCGATGGATGCAATTCCCATTATCCTCTGAGTAAAAGACTGAAGCTTTTAACATAGCTGAATTTGGCTCCCGGAGGAGATCAACAAAAAGAGCTTAGTTACAGCAACAAAAGATACTAAATGAAAGTGGCACATGAACGACGATCTGATTCATTTGCTGACTTTTTTTTTTTTTCTTTCCCCTTCTCCCATCAGAATTTACAGCATGGCCTTCAAAACATAGCAGGATGCCGTACCCAGATTGCTTTGCTGGCTGATAGGATAAAGCAGCAAGCTGGGACAGCTGTACAAGCCATTCTGTTGGAGAAGCTGCAGCCGCTCCAGAGGGCATCGTATTTGGAAAAGATGTTGCAGAGAAAGTTAGATGAATTTGAGGTATTTTTTTTTAATATTAAATTAGCTGTCAGTGTGAGCTACCTTCTTCACTAGGGCCCTCTAGTTCTTGAATCGAAATGAAATTTCAAGAAAATAGAACTTGACTAGTTGACTTGATCAACTATGTAAGGAAATAATACAGGGAGCCAGAGGGACAGATGAAAGAAGGGTTTTACCCTTCTTACCTGCTTGTGTTGCTCTAACAAGCCCTTGTAAGTGGACCTATTACAGTCACTCAGTTATGAGACCCTCAAATGATTAAAGGTTAGGAGATGTATTTTTATTCTATGAACTTTGAAGTAAGTTGTAAACTTTCTCAGCTCTGCCTTGGAAAAAAAACTAAGGGCTCAGTTTGCTTTGATAAGAATGCACACTACGTACCTAAAACCAAACAGAAAACTGGTCATTTGATGTAATTTTGAAGACCAGATTCACATTCTTGTTCAGGCAGAGTAGGGAGGGACCTGGAGCCAGGCTTTGCTGTATGATGCTCTGCTCACAGGAGTGCTGTGGGATTGACTTCCCTTCTGCTCAGGTATTCCTGGGAAAACTTCCAAGCAAATGTATTGCTGTACATTTACTGATGTAAAACTGGCCTGTTCCTGTGAAGAAGTCTGGTTTCAATGAATTGTTCTGTTCTAAAGTAAACCCAAATTCATCAAGAAATTTTCAGCCAGCTCTATTTATGATTCCATCTACCAGCACAGTTCAGTGGCTGGAAGCCAGATATCTTTGTGAAAATAACAAATCTCTCATATTTTCTGTGAACAACTTGCTCCATGAAAAATTTTATTTCTGTGTAGTCATTTTCTCTGGTGTAACCCTATAGTATTACCACAGAACTGTCTCTCCCCACAGCAGTTTTTGCCATTCATTCCTTATAAAAATGTTGCTGTTTCAGTGTTCTTAGAGATGTGGAGCTTAATTCTTGCAAGAAAGAAAAAGCTTTCCCAGTGCTCTTCTCCCTGACCCAAAGAAACCAACCTAGTGAATAAAAAATGTTGAATTACAGCCCCAGTTAGTTTTCTCCACAGAGCTCATGTAAGCTGCACAGCCTTGGCCGTAGGCAAATGGGAGCAGGCCCTGTGTGGAGCTCAAGTTTTGGCTGTCCAATTTCACAATAAATCAAGGAGCCCCAAGCTACAGAAAGGTATTGCAGATGACCCTATTCCTTCCAGATAGGTATGAACCTCTCAGGATTTAATGATTCAGTTTCTTGCTCTCTGCTTTGGCTTAAATTTTCCCCTTATCCAGTGCAAAAACGTAAAAAGTTCAGTGAGTTTTAAGTACATTGGAATTTGGATTTAACATGTTTTGTTTGTTGTTTTTTTTTTCTGATGATACTACTTATTGCTCCTTTTTGTATACTGAATATGCGTATTAAATCATAATTAACATAAATATGCAATATTCACCCTAGTTCAATCTTTTACAACTGGAGGATTTCAAGAACTGCCTTGAAAAGCTGGAAGGTCACGTCAAGAACTGCACAGATGCCTTTGATAGTCTCTGTCTAGAGGGAGGAACAGACAACTTAGAATTGCTCGTGGTATGTTCAGATTCCCAAGTGCAAAAAAGATACTGCTTAGGATTTAAGTGTCTGTAGGATACCAGCTTCTGCTTACTTCCAGGAACTATTTGTGTCCTAAGTATCGTAGTTATAGCACTTCCATTGGAGTAACTGTGATCTTATCCAAAACACAAAAACCAATTATTTAAGTTCATAAAAACTCTAGATATGCATTTCAGGCCAAATAACTCAATGGAGGGGAGGAAAATCACATAGATTTGGGGCTCATGGGAGATCTTTTTCCCCAGCTTTGTTTTGGAGCTACCCTGTTTCCCTCAATATAGGGTACAGAGCAAATCTGCATGTACCAACTCTGAGTATCTGTTCAGTATTGCTGGAAATGTAGGCCTTGTGTAAGGGAACTGTGACTTTTTTGTTTCCTATATTCTTTGAAGTTAACAAAGAAATGTGTGTGGGGGGGGTTGGGTTAGCATTTTGGATGCATAACTTTCAGATACTTTCTACAGGAAAGGCTTCTGTATTTATTTGAAATTAAATAGAGGCAGTATTTTTTGCAATTCATTTCTTTATTTTACTTCCAGAATCACACACTGGAGCTCGCTGCACTTTCTCCAAGCATAGAGAGTTTGAATGAAGCAAGCATTAAGCTGCCACTCAGTGACTTCACCCTTAAGAAAATGCAGAGCCTGACTCGGCAATGGAGTCAGAAAACAGCAGCTGCTCTAGAACACTGCAGGTCTGAAATGCAAACAAAAAATCACGACTAACCATTTTATTTTCTGTGAGGAAAATCAAAACCAAATTAAAGTATGAGAAGTCTTGGAATCTGTTCTCAGCTTTCTCAAGGGCTTTCCAAGTTGAATTCCTTCCCTTTCAATTTACTCGATTATTCAGTGGCTATTTGTATTCCAAGTGACTTGAAGCAAAAATCTGGATGTTCATAGGTGAAGGAGGTAGCAAAGTGCCAAACAAAACCCTATTACATTAGTATTACTAACCACCACATTAGATTGTATGCAAACATATCCAGAAAAACAACCACCAACACAATAGTTTCTGATTATTTCTTTTTTTTTTACAGTATGCGTGAGGGAACTCAAAATGATGAAAAGAAATTCTTTCAGAAATGTGAAAACTGGATGAAATTCCTAGAAAAAATGAAAGAGGCCTTAAAAACAAATATTCCAGGACGGTTTGAAGAACTGGAAGAGCAACAGAGAGTATATGAGGTAAATCTAACTCTAAAAATGGAACTATCTTCTTGAAACGGGTGGGTAGTCAGTAGAAAATTTTGAAGTTAAATCTGGGCAGAGTTCACTCTTGAAATTTGGCCTTTTACTTATTCAGAGGAAAATTTTAAAAATGTGAAAATCCTTTTCCAAAATGGGTGGATGGATCCCTTTTTGCAGGGATCAGACCTTCATGAGTGCATCCTCAAGTGCTGTGTCATAGAAGTCCTAGATTTCTCCAGCCCTGAGGTTACTTGCCTGTCTGCCTGTCCCAGAGCACCGAAGCCTCTGGCAACTAGCTAGGCAGTTTGCTGGTGATCAGGCAGGAACCTTAACAGTTTCTGGAAGCACTACATTTAAAACATAATGTTTTCAGAGTGCATTTCCATCTTGACCAGTTGTTGGATTTTGGTGGAAATCTGTTTCACTGGCATTTTTCCAAACACTTGCTATTGGTTATATAGTGCATCACACATGTATGGCAGCATCCATTCAGAGGAGAAGGTACATTGCACGCTAGCAGTAGCATGTGGATGCAATTCTAGGGAAAGTGTCTATCTATAGACTTTGTCCTAGTGGCAGGAGGATGGTAAAACAACCAAACCACAGCAATAAAAATCACATTTTAAATGCGAAATATCATGAACTGTTAGGGTAAGTGTTGTGCTGCTGCAGTGGATCACAGCTTCACACTACCCAAAGTACTGTGGCTGATTTCATGGGGTGTTAAGTCTCTGCGTGTTAGCAATATTCATTAGGATTGATAGAAAGTGATTTTCTCTCTTTTACTTAGACCTCTCCAAATCAATTCATTCATTGCAATGAAATTATTTATAGAATAAACTTTTGCTCGTTCTGATAAAGAGCAAATTCACCCTTATATGTAGCTTTTTTAAACCTTTTATGTAGGTTTCTCTCTAGATTGCATTTCTTGTTAATTAGTACAGCAAACTTCAGGCTTCAGATTACCTGTACCATACAGCTCCTGGTGGGTTCTGCTGCCACATATGTGCAAATCCCTCCTGGTATCCAAAAGGTGTGGAGTCTTTTAGGATGCATTTGACACTAGCACTTGACAATAATAGAGCTTTCAGCATTTAAAATAAAATAAATGTTGTCACCCTGGAGGAGCAGAACCAGCTTTCGTAGCAAAGGTTGTTCACTGAATAGTTAAAACTGTTGTTATGGTATTTTCAGATGCTGCAAACTGAGATTTCCATAAATCAACAGACATTTAATTCTATCATAGCAAAAGTTCTACTCTCCTTGGAATCCGGAGAAGCAGACAAAAGGTAATCTATTTGTTTTTCTCCCCAAGATCTTGGTAATCCAGTGAATAAGCTCTCTTTCTTGGAGTTGGTATTGAATCTTTGCTCTCATGAGGAAATAAACCCAAATTCTTGACTGGGTTCATACTTTAAATAACCTCCTGGCACATTTTGCAAAAGTGTGAGAAGGTGCAATGTGAAAGAAACACAGGTGCCCTGGCCAAACTGCATTTTAGATAGTAACTGGATGTTCTGCCTAGCACAAATAATTGCTCCTGAACAGGAGGCTTCCTTGTTGATTTATACCCTGCAGTTGTTTAAACTGTAACCGTGGTTGAGAAGCTACCTTCTTACAGAGGGTAGTGAAGATGCTGCATATGAAGGATCCTTTCTCTCTTCCTAGACCTCTCTGCTTTCTTAAGTGCAGCAGTGTGAGCCTATCCACGTTGCCCCTGGCACACATGACAGGGCATTGAGTCACTGGCGACTCAACCCAAAATATATGGTAGCCAAACCTGTTTTTTATCGGTATGATCTTAAACTCTTCTTGTAATCAATGTAGAGTGAAAAGCAGGAAGTAATATTTGTGAGCAGAGGTTCAACTGTCTCCGCCGTTTCTTCCGTGAACACATTACCCCTCTCTGCCAGAGCTTGCTCCTTCCAGAGAGTTAGCAGGACAATGTGTGTCCTCCCCTCAGTCACTTCAATATGAAGTCCATAGTTTGGCTTAAAGCTGCCAGGGAAGGTAGGGCAAAACTAAGCAAATCTGATGGATTTTTGTGTTTAAGGTAGCCCCACAAACACAGGTGTTTGTGTAAGGGCTAATCTGTGGGCCATGGCCTCATGCAGAGAAACAGAATTGATAGATGGCAGTTGTCTTAATCACTGCAGCTAGATCTGCTGGATCATCTAACCATATTGTGAGAGAAGCTAAAAAACTGCTTGAATGGGCTCAATAAGAACACAACCTTTTCACATTGCAGTTAGGTCCCACTGCTGTAGGGTTTGTATGGTTGAACTCCTGCTTACAGCCTGGTAAAAGCACCAATCAATTTTGCAGCATAATTGGAGACCTTGTCTCACTTGCATTGACCTTGTTCTTCAGAGAAGTGTTTAGTGCATATTGTTTCTGTGATTGCTGTACTACATGTTGCCATACCATAATAGCAAGAATGACTTGCATAATCCATTCTTGTATCATGTAAAAGGTCTTTTGGATTGCTTAAAAGATGGAATACAGAGAGCAGGGCTAAGCTTAGGGCTGTATAGAGCTCTTTGCATAGTTGGGTATTGTAACTGGAATACAATGTTGTAAATGGAAATCCGTCACAATTACTGTAAAATGCAGCCTTGAGGTCAAAATATATTAACACTCAACACTTGTCATTTTCAGAACAGAGTTCATTTCCAAGCTCACATTGCTGAAAGAGCAGTGGCATAATGTTATCCGGATGGTTCAGCAGAGGAAGAAAGATATCGATGGACTCGTGAGCCAGTGGCATCTCTTCAGGAGTTCCCTGCGGAGTCTCAGCAGATTTCTTGCTGATACAAACAGCTTCCTCATAGCTGAGAAAAGCCAGGACTGCTATAGCATTTACCAGCTTAGAAATCTAATTCATGATTTCAAGGTACTGTGTATTTATTTCTCATACATCTAAATTCTGTGGTTTTTTTCTCAGACTGAAGCAATTTCCGTCCGGTGAGGTAAAAATCTTTAAAATCACATGCTTTCTGGGGATAACCAATTGCTGACACCTTTTCTTAAAGCTGAGCACAGATGAGAAAACAGTGATGTTGTGGAAGGCTCATTATACTAGGAAACTTCCTGGTCAATATTGTCATTTAGTAGCTTTGCATACTTTAAAAATATTACTGATATGAACATGGAAATGCAGGGTGCCAGGGAGATTAGGCAGGAACCCTGGTCAGCAGGTACCCTCTAGGTCTGTGTGCATCTTACGGACATGGGTGCTGAATGCAGGCCTTGCAGTTTGACTGGAGGTAGCAGTCACGTACATGGCAAGACAGGCCCTATGGGTCCCATGTGGGCAGGGGTGGGCAGGAGGTACCAGGAGCAGAGGATAAAGCACTTGCAAGGGGGTTGTCCTTGGAGCCACCGTTCCAGGATGCACAGACCTGGCCAGCAGCTCTTCAAGACCATGAATTCTGCGTTTTACGTACAGTGGAAAAAATATTTTCCTTTGTTAATTTGGGGTATCTTGGTTTTCCATTTAATTATGCATGTCTTTGTTTTATAAGAAAGTAAAAACAAGAAGTGAACCTCTTGGTTGCTTAAGGCAATCTAAAACCTTTCAAAAATACATTATTAAATCCTATTTGCATGGTTGAAGATTTATTGTGTTCCCACACACCTAATGTTGATGGATTAACACATTAGCAGTATTTCATTTGGCACTTGCCCTATTTATTTCATTTTTACCTGCTATGTAAAGATGATTTTCAGTAGATTTTACAAGTTAGTGCTCATGCTTTTCCTTAGTGAGAAAAGCGAGAAAGTCTTCTTCCTACTACTCCAAGTTGCCTTTCCCTCCTGCTCTTGTTTTACAGAAAGAAACAACGATCATATCTGCTTGTTTTATAAACCAATTTGTGTTGTAGGCACGTTATTATTGATGGCTTAGTTCACGTGGAGTATCTCCTGATTAACAGAACTGTTATCTCTGAAAAATTTGTCTCAGTTGTTGGTGCCAGAGATGCTCACAGAACTTGAACAGTTTTTTTATTCTGAATTACTCAGGCAAATGAATTTCCATCTTTTTGTAACTGCTGCACTTTCACTTTAGAGATTCAGTCTTTGAAAAGCTGTTGTAGAGTTTTATACATCAGAAGATCACAAAGAATCTGATTTTTCTGTAATTAAAAAAGCAGATAGAAGATCTATTTGTTACTCTTTCATGAATATGAACAAACTAGCGCCTTGAAGCTCCCTTCACTTCTTCCCAAGTAAAATTTCAGGAGTGTGCATCTAAAGCTTGCTAAGAACAGCTTAGAAACTTAATTTTTTTTTTTTCTTTTGAAGAGTAAGGCAGTGATTCTTCAGAGGTGGCAAGCCATGTACTCCTTAATCATCGATGTTGGGGAGAAGTTGCGCAATGACTCCGATCCTGAGACCAACACTGCCCTCCAGGATGAGCTCAGCCAGTTACAGCAGAGCTGGGGTGACACCCAGGTGCATCTGGAGAAGAAGAAGATGCAGCTCAGCAGCACCCTACAGGTAGATGATACCCCCATTATGGAGGAGTGGCACCTGCTTCTCTGGTCTTGGGCCTCAAGAGCTTCCCTGCCCCACTGTCCCCGGGGCTGGGGTCTGTACAGACGAGGCAAATGTTGAGCTACTGCTCACTGCAGAGGGGCTCTGAGGGAAGTGCCTGTCATGTGCCATCAGGGCTTGTGGGAAGCTAAAACTGTGGTCCCCTGATTCTCCCTCCAAAGGAAAATGGGGTTGGCATTCATTTGTTGCTACTGTGGATGTTCCTGTGCTGATTGTTCTCACACTCCCCGTGTTGTGGAGCTCTCTCTCCTGCTTCAGGCTGTGAAGCCTGAGCTAAAATTTAGCTTAGCGGGAACAGCATGACTTGTTACTTCTCCTGTTGTTGCACCTCTAAACACAACAGTAGGTTATATTTTTTTCCTTAGAGCAATAAATTTGCTTTCATGGCTAGACAGCACATAGGTGTGTCTTAAAATTGAATACTATCGTCGATACAATTCCCAGCCCAAAAACTATGATAAAAGCCTCTCAAGTTGGACAAAATTAGCAGAAATGATCTGTGAGACAAACCTTAAATACAAGAGAGGATGCAAGTTCTTCTGTAAATCCAGGCACCAAATTCTTGTGAGTGGTACAGTGTATCAAAGAGAAAATCAAAATAACCAGAGCACATGAGTATTCATTTCAGTGGGTTTAAAAGGCTATTTTGTAACATATTCATATGGTACAGTATGTCATGATAAAGTATTTATAACTTCCTTGGGTCTCCTTGAGCAGAGTTGGGACTGCTGTGAAAAGCAAACCAAGGAATTGGAAAGCAGGCTGCGAGAACTGAAGGAGAAAGTAAAAGATCCACTTCCAGTTGAACATGAAGAGCTCTACAAAGCCAAGGAACACATTAAGGTATTGAACAGCCATATTATATTTAAATAGATGTAGTCTTTACACAACACCTGATATCTGTAAAATCAGTTTTCCCTCTTACCTGCTCTTCAGTAACACTGAATTTCTCTCCTTTATACCATCCTGATTGCTGCCAATCTGCCAAATTCAGCTGACCAAGAAGACTACAAGAAGATTTGTAGTTTGGATTTTTTTTTTCCTGCTTCTGCTCCCTTTCCACAATCTGAATTTATAAAATAAGTAGTTCCTCAAACAAAAGGGAAAAAACTCCCTGGTCTCAGCTCAATTGCCTGCTATCCTAATGGCTGAACCTCCCTTTTTATTTTCCAATCCATTTTGGACAGGGAGCTCCTCAGGCAAGAGACCTTGTAAGTCTAAAAACATTCATGCACACCTGTGGGATCTGAGAATAATTAAAGTGAAGGAAAATTAAGAGTAAGGGAGTGGCAAAAGCCCTTGCAGCCCACAGTGCACCATGAAAATTAAATGGCAAGGAAAGCATTTCCAAGGGATCTAGGAGACATTTTTTTCTGGACTGGTCAGTCTTTCATCATTCTTTTATGAAGTGAATTGTTGACCTAAGTGGTGGGAACAAATAAGCTTATTAAGGAGCCAAGGCTTTGAACTCATTACCAGCTGTCTGAAATCTTCTTTGTGAGTACTGGCTGCTTTTCCTACGGCAGCAGTCTTGCTGTAGTCCTGAATTATTTGTGTGAGATGGCAGCACATAGCTCCTACCTCTTACTCCAGGAAGAAAAATTCAGCCACAGAGGTGCCAGTGCAGTTGCTGCTCTTGGGTGTTACAGTATAATAAAATAAAGGACCAAAATGGCATAGGGAAGGGACCTTCTCTCCCCTCCCTGGAAGTCTTCTGAAATTCCATTGTTAGCTCCACTAATGCAGGGATTCGACCCTTGTTAAGATATATAAATGAATGTGTTCACATCTGTAGGGAGTCATTTATTGTGAGCTCAGGTAAATTTTAGTCTCAGGTTTGTTTTTTCTCCTCCAGTGGTGAAGCTGATCAGATTGGGTTTTTTTATGATTTAGGTAAGTGACTGGATGAAAAGACCTATGAAAATGCTCACAGGGCTTGGACCCAGCACACTTCTCCCAGTATAAAAACTCACATTTTTTTTGCCCTTTAAAATAAGACAAATCAGATCCTCTGTAAGAGCCTTTTTTGTTAGAGGAGCCAGTGACACGTGCCAGCAACCACCTTGCAAAATGGGACCTAGTACCTCGTGTATAGAGTGTCATGTTTCCCAGCAGCATGCAGTGGTATCTCTCCTTTTTAGGTGACAATTTTAACACGGATAAGGAAAATGCGTAACCTTGTTATATTAGGGGAGGGGGAGCTGGGGTGCGACAAAGCAGAAGAGAGAGCGTGCACCTGTGAAATCACTCCTTAGAGAAGGGAATCAATTTACAGCTTTTAGCATTTCAATAAATAACCTGAAATTGGAACAAACGCAGGTAGAAAGCAAGTTGGCCAAAATAATTACATTAAAAAAAAAAAAAAAAAAAAGTGGGTCTGTGCCTTCCAGGATGCGGAGCCCCAGCCCCAGGCCTGCCCTGGGCTCCCCCGGCCTACCACCAGCGGGCCCGGCCGCAGAGCCCTGCACAGCCGGCTGCACATTCCCCTCCTCTCCTCCCCCACAGGCCAGGCAGGGGATTAACGAGCAGGTTTGGAAACCAGAGGAGCTTAGTGCCAAGGCTTGTTCTGGGTGCGTTTCCATGCAGGAGCTGGAGCAGTCGCTGGCAGACTGGGCCCACAACATGAAGGAGCTGCGGGCCATGAAGGTGGAGCTGGCTCACTGCATCCTCACCGAGGACATGGCGGTGCTCAAGGAGCAAGTTGAACATCTGCACAAGCAGTGGGAAGAGCTCTGCTTGCGGGTAAGTCTTCCACCTCCTCTGGGGCTTTCGAGTGGGATGTTCATAGGGCCTGGCAGAAACGGGGGTTAGCTGATGGGATTTCTAGTGGGGTTGGCTCACTTCTGCAGTCTTGGGTGGGGATGGAGCTTCCTCTGGTGCAGCTGACCAGGGCTGAAGTTTGCCCTTTGTTTCCTGGACACAGACTGCTGAATTTTTTATTTTTTTATTTTTTTTTTTTGCAAATCCTTTGTAACTAGTGAGTGCCTGAATTGCACAGAGCTCAAATGCAGCTGTTTACAGAAATAGGCGGCTTTGTTCTGGGCTGCCAAAGGGAGGGCGGGGGGCGCGTAGAGGGATAAACACAGGAATTGCCTGAGGGCATGAAGCAGGGAAAGGAAGGGGGAGGTATTTGCAATCTGATGTTAAATGCCAGGAGAGCTGATAAAGAAAACTTAAACGTGTTTAAATACTGACTCCGCGGGTTTAAACACATTAAGAACTGACTTGTCTTGTTTGTAGCAGTAAATACTGTGAAACATTTGCATCGTTTGTGGCTTATTGCTGTATTACGCTTAATTTAGTGCTGCATGTAAAATTGCTGGGGAGCATTTACCAGCAGTCACATGAACTTGATTCACTAGGTTATTATGCAGTTTGAATGTGCCTTTTCGTGTTAACAGGATTGGGAAAAGTAAAATACTTAGGGGTCTTAAAGTTACTCTGTATGGCTCTACGTACCAGCAAGCCAAACTCTTGACTCTTTTTACTTACAAGACAATAGCTTTTATTTTATAGTTTGTAAAGAAGTATTGAAGTGAGGTATTATTTCATGTCTAAACCTTACTCAGACAAAGGTGAAGCAATCTTGGTGGGAATATTGCCAGAGTAATGAACAGCTATGCTTATTTCACAAACTTTGATGTGATGAAATAGTTATTTGAGTTTATTTTTTGCATTGCAATGAGAAGGAAGTTAGTTTGCCTTAAACTGGACAGTTGGTCTACAGCCAGTGTTTTCTCTGTTATTTTTTCTGAACTCTGCAAACAATTTTTAAATCAAAATACCTGAACCATTTTCCTGATGGAAGTCTGTAGCTAAGCCTATAAAGGAGAGAACTTTGTTGTTTTTCCTTTTTTTTTTTTGGTGAACTGCTGATGCCTGCTGTTTCAGCTGTGGTGAACAGCCTTAAGCTGTCTTTTGTATGTACCCCACTACAATTTATGCAAGTGGTAATTTTCTGTAGTAATTTAAGTTCAGATTTTATTCAAATTTTCCATTTTAATTTCCTGAAGGAACAGCATTTAGTTCAGTCTATCTCGGAGTGAAGAAAGGAGTGACATTCATGTGACTGTGTTAGGAACACAGAAATCTGTAGTGGGAGGAATGTATTTAGTGCTACAGCAGAGGGAAATACCGAAATGTTTACACAGACCTAATGAGCCTCTGGAGAGGCTGCGCTGATGCTCAGCACTGGACACAGAGTAGGAGAGCAGACTTTATCGGTTCTACTGCTAGCATGACTGCTTTGTTTTGGCTAACAAATCAGAGGAGTCAGGATGTACTGTGTGAAGAAAAACCTTCAGTATAAATGCAGAGAGGTGAAAGCCTTTAAGAGCGAGAGGTGGCTGCAACTGTCACGGCCACAGGAGCGGGGCAGCCAGATGCCAGTGCTGCCTGGGCAGGGGCACAAACACACTTTGTGAGCAGATGTACTCAAGGGATTAGCATTAATATAGCTGCCCTTGCAAGATGCGTGTAGGTCAAAGATTTAACTATTCCTATCAGTGAGCATTCGGTCCTAATGAATGCTAGTGTATGGATTGGGCCTGGGCCTTGGTAGTGTTCTGACCTTCCTTGGGAATGCTCAGGTTGCTCCTGCATCACACTGTGGAAGCAAAATGGAGCTGGTGCCTGGACAGCTGGTCCGAGGAGAAAGTGCTCAAAGCAGTGGCTTGAAGGGCTCATTTTCCTAGAAGTTTATTTGGGATTGTTTCACTCATTCCTGTTTTACCCCCAGCCCATATTACTTAGCCAGCTGAAAGGTGTTCCCTGCTCTTAAAACCTTGCCTTGCCCTGTGCTTAGCAGGCAAAAGTGGAGTCGAGATCATTTCAGGATTTAATGATGGTTTTGTTGACATGCATAGTCTCTTCTTCCACTGACCAAGTTAAATTGTCTCCATGCATGGGAGATGCTGCAAATGGTAGAGAAAAGATGAGGGTACAAGGGAGCATCCCAGAGCAGAGGCCCCCTTGAGGAGACTTTCTGAGGTCCCTGGGGTCTCCAGGAACCTTCTTGCCATTGAGAACTTTGGAGATTGTTTCACCGTGTCCCAAGACAGTGCTTTCAGCCTCATCTCTTTGCTTAGATCATCATGAAAGATTTAGAAAGCACTTTCACCTCCCCATTGCCTCCTTAAAAAAAGTCATAATTTAAACGATAAAAGCAGTATAGTGGGAGTTCACTTGGTGCCACCGATTTTGATCCTGGTGTTATGTGGAGCTGGTCCTGCTTCCGCATTACACATTTAAACTTCACTCTGAGGTACAAAATAGTGTTAGAGATTAGTCTAGGAGAATCAGTAATGAAATTTTGAAGAGTTATACATTGTATAAGGTGAATGTGAGATGTGAAGAAGGAGTGTTTCCTGCCATGGGGTGATATTTAAACAGGCCACTCACAGCCAAAGCAAGAAAAATGTTACACTCGCTCTTTACACAAAGTTTATTGGTGAGGGTGTGGGGTTAGTTGCTTGTCTTTGTTTTAGTAGAACTTGTACAGTTTTTCACATCATTTGTCCCATATATCATAGTAGAGGAATCCATCAAAGTAAATAAATTAATACAAATATATTTAGGAATCCTAGGCTAGAAATAAGTACTAATAGCTAGTAGAAGAGTGACCCTGCTTCTTCTTGAGATGTTGGAGCACTGATAACAGCTTTGCTGGTTCAGACAGCATCAGACCTTAATTTTTCTGTCTAGACAATTTGTTTATCTGTCCTGGCAAATGTAATTTTGAGAAAAATAAGTCCATAGTTTTCAGTAACAAGGATAGATTCTTGATGCTGATATTTTTAGAAGTTCACCAAGAACTGGTAAGCAAATGGAAAGAAGAGAGGGAGGTTTTTATAGAGGTAAAATAATTGCAGTCAGTAGTTGCAAAGTTTCTCTTACAGTTGCAGAAAAATAAGAGCTTGCCTACGTGTTATTGTTCTTGTGTTATATATGAGACAGTACTAAACAGTATGTAGTAATTATATATATTATATTCCTTCTTTGTTTGGCATTTTCAGGTTTTCACTGAGTAATACTTAAGTTGTTACATAAGCTCATTATTTATAAACCTATCATTCAGTTTAATTCTTCTGAGGGAGAGAGTCTGGTGTTTGCTAGTCAACTTTTGGCCCTGCTATCCAAAATAAGATGTAATAACAAACTGCTTGCTGGCTTTGAAAAAAAAAAGCTAGAGATGCTTGATAACTGCTCCTGCAAAATGAAATATGATCAAATGCAGACTAGAAATGAGAAGGCTCATAATTGCTGGTTTCCTTCCTGAGAAAGGCATTGCTAGCAGTTAATGTGTGTGCTTATCCATAGGTGTCTCTGCGTAAGCAGGAGATTGAGGACAGGCTCAATGCCTGGATTGTGTTCAATGAGAAAAATAAGGAGCTGTGCTCCTGGCTGGTACAGATGGAAAGCAAAGTGTTGCAGACTGCAGATGTTAGCATTGAAGACATGATAGACAAATTGCAGAAGGTAAGTAGTAACACCACTTTTCATCAATTGTCTGATAGCTTGTTCCAGAGACACCATTCCTCATTTCTTCCTTGCTTCTCAGAAGCGATACCTGATACAAAACCAGCATATACAGGCTTTTGTGAGAAGATGAGCTTTTCAGGCCTTGGCTCTTACCTTCTTGATGTTCAGACTTGGAGCATAATGTAAAACATGACTGCATTTAGACATGGGGTGTGATGGATGTGAGTTGTGGTGGGGGGGGTGGTTGGGGTTCAGCACTGCTCAGAGCTTTCCCTGCTGGGGATCAGCAGTGCCCTGGAAGCATCTGACTGCTCTCACCACCTCCACCGGCATCAGCAGTTATGACACTGGTAGACAAAGGGCAAAGAAAAGATTAAAGGGTGGGGTAGGTCGTATGCCGGGCAAACAAGAAGTTATCACAACCAAAAATAAAACCTGATTCTACCACTTCTCCTTGATAGTCAGTGCAGTTAGTGTTCTCTAATGCTCTTGTAGTAGCTTGATTTTAAACAGGAGCATTAATTTTGCTGCAGTGTTCTTCCCCGTGGCTTAAAGGTCTCAGTATCTAATTCCAGATCTTCTCTGGATAAGAATACCAGCAAAATAACACCATCCTACATTTGAATTTGAGTTCTTTTGAGGTAGCTTGATTGAAAAATCAGGAAAGCAGAGACAAAATTAGAACATTAAACTGCTATTTTTAGGAGTACTTACTCCTGGCACTTGAAAGTGCTTAAGCTGCTTATTTTTTCATAGCAGCTTCATTGTGAGAGTGCTTTTCTGTTGAGGGTTTTTTTGTTTTGTTTTAAGTGAAAGAGTTCTACATGTAGAAGCCTCAGCCATTGCAAGCCGAACCTGACTTCATATCACACCTGGGAAAAGAAACAGATAGGTTTGGTTTGGTTTGGTTTGGTTGGCTCATTTTGTTTTGTCCAGGAATTAAGCAATGTTTGTGTATATTTATCAGGATTGCATGGAAGAAATAAACCTGTTCAGTGAAAATAAGCTTCACTTGAAACAAATGGGCGATCAGTTAATCAAGGCTAGCAACAGAAGCCGAGTTGCAGAAATAGATGATAAACTCAACAAGATCAATGATCGCTGGCAGCATCTCTTTGATGTCATTGGATCACGGTAAGAAAATAATTTTCAGTGTTTTATATGAGATAAAAGTCAAAGGCTGGTGTCCTTGATGATCAGAAACAGACTGACACATTTCTGTTTTGTTGAAATTTATTATGAAGAGTCAAATTAAACTGAAGTCAATGCATTATGACTTGTTGCTCTATTATGACACCAAATGTCTTAATTTATCTAATGATAGAGGGCAGGGTGCAAGAATTCATATAAAATATAATTTTAATCATGGGAGCTATGTAAAAGGAAGAGTCAAAGTGTTTTCTCTGTTGCACGTTTTGAATTGCAACTTAATTTTAAAGCAGTATGGTGAGAGTTCATGTGGGCTCTTTAGGAGAACCTCGTGTTTTAAGGCAAGCCTCTGTTTAACCCAGTGCCTGAATGCACAGAATTTGGGAATAGATTCCTAGCCTGTCTCTGTAAACAGTCAGATTTATGGAATGATAATGTTTCTATTTTACAGTCAAAAGTGTATGAAATTTAATTTAATATTAGTGTTATTTATTTACTCAGTCTCTTTCCTGAAAACAACTGGAAGACCATAGCATGAGTTTAATTTTTAAATTCAGGATATTCTGTATGATGGTGAAATGGAAAATACTATCAGTTGAAATTAAAACAAAAACCTGCATACTCTAGGCAATGACCTCTTCTTAAAGGATTAAACATCTTTATTTTACCTGACAGAGTTAAGAACATCATGATCATTTTAGTATTAGCCTTACTGAGAAGATCCCATTTTACTATTAGCTCTTGAGTTTCTGCTGCAGCTTGGGAGAAGGATGCTGGGCTGATCTCACTGCCTGCCTGAGTTTATTAGTAATCTAGAAATAATAAGGCTAACAGATGTTAGGTTAAACTTTTATTCCAAGGTTTTGTTTCACCTGTAACCCCCCTCTCTGGGCCCTCAGAAGCTCTCTTGCTTAGTTAACAGTTGGGACAGATAAGGCAGGTGGTTGTGCTGTGACAATGTAGTGCCAATTGTGCTGGATCTTAATCAGGAATGAGATCTGAATTAATGGTGACACGTGAGCTGCCTTCTGAAGATCTAACACTTTGCAGATAGTCTTGCAATGGTTGTCTCAAGGTGTTTTTGTATTTGACCTGGTATAGGAAAGAAAGCTTCACTTTCATAACAGTGCTTTTTCTGTCCTCATCCTATGGTAACATGCCACCTTTAAAGCACTTTTATGATCATTTGTGTTATGCTGTGTGTTCATTTTGAATTGTGGCCATTTTTAAATGCAGATTAAAATGCACTATTTTAAAACTGAGGTAAACATGGCACGTTTCTAGTGATCTTTGGGAAACTATGCTAAAGAACTGATAGGATATTTAGAGAGAGATCTGGCAGTCTTACGTTGTCTGTGACAACAGAGGACTTGTCTGTCTACCTGGGATGTCTTAAATCTTTACCTTCAGACAAGCGTATGGTGGTGCTCTGAGGCATAGATGCCTAGAGCATCAACATAGCTCCCAGTATTGGGTATCTAAGTGGACATTGCAGCTACTGGGGAGTTGGTGTGATGCTTTATGGTTGTTCCTGTGTTCTTAATCCCAAAACGTCTGGAACATGCCAACTTCAGCTTGTGATTTCCACCAACTTTGTCCTCAGGACCAGGGCAGTGAACTGGAAGGACCTGGTAAAACGTGATTTTAAGCAGTTCCCTCAGTGGTCCAAGGTCATCAGGCAGCCCAGTGGGCTCTGCTGGTCCTCTTGGACTTAATACTAACAGATGTTCAGCATATTGCAGCGTTTTGCAGGATGGGTATAGCACATTGTCCTGGGTTGTGTGAGTGGTGGAGTTTTTTGGTGGCAGGGGAGGGGGCTATCGGGGCGGCCCCCTGTGAGAAGCTTCTCGAAGCTCCCCCAGCTCCACGTCAGCTCCACTTCTGTTTGGGAAATTGAGCCCATCAGCTGCGCCTCTGCGATAACATATTTAAGAAGGGACGTGGTGACAGGCAGTGGGACTTGTGAGGAGGAGTCGCTGCAGCTGCATGAACACCAAGGTCAGTGGAGGAACGGAGGAAGAAAGGAGGGGGGAGGTGTGCCGGAGCAGAGACCCCCCTGTATCCTGTGGGGAGACAGCAGGGTGGCCCCCCCTGCCACCCATGGAGACCTACGGTGGAGCAGACATTGATTTGTGGCCTGTTGTTCCTGCTCGGTTGATCAAGGTTCTGTGCCCAAAGAAGGCCGGGGTCTCATGGGAAAAGGCAGCCCCGCTGCTGTAATTCAGCGCTGGGAGGATTGCAGCATGTGGGGGAGTCCCACGCCGGAGCAGCTCGGGAAGGGCTGCAGCCGTGGGGGGGAATCCAGTCGGAGGAAGTTAGTGACCCATGACGGAGCAGTGTGGGGAATGCTGCGGCCCATGGGAGGAATTCATGTAGGAGAAAGTTTGTGGAGGACTGTCTCCTGTGAGAGGGGGACCACGATGGAGCAGGGGGAACAAGTTTTGGACACTCCCCTCACCGAACATGAAGGAAGTGGCAGCGCTGACTGCACCCCCCATTCCCTGCCCCTGCGCCACTGGGGGAGGAGGTAGAGATATCAGGAGCAGAGCTGAGCCCGGGAAGAAGGGAGGGGTGGGGGGAAGGTGTTCTCAAGATGTGGCAGTGCTTCTCACTGTCTTATTCTGTTATGTGTTGTTAGTGTCTGTAATAAATGTATGTTCCTTTTTTTCTTCCCCTAACAAGTCTGCCTTTTGCTCGTGATCATAAAAGGGGGATTTTTCCCCATCCCAGTCCTATCTTGAACCCCAAGCCTGGCTCTCTGTCCCTTCTCATTGCCGGAGGGGAAGGGAGAGAGGGGTGCTGCATTGTGGTTGGCTGTCAATCAGGCCTAAACCAGGACACACATCTCCTCCCTCATTCAATCTACCCTGCCTGGTCTTGGCTCACAGCTCATCTGTTCTCAGCTGCTCAGTCATAAATAACCACTCAGCTGAACACTCACAATAGAATCCAAGTATGGTCCTAGGAGTTTATTTTGCCCTGTTTACAACCTTCCAACTTTCCATTTCAAGGTTGCTGCTATAGTGGAGGCTTGCCACTGAGATTTGAATTCTGAAGGAATTAAACTTCAGTTGACTGAAATTTGCACCTCACTCACAGGTGTGCTTTGGGGCGCTCAAGAGGAGGCTCCTCCTGTGCTTTTGGGTAGCCTCTCTTAAGCTCAGGCAATGGGGAGGAGGCAGCAGTTCTACTGATCACAGATGTGCCACAACTTGGGTCTCTTCAGAAGGGAGCAGAGCAGAGCAAGGAGCCTTGGGCTGGAAGCAAGATGACCAGTGAGCGTAGGTTGTGATGACCCATGCTGATAGACTGTCTCCTTCCTTTTCAGTTCACTTTTGCAAGCACTTAAAAAGTTTGCAAAACTTGTTTTCAAAGGCTGTATTGAAAGAGCACATGAAGATAGAGTGGTTGGTAAATTCATGTTGGCCCTATTGCATGAATCCATCACAACCCAGATACCCTCACGCGATCTCAGACATCTGCAATCACCAGTTTCGTTCAATGGATAGGATGGGTTGGCTCCCGGGGGCTTGGAGCCTGTAGGGCATGGTGGGGGTGCTGTGCACCCACTGCTGCTTGGCAAAGAGAGACTGCAGCGCTGCACGGCTGTGCACAGCCGTGACAGCATACCCAAACGAAGCCCTTTTTATTGGGCACTGCTTCATTTCTTGGGGAAGGTAAAAGGGAAGGAGGAGATACTTCAGGGCAGGGCTGCCAGATGGCCTTGGAAGTTTTGAGGCAATTGAGGTAGGAGAATGCTGCTTTGGAGGGAAATGACTGTGACAGGGAGGCAATCATGTCTTGCTCCTGAAAAAGCTACTTGTAGGAACTTATTTTCACAGTGTGTCCGTGAAATGAGAAGGTGGTTTTGCTCCTGGCTTTTCGGATCAGTAGCTGCAGTAAGTAAATTGAAGTGAAAATTTTATGAGTTTTTGGGTGCTGAACCTGTGACCATTTGAAGCTTTTTTTGACAAGTACTATGACTTCAGCATTTTTTGTTAAACATAAAACCAGCTACTGCCTTTATTCATACTTGCGGGTGCACCACGGCCCACTGCACCACTTCCCTGGTGCCCGGTGGCCATCCATCACAGGGTGAAGGACCAAATCTCACAATGTCTTCATGGCGGGTCAAGACTTAGGCAGTAAGTAAACTACACAGCCGTGCACTGAGTAGGAGGAGAAAATGTACATTGCATAGCTGTGTGTTCGAATCCAATCCCCCATTCTGGGCTCTGAGTGTTTCTATTAAACAAGCACTTTATGATCCTGTGGTTAAAGAGTATAAATTAACCTGTATCCACAAAGGAGTCTGAGATACATAGCCAATTTTGGTTCTGTAGTTCCTGATGTCTCCATGACTGACCCTCCAACACAAGTAATATTTTATCTTTTCTGTAGTGCAGTGTATGGTAGTGTGATATCAATGTGAAACCAAACTAGTCTCAAGTCAATGTATCAATACAAAGCATTCCTCCTGATAGCTTATTTCACTTTTTTAAACCAGTATCTATCCTGGGACAGGTGGGCAAATTAGGTGAGCTCTCCATTTAGTCCTTGAAGTGATTCTCTTAGTTCATGGTAACAAGTTCAGATTTGCCATATGGCTGCACTTCCAGGACTTAACGCTTTCGTTAGATGCCTGTGCTCAGTTTGCATTGTGACAGAAGCTTTGCCGCATTTGTTGCAGCTGGAGAGTGGCTTGGTGCAAACTTGGAAAAGTCTCAAAATGTTAATTCACGTGGGATAAAATAACCATCAAGACATTAGCATGCCTGGAAAGTAGAACAAATGAATTTCTGTTCAGCTTGGAAGATACTCTTACCAGGGGAGGTCCTCATGCTGAAGTCTCTGTTGATAGAGGGGGGAAGCAAACATACTAACAAGCAGAAAGGGAGCGTTGTGCTGACTGTAAAAATGGACGCAGAAAATCTCTTGCTTTTGTTCGCTAGTCACCAGCCTTGTAGCAGCACTCTGCCAGAAAG